TTCCCTCTTTCTGTTAATCCCCTTACCTCTCACAGTCCCCAGAGAAGAAGGAAAAGGCTCAGGAGTAGGGTCCAGTATGTTTCTCTGATGCCGGCAAGTCAGGGAGAAGACCAGGGCAAAGTGAAGTCAGCCTGAGGGTCCTTAGGGAATTGCAGCAGAAGGGTCAGCTGCAGGCTTAGTGAGGGTTGGAGGAGGGAGCCCTTGTATATAAAGAAGGCAGTTAGCCCAGAGTGGGTATTAGCAGCTCTTTCACGCTGCAGGGAGGGAGGGAGCAAGAGAGGGAAGAGAGGGGGGTCCATTCCCCTCTATGAAAGACAGGTTTCATCCCTGTAGAACCCCTTGTCAAGAAAGGAAGTTTCTCCTGCTTTTCTAATGTTTATGAATATTTCAACTGTGTTCCTCACCTCCCCCTAACGCCCCCAGAGCCAAATCCTTTCTGAACCCCGAGTCTTGGATTTTCTTCAGTCTGTGATTATTGTAGGAGAGGTAGAGAGGTTGGGGGATGGGACTGGAGGGGTGAATCTGGCTGGTATTAATAGACACAACAGGACATTTCAGAATGGGATCATTCCATAATAGTAGGAATGGGGGGCAAAGGGGCTGGCTACCATGGCAACGAGTCTGTGCTTCTAAGACTGCACTTGGCAGGCAATAGAGGGGGGTCTATGGGGCAGCAAGAGAGTTTGTGAATGGGGAGGGGGTGATAATAGTCAGTCAGTGGGAAAAGCTGAAGAGCCCTTGTTTGGCCAAATGAGAGGGGACTCTTTCAGGACAGTTGCTGTAGGGTCCTTGTGTCCTGCCCTGTATAATTAGCCTCCATTAAGCATAGTTGAATAAAATTGATGCCTTTATCTGGAGATGAGCACAGCTGCATACTTCCTAATAATAGGGTGCTGTCTATCCCTCACAGGCAAAACTTGGGCTCAGTCTGGGAGTCCCCATTTTAGAGAAATAGGATGACCCATAAAGTAAGCACCAGGACTTTCTCTGTCATTTAACTATCTTTGGTGACATCTTGGGAGGGTGGAGAGGGCAGGCAGTGTGTTTTAGATGTTGTTGGAGGTGTGTGTGTGTGTGTGTGTGTGTGTGTGTGTGTGTGTGTGTGTGAAAGAGAGAGAGACAGAGAGAGAGACAGAGAGAGAGACAGAGAGACAGAGAGAGAGAGAGAGAGAATAATTTTCTAATTCACCCAAGGGTTACTCTCTTGACCAAGATTTTCTCTTCCCTCTCTGGCCACACAGATGATCAGTAAAATAATTAATTCCACTCCTCTTTTCAAGCCCACAAGAATTTTAAATCCAAACCAAGTTCAGTTAAATTCTTTTGTTCTTTATTCTAAGAGTGAGACCAAATTTTTTAAAAAAATATTCTAAATTTAATCAAACTCACCCCCCCACCCAAACATTTCAATATGGGAGATTAAATTTTAAAGCTTTCTCCCCAAATCTGGGATAAAGACAAGAGAACAGTGCTAAACATTACCCCTAGGAGTTTGAAAGTGTAATTGTTTTCCCTGCCCGTTAGAGTTTTTTCTTTCTGTTTTTATATTGTTAGGGTGTTCAGGTGTCTGAGTATGGGAATGGAAATGCTAGAAATAAGTGCTCACAGACAGGAAGGTAGAAAAATTCGTTGTAAAAGAGACTAGGAGCCAGCCACTTAGCCTCTCTGCTAGTGACCCCTGCTGGACACTTTTTGTAATTCCATACACAACTATCAACCAACAAAAACTTAATGAGCATATATTATGTACCTGGTCCTGTGGGGAATCTGAGAGAAATGGATCCTATCTCCAACAGCCTGGTAATGCAAGACATATGTACTTGAAACACTAAGAGAACAGTGTGATTATTATGTAATTATGTGATAATTGTTATTATTAGTATGTGATTAAGGGCTGAATTGTGGGGTGGGGACAGAAAATACATAGCAGTTTAGAAAAGACTAGCAATCACTGAAGGTCAACATTTTATGGAAGAGAAGGGAGTTAAGCTTGGTCTTGAAGGACAGTTAGATTTGGACAGGCAGAGAAGGGAGGATGGGGACTAGGCAAGTAGAGGGAATAGCTTAGGTAAAAGGTCTGAAGTTGAGGATGGACATTAATTCATCATAGGATCGTGGATCTGGAGATGGAAGGGTTCTCAGAGGCCATCCTGTCCAACAACTTCAATTTATAGTTGAGGAAACTAAGACTCAGGCACTCACTCAATGTTATACAAGTAGTAAGTGGGGTAGTATGTGGACCCAGGTCTCCTGACTCCAGAGTGAGGGATATTTTATTATACTACACTGCCTCTCATACCCATACACCTTATATATCATCTAACCCAACTGCATCATTAATTTTTTAAAAAAATTTGCAGATGAGGAAACTGAGACTTATAGAGGTTATGTGATTTGCTTAAGATTACACAGTGGTTAGTGCAGAGCCAGCATCCAAACTCAAGTCTTCCAATTTTAAATTTGGGGTGCTTCCCATTATGCCATGCTGCCTACCACTAAAACACCAGCTATTTGGACTGCATGGTAGGGGCAGCTAGATGGCACATTGGATAGAGTGCTGGCCCTGGAGTCAGGAGGACCTGAGTTCAAATGCAGCCTCAGACACTGACTAGCTGTGTGATCTTGAGCAAGTCACTTAACCCTGTTTGCCTCAGTTTCCTCATCTGTAAAATGAACTGGAGAAGGAAATGGTAAACACTCCAGTATCTTTGCCAAGAAAACCCTGAATGGAGTCACAGAGAGTCAGGTACAACTGAACAACAACAGGTATACAGGCAAGAGTGAGAGAAGCCTGAGAAACAACTGAAGGCCTATGTGGACTGCATGCTGAATGTGAGTCAACAAGGTGTGCCAATGGTGAGTTATAGGAGCCAAGAAGGGATTGATGTTAAGAAAGACGTTGTGTTTACCAGGACTAGAGAGGCAGTAGAGCTGTTGTATTTTCCACTGGTCACAACAAATCTGAATTCCCTGGCTTCCTTTAAGTCCCAACTAAAATCCTGTCTTTGATAGAAAGTCTTCCCCAATCCCTCTTAATTCAAGTACCTTCCCTTTGTTAATTATTTCCTATTTATCTTGCAAATAGCTTGGGCTCTCTGTCTGTCTCTGTCTGTCTGTCTGTCTATTCCTCTCTCTCTTTCTCTCCATTACACACACACACACACACACACACACACACACACAAACACACACACACACGTTTGCATGTTGTCTCCCCCATTAGATTGTAAGATCTTTGAGGGCAGGGACTGTCTTTTGCCTCTTTTTGTATCCCCGGTGCTTAGCACAGTGCCTAGCACACAGTAAGTACTTTAAAATTGATTTATTTAAATTAAAATTTAAATTAAATTTAAATTTAAATTAAATAAATTAAAATTTATTGATTGATAGATTATTGAGTTTGTTTCTGGGTGGTACTCTTTAAGAAAGTCATTAAATAAGCTAGGGAGCATCTAGTGAATGGTAAACAAGATGAGGCATCTTGAGTTGGACATCATATGAGGTTCAGCTGAAGCAACTGAGAATATTTTGCCTGGAGAAGACTTAAAGGGGGCATGATACCCGCCTTTAAGCATTTGAAGTCTGTAATGTAAGAGATCACATTTGAACTCAGGTCTTCTTGACTCCAGATCTAGACATCTTTCTACTGAGCCATCTAGTGATCCCTATCAATTGAATAATAGGTAGAGGAGTTTAAACTCAGTGGGATAGGCTGTTGTCAACCAGTCTAGTTCTTGATTGGTAGAGTGGGATGATGGAGGTGATTTTTTAGAAATGTCATAACTAGTCTTAAGGTGTCTCATGGACATCCTTTATGCTGGGAAGTACATCTGTAGAAAGTGAGGAAGGTTCTGTACACACACACACACACACACACACACACACACACACACACACAGAGGTTTGTATGAACTCAAAGATTCCCATATACCAGCAGAAGCCACCCCAGATTCAGATTCCCCCAGACACTCTGTAAAAATTACAGTTAGAGCCACAGTTCAACTAGGCCCAGTAGAGGAGGGTGCAGGGTAAGGGTGTTTCTAGGAGGACCTTTTGCAAAATATTGCGCTGGGTTAAATAACCCAGAATTTAAACTCCTACCCACTATTTTGTCAGACGTTCACACTGATTTTTTTCTCCCATATGCAGGGGAGACAGCTGTTGTTTCACACTAATAGTGTTAGAAACCATTTTGAGATCATTAGAGTTCTTTAAGGACTTTACAAGTGTGGAGGTTTTAAAACTGACATTTTAATATTTGGCTTTTAAAATTGGTGTAAAAATGAACCAACATTAAAAAACTATTTACAGTTTGAAAAATGTTTTTCCATTATCCTGTATTTGCTTCTACTTTTCTCATTTTATGTATTTCCTTTCTGTATATTTACATACTTCAAAAACAATTTTTAATGTAAAGACTTTTTTTATTTTGTGTGTTTTATGTATTTCCTTTCTGCATATTTATATACTTTAAAAATATTTTTTATTATAAAGACATATAATAGGTCTCCACTTCTGGGTTTGCTAATCTTGAGGAATGGGAAGGATGCATAGAAGTATAAACACACCCCACCTTTTCCAAGCCTTCAAAGGAAGGAGAAGAGGTTTGGACTTCTTCCAGCTCCTTGTGAAAGCAAAGACATTATTCAAATCTGTTGACTTCAGGACTTGGAATAGAATCAAAGATTTAGAATGGAAAGGAAACTTGGTAGGAGACATCCAGTCCAACCCCCTCATTTTACAAAGAGGGAAACAAAGTCCTGGAGAAGTTAAATGACAACCTCTTGATCTTGTGTAAGTAGCAGAAGCAAAAGGTGAACCTAGATCCTCTGGCTCCAAACCCTTGTACCTTGTACCATGATGGTCATTTCCCAGGTGTTTCAGGCACCAGTGATGCTGGGAAGGCCCAGAAGACAGGACATAAACTGGTGGGGGTGGGGCCTCAGGAGAAGGCAGTGACTATTGATGTCTGATGCTCCCTCTGCTCCATCTTCTCTCAGGCACCTGTGCAGACCCTGTCACAATCGGGAGAAAGCCAAGGGCCTGGGCAAGTACATCTGCCAGAAGTGTCACCTGATTATCGATGAGCAGCCCTTGATGTTCAAGAATGACTCTTACCATCCAGACCACTTCAACTGTACCCACTGTGGGTGAGTGCCCTGGCATCTGGGGAAGCCTGGCAAACATGCTATCTGTCAGGGCCTTTTAGCGTAAATGGCAGAACCAACCAATCATCTTAATCAATAAGATTTTGCTGAACTCTGTAGCCTGTTTTGCTGTCTACTCTGGAGTTCCCATGCATTACTGGGGTCAAAGTGGGGTGAAATAGGTGAAATAGGTGAAACCAAATTCCATCAGATTCCTGTCCAAATTTCTAAAATCATCTGAACTTGGTTTGCTAGCAGGCAATACCAAGAGCATATATTTTTAAAGCAAAACATTTAATTGGGATGTTAAAAATTAGCAAAAGAATAGAGTTTGAGATTCATGTCTCCTCCCTGACTGAATATTGGAGGAAACAGCATGGAGCAACCCCCGGGAAGACTCATACTCCAGTTAGAGAAAGTGCCTCATGTAGCCAGATGGATTTGGTGGGGGAGATGGGAAGAGGTGGGAGGGTAAAGATTCAGCCATGCAGTGTCTATTTTCTTATTGACCTCTTAGCTGTCACTGTAGTCCCAGAAGGAGGTCATCTCTGTATCTCAGCTCTCTCTCTTTCTTTTTGGCTAGGCAATGGGGTTAAGTGACTTGCCCAGGGTCACACAGTTAGTAAGTATCAAGCGTCTGAGGCTGGATTTGAACTCAGGTCCTCCTGACTCCAGGGCCAGTGCTCTATCCACTGCACCACCTAGCTATTCCTGTCTCAGCTCATTTTTTGACAGCCTGCAAGCCGATTTGTGGATGGCTCTTTCTCCCTATGTCTCCCTGCCCCCAGTGAATTCTTATACTGGTTATCACCATGAATAAGTCCCAATGCATGATTGACCCCTAGCATTATGAAAGATGTAGCTGGACAGACGTTTTTATTATAGCTCCTCCTGTACATCCCTCCTTGTGCTAGGTGCTCTGAGGGATCAAGAAAAGAAGGAGGCATAGTCTTTGTCTTCAGGAAATGTACAGTCTGGTTGAGGAGGCAGGGTCAACACTCAAGAAACATAACAAGATAATACTCTTTAACTTCAGAACTTCAAAAGATTTTCAGCAGTGTAGATGTTATTCTAAAGCAGATCACAGCTTCTCCATGGCTTAGTAAATGTTATTCATGAGTTTCTATGGCCAAAATGATTCCTTACCTGGTGACTAAGTCTCTAATTGTGAGCCTTTCTCCACTTAGCCAAGCTGATCCTAGGGTGATGGACACAGAGACCGTCAATGGACCCGTACCTGAAGCCTTTCTAGCCTGCTAGGAACTACCAGACCTTAGCTAGCATAGCCTTTGAGAACCCACGGTCACTTCCATGCCAAGATGAGTCTTCTGAGTAGGACTTGGGTGGAGAACAACAGTTCTAATTAGGAGAGCACAGTACAATTTTTTTGTAAAGAGTGCTTTGCGTGAGACTTTATGGAATTAAGTTTGACTAAACAGAACGTATTAAAAATAAGAAGTTTTTTTTTTCTGTTTACTTTTCTATTTGCTACTTACTTTCTTCTATTTAGTTAAGAGAATTCCCCACCAGCCAACACACCCTAAAAGGCATGAGAAATGGTGAATTTAAAGGATCTGGGCAGTTGAAATCTCTCTTCTGCTTTACATTTCTGTTTTTGGAAGAATGTCCAAAGCCATTACAGTCAGAGACAGGAAGTGACCACTGGCAAAGCCCAGTGCCTCTTTGTTCTCCTAAGGTCCTATATTTATGTTCTAGGAAGGAACTGACTGCGGAGGCCAGAGAGCTAAAAGGGGAACTTTACTGTTTGCCCTGCCATGACAAGATGGGGATTCCCATTTGTGGAGCTTGCCGGAGGCCCATTGAAGGCCGTGTGGTCAACGCCCTAGGAAAGCAATGGCATGTTGAGGTGAGTCCCTGTCACCATTAACAAAATCAGCGAATGACTCCTAGATCACATATCTAGTTAGTACCGGAAGCAGGTCCAGAACCCAGGGCTCCTGATTCCCATTCCAAGGTCTAAAATGCAGGAGAACTGTAAAAGTGCTACGAGTTTCTCACTGATTCAGCTATGGAAAAAACAGGTAACAATGGTGCACAGACCTTCCTCATCTTCACTCACAGATATGGATAGTAATGCCATCCTTAGGTAGAACTCCTCATCTTTCTCTTAAAACCTGCCCCTCCTCCTAATTTCCCAACTTTTGTTAATGGTACCATCATCCTTTCACTGGCTCAAGCTTAAAACCTTGGAGCTATCGTTGACTCTTTTTCTTTTTCTCCTCCCGCAAATTCAGTCAGTTTCCAAGTCCTCTCCAGGTTGTTTCATAATCTCTCCAGATTTTTCCAAGTTCACTCCAGATTTTATTGCCACCATGCATGCCCTAGTTATATGTAGCCTTAACTATTGCAAATAATCTAACAGATTTCCCTTCCTCCGGTCCCTCTCTCTCTCTTCTCCAATCTGTCTTTCACCCAGATAACAAAAATAATCTCCATAGCATGCAGTTGCCTAGAGGAGAAAACAGAGACTCCCATTTATGGCCCTTTACAATCTATATCCAATCTAACCTTTCCATAAGGTGCCGTAATACTCCAGAGTCACTTTATTCCACACCCCTTCATGTACTCTTTGTTTTAACCAAATTGGACAAATGGGCATTCCTTAATCTAATTCTGTCCTCTCCTGTCTCTAATTTTGAAATTCTTTTTCACCAAGGCCCAACTTAGGTACCCTGGGATTTTCTCTGATTCTCCAGTTAAATGACCTCTTCTTATATTTCTAAAAACACTTTATCTTCTCTCTTTCTTTGCCCTTATCATATTCTGTCTCCTTCCATGTTTGTACAAGCAACACTTGGGGACAGGATGAATTCCCCAGGGCACAGTCACTCAGGTTCAAGCTACTCTGTAGCTCAAGTTATTATAGTTTATGAGCCTTCATTCATGGGTTTACCTTTAATAGTCAACCAGAGACACATTTGGCTCAAAGCAAAGGCATTTAATGAAATGTATAAAAAAATTGTCCCTGATAATCCTGGAATATACTCTTCCACAAATACACTCAGTGTTGGTTTGGAGATTAGGCACCCAGAGAAATAAAAAAGGGAGAGAGCTACAGGAAAGGGAGATCGGGGAACTCACGTTTCCAACGCTGCACTGATTGCTTTGGGCTGCTTCTGCTGACTTTGCCAGTCTTACTTTGTCCTGGATGCTGCTGGACACTGTTTGGCTGTAGTCTTCAGTGCCTCCAGTTTCTGGCTTGCCTAAAATCCCTGGGTAAGGTGTTGCTCTTTTAGCCTGCTTTTTCAGAAAATGTAAGCACTCTTACTGGAAGACCAACCTCTCTAGTTGTGCCTCCTCCAAGTATTGGATTTGAGGTCACCACCTCCAGATTAGGAGTTTATCAACCCCAGGTGAGAAGCTCTTTAGAACAAAGAGCAGTCAAGCTAATGATTTGGGGCATGGTCACCTTGGACAGGATGCAGCTAGGTGGTGAAGTAGATAGAGCACCAGGCCTGGAAATCTGACCTCAGATACTTAATAGCTGTGTGACCCTGGACAAGTCACTTAACCTTGTTTGCCTTAATTTCCTCATCTGTAAACTGAGCTGGAGAAGGAAATGTCAAACCATTTCAGGATCTTTGCCAAGAAAACCCCAAATGGACTGAACAGCACCTTGGTCAGAGATATCACCTTAATTTATAGTGACTTTCCAGTGCATTTCCCAAATTTTCATCTCCTCTGGCTAGGCTAGTAACTAGGCAATGGTTATTTGCTTAAATGCTCTGGGGTTCAAAATATCCCAGTTTTTAAACTGTAAATCCCTCCTGTTCCCTGGCGAAGAACAGGTATGGAAGCTAGGGGGCAGGAAGGAAGGGTGTACAAGATTATTTTTTTTATAACAACTCCACCAAATTCATGGCCTTTTCATCATGCAGAAGAAGACATTCCCAGTCTGAAAAGATTTTTTTTTTTAATCTCACTGCTTTACATCTTGCAAATGCATCCAGTCTGTCAATCTCAAAGAGCATTTACTAAGCACTTTCTTTGGTGCCAGGTACTGTGCTAAGCTTCGGTAATACACAGAAAAGCAAAAAATCAGTTCCTGCTTTCAGGGAGCTCACAGTCTAACAAGCCATTAGCCTCAAAGCCCAAAAAGAGGCATAGTCTCCACTCCCTGCCCCTTCCTTCCTGTTTGCTACTCCCAGTCTGAAAGGTGCTTTGCTCCACCCTGTCTATCTGTGGTTTTTATCCTCCCCATTAGACTGTAAACTATGTAAGGGCTTGAGTTTATAATTTTTTTCCTTGTATTTCTTTGGGTCTTGCTTAATAAATGTTAACTGAATTGAAAATGCTCTCTTGTTTATCCACACATGGATTATCTGCAGCTTTGAACAGAAATAAGCTTCTGTTTGCTCCTCGGAAGCTCCCAGGAGGCATTGTAAACTTTGCTAAGGGAATGAAATCTCTTGAGGAACCCATAATGAAGGTGTCCATTCTTCCTTCTGTCTAATTTTCTAATGCATTCCAGAGCCAAAGGTCTCTGATTATTTGGACCACTGCTCTCCCTGCCTCAACACAGATGATAGAGAATTATCTTTGCATACTTACAGGTACACACGTTCAAATTCTGGCTTGTTCTAATATCTTAAATGGATCAACTACAAATAAATTCATTGATCTGCTTAGCTGCTTATTCAGCTAAAACCATTTGTTCATTTGAACTAAGTAGACCCAGAAGGAATCTATGTATTGATTTGTCTGCTGTTTAATGACAGAAAGCAGAGCTTTCAGCCCTATGTCCTGCTCCCTCTCTCTAATCCTCCCAGCCTTTGCTATGGGTTATTAGGTCCAGCTAACCCATCAAAACACCACCCGTTGGGACTAACCGCATGACTGCCTTTTTCTTCCAAATAGTACCAAAGGCCAGGAATCCTAGACTCCTCAGGCTGAAAAAGATCTTCCTGACGACTTCTTGTTACATGTTTTTCGGTAGATGGCTTCCAGGCAGTAGGGAAGCATGCCTAGGATTAAACATTAGTCTAAGCAAACTAAGTTGGTTTGGAGTCTCTAATAGCCTTTTGTTTGACTCTGAGAGCCCTGGATGACCTCAACAAGTCCCTTAAACTCTCTGAGCCTCAAATTCTCCACTTGCAAAATAGGGATGATAATATACCACCTACTCATTGTACTGGGTTATAGTGAAGAAATTGTTCTGTAAACTTCAAAATTCTACATAAATGTATGCTATTATTGTATTATCTCCATTACACCTTTCAACTTTGCAAAGATAATCCACAAATCTATCTAGATAATGGAGCTTTAATTTTACAAGAGAGGTATGCCTTGCTACACAGTAATGGGATTAAACCAACAAGCAGACCAGAATTTATCCCCCGAAATGAATTTGACCTCCTTCAGATTGGTTACTTTAGAAGGTTATTCACTCACTCCAGAGAGACTGCCATTTTTCAGGACATTTTGGGAACACTCCTAGGATGACAGATCTAGGACTGAAAGAGTCCTTAGAGAACGTCTAAATCCCCCACCCCTTTTTTTTTTTTTTAACAGATACAGAATTTTTTTTTTACAGATGGGGAAACTGAATCCTAGAGAAGTTAGATGACTTACTTGCTCAAGGGCACATAGGTGGAAGGTACATGGCGGGACAGGTTTCTAACTATGATTACAAATTCAGTGTTCTTTGCAATGCACCACACTTCTTTTTTTATTGCCTTTCAGAGCCAGGCACCCTGCTCCCCGCAAAGGAGCTTCCTTTCTTTGGAGTCACACTTGGTTTCTGACTGTAGTGGATATTGCTCAGCTTCATCACCCACTTTCTTCACCTAGACTTGCTTCTGACTGCATTTTGACTGTTTCCAAAATTCAAATCCATCTTCAAAGGATGAAGATTTACCTCGGCTGAAAAAAAGTCAAGGGAATGTCCAAGGGGATAGTCTTCATTAGATGTTTAGCTTCTTTTTGGGGGGGGGGGGCTAGGCAATGGGGTTAAGTGACTCGCCCAGGTTCACACAGCTAGTAAGTGTTATGTGACTGAGGCCGGATTTGAACACAGGTCCTCCTGACTCCAGGGCAGGTGCTCTATCCACTGAGCCACCTCGCCGCCCCTAGATGTTTAGCTTCTTGACAACAGAGACTATGTGATGCCTCATCTTCATAGCCGAGCCCCTGGCACAGAAACTTGTTATTTTCTTGGTGCAGACCTCTGCTTTTATCAGTGTAGGCAATTTTCAGCCTCCATGGACACAAATCAGCAACTCCTTTGTAATTTATGGCATTAGAGACTTTGCCAGGACTCTGAGATCGAGTGATTACACAGTTAGTGTGTGTCAGAGATAGGACTTAAATCCAAGTGGTCTTGTCTCCTAGGTGGGCGCTGTTACCATGTTGCCTCTTGCCATAACTACATATTGATACCCTTTTAATGAAGTGAATTGGGACTGAATTTCAGGTTCTGAAGGCAGTTCTCAAAGGAGCCTACTTATAGGATTATAGTCATCAAAGGCATTTTTATGACTGTAGTTGTTCAGTTGTGTCTGACTCTTCATGACCCCATTTGGTGTTTTCTTGGCAAAGATACTAGAGTATTTCCTTCTCCAGCTCATTTGACAGATGAGGAAACTGAGGCAAACAGGGTTAAATGACTTGCCCAGGGTCACACAGCTAGTGAGTGTCTGAAGCTGGATTTGAACTTGGTCTTCCTGACTCCAGGGATACTGTGTCCCTTAACTGTCCTATGATTATAAATGACCAAATAGTTGTTTATTTGCATTGCTTGAGAGAGTTTTCTACATTGCTTAGAATCACTGGCCCAGGACAAAAAAAAATAGTCATCCTCATAGGTTTGGGATTGTCTTTGAGTTTTAATTGGCCAGCCAATCCCTGGTTTCTATTGTCACAAGTCACTGGGAATAATTGCAATCATGTATGACTCCTAAGGATTTGTTCTAAATAAGGTCTGCCTTTCCTTCCTGGGGACAACACAGTTCCCAGACCCACAAATGGCATGTAATTTAGAGAAGAAGTGCGATATTGTGAGCCACAGCTAAGTGACATCCCAGCCATCTCTGCCTGTTTCTGGTTCTGTGATCATGAGAAAGTCTTTTAACCTCTTTGGATATCAGTTCCCCACCCGTAAGATGAAGTGCTTGGTCAAGACAGCCTCAGAGGCCCCTTGGAGCTCTAAACTTACGACTCTATGGCATAGAAATTTCTTTCAAGTTGTGACTAAGGATTTGCATCTCTAGCACTTACAGGAATGGGTGGGTGTCGTGGTTCTCCGGGCACTGACATGATTTGCTTTCTTCCTCATCAGCATTTTGTCTGTGCCAAATGTGAGAAGCCATTCCTGGGTCACCGTCACTATGAGAAGAAGGGCCTGGCATACTGTGAGACACATTACAACCAGGTAAGCTTGACCCACCTTGGGAAGACCACCTCACTAGATCAACAGGACTTTCTGGATGGCGATCTCTTGGGTTGAACCAGTGAAATCAGTCTGGACCCCAACAGGAAGCCGGGGACATCCTGGGTGATTACAATCCATTCAGTCATTGAGTAAAGATTGACATGTCACTTGTTCTGTGCCTAGCTCTTTGCCAATTACTTTGAGGGATGTAGGAGTAGAAGCCTTGGTTCCAACCTTTGAAGAGTTTACAACATTGTCTAGTTAGGGAAAGAAGACTAAAAAAAATGAAAACATTAGAAAACAAGAGAAGGAAATATATGCTATGTTATAGTTCATAAGTGCCAAGTGCATAAGTGCTAAGTTATAGCTCATAAGCTCATACATGTGGAGTGGGCTGCTGTAGGGCTCAAGGAAGGTTTTCTGAAGGAAGTGGGCCTTGAGTTGGATCTTAAAGAATTTAGACACGTGGACAGAAAAGGGAAGGCCATTCCAAGTATTTGGAAGGCTTTGATCAAAGATATGATGGTTAGAATGGGTATAGTATATTTAGAGTGCTCTTAGGGTGTAGGCTAGGACAGAGGGTTCTTGTTACAGAGTTAATTATGGAGAGTGTTGAACACCAAACTAGGGAATTTTAGCTTTACCTTATGGGTAATGGGGAGTCTTTGAAGATTTTTGAGCAAAGGGCTGGCATGACAAAAGTACTTTTTAAGGATGTTTTTTTAAATAGCTGTGGGCTGAGTAGATTGCAAAGAGGGCAAATGAGAGGTAGGTGCAGGATGAAGTGATAGAATGTAAATTAGTATGACCTTTGTCTCAGAGCTGAAGCTCTGGATTTACATAGATTGGAATCAGTCTTGGTGGTTTCTTTCTCAAATCTCTTTTTGTCCAATACCCCAACCCTAATATCCTCCAGAGAACAGCAGAATTTGGCTTATGTCTAGGTTTCTACCACAAAAGGAAAAGGGACCTCAGTCCCCATGTAAACATAGACTAATAATATATCAGACATAGGAGAGTATTTATTTCACTGAAGAAAAAATTATAGAGGACTCACATCCGTGTCCATAAAGTCAAAACTTCTGTCCTTCCCCATCCAGTGACCTGCCCCATCTCTAGCAGGAACCTACATAGTTCTCTGACTTACAGTGTTTTCCCAGAGTTGAACCCTCTTTTCTGCCCCTACAAATCAGTGTTGCTAAAGAGTCAAATAAGCTGCCTTTTCCCCATGAATCCTTTTACCAGATTTAGAAGGCTCTCTTGAATTTATTCCCCTTCCCTATCTCCTCCCCCCACCAGGGTAAAGCACTTGGGGTCACAGACAGTTAATCCTTTTTCCCTGGACCTACACACTCTATATAACTCACATCACTAATGAAGGGCACAAGAACGCAGAATCCTATTCCAATATCTCATTGTGGCATGGAGGTGACCCTGAGTTTTGAAGACTACCCCAGGAGAGTACAAAATCTTATCAAGTTTTATGACACTGGAAAGGCTTCAAGTACAGTTTTACAACAGGTTGTGTCTGCACTCTGAGGATCAGCCTGGTTAAGTGTGGAGAGAATCATCACCAATAGGCTGGTCACTTGTATAACTGGATATTATTGTTATTATTAGTTATTATTATCATGCCTGTTGCCTTTGAGAGAAAACATAAACTTCTTGTTTGACATTCAAAGCCCTTCAAACGTGGCCCTAGCCTCTTTTCTCAGACTGGTTCCGTGTTCCTTCCCCTCATGCACTCTATAGTCGAGCCATATTGGCCTACATTGGATCTCCTGCCTCCACGCCTTTCAGAGGATCATAAAGCTAGAGTTAGAAGGGACCGTCCGAAGCCTTCAAGTCCAGCTCCCTCATTTTCTAGATGAGGAAACTGAGGCCCTGAGAAGTGCAAGGCTGAACGTCTATTAAACATCAGAGGCAGGATTTTGTACTGTCTGCCTTGCTTGGTTCCATACTTCCCTCTCTGTTTACAGTGCTTTCGCCATAATCCAGGTCCTTATCTCATGCCTGGATTACCTAAACAGCCCTATTTCTTCACTCCAGCCCTTTCAATTCATCCTGCAGATCAGTGCCTGATAACTCTTCCCCTAACTCTGCTTGCTTCACGGTTCCCTTTGGTTTGGTGTATCTACACCTGGAGCCTGGATTTCTGGATCCACTACTAGCTGTCTCCCCCAGCTTCATTAAACAGCTTTCTTGCTACTCCTTCATGAGGTTCCTCCATTTTGTTTTATGAAATAAGGTTCAGGTGAATATGATAATGGCAGAGGAGTAATCCCTCTGCTGTCCTTTGCCTGGGGCAATCTCATGGGGGCCTTTGGAAGACATTATTCCTGCTTCCTTTATTATTTAGTACTGGAGACTGACTGATGGTGGAAATTTCAGGCAAGATGGTGGGGGAAGGAGGGAGGATTAGGATAGAACAGGATAGGATAGGATAGGATAGGGTAGGGTAGGATAGAATAGGGTAGGATAGGATAGGAGAGGATAGGATAGGATAGAATAGGGTAGGATAGGGTAGAATAGGGTAGGATAGGATAGGGTAGGATAGGATAGGATAGGGTAGGATAGGATAGGGTAGGATAGGATAGGATAGGATAGAATAGGGTAGGATAGAACAGGATAGGATAGGGTAGGATAGGGTAGGATAGGATAGGATAGGGTAGAATAGGATAGGATAGGATAGAATAGGATAGAATAGGGTAGGATAGGATAGGATAGGATAGGATAGAATAGGGTAGGATAGGACAGGATAGAATAGGGTAGGATAGAATAGGATAGGGTAGGATAGGATAGAGTAGGATAGGATGGGGTAGGGTAGGATAGGATAGGGTAGGATAGGGGAGGATAGGATAGAATAGAATAGGGTAGGATAGGATAGGGTAGGATAGGATAGAGTAGGATAGGATAGGATAGGATAGGATAGGATAGGATAGAATAGGGTAGGATAGAGTAGGATAGGGTAGGATAGGATAGAGTAGGATAGGATGGGGTAGGGTAGGATAGGATAGGGTAGGATAGGGTAGGATAGGATAGAATAGGGTAGGATAGGATAAGATAGGGTAGGGTAGGATAGGATAGGATAGGACAGTATAGGATAGGATGTTAGAGCTAAAAGATCCCAAAGAGTTCATCTCGTCAACTGAGACTCAGCGAGGTTGACTTATTTGCTTACCATCACACAGCCATTCAGTGGCAGAACTAGAATGAGACAACTAGTTTGACATTTCTGGGGGTATCCTAACTCAGAGTTTAGTGCTCAGCCAGTCAATAAGCATTTATTAGGTGCTTTCTATGTGCCAAGCACTGTGCTAAGCATTCAGGCTACAAAATATACAATTCTAATTGGGGAGACAACATACACACCATTATGGTATCTGACAGGCCACCAAAGGAGAAAGTTTTGAGGCTCAGGTATCCTTCATTCAATATCTCCAAGCCTGATATAGTGTTTGGATCATAGTAACCACTTAATAAATGCTTATTGTCTGACTGACTGACTATGTGGACAACAAACCTACCTCTCTTAGGCCAAGGGCCAGCCTTACTGGATCTCAGGTCCCAGAATTGGAAGGAGGCCCATGTGACCAGTGCTCAGAAAATGAAGAATAAACAGAAGGACAAATGCCTTCCAAAAATCTGTCAAATGGGGATATGATGGACTCCAAGGCCTGGTGTGTGTGACTAGAAAAGAACATGAGAGAGAGTATTCAGAGGATTAAAATGGGTGTGTGAGGAGGTTTCTACAGGGCTTCTGTGAAATGTCTATTTCATGCTCCTTGCAGCTGGTGGTTTGGGATAAGATGAATGCCTTCATCTGCCCCAAATAACTCCTTATTGTGTCTGCTCTGCCCCACAGCTCTTCGGGGACGTCTGCTACAACTGCAGCCACGTGATCGAGGGAGATGGTGAGGCCCATTTGTCCTCCCCTGGTGTCCCTTCCCACTGGGCTGCCCCAGCTCTCCCTGCACATCTGGCCTTGTTAGATCCAGAGTGGGGATCTGGGCCCTTGTTGTTCGGCCTTGACATAATTTCCTTCTGTTTGTGTTCCTTTCACAGTGGTATCAGCTCTCAATAAGGCCTGGTGTGTGAACTGCTTCTCCTGCTCCACCTGCAATATTAAGCTCACCCTGAAGTAAGTCCCTGCTGGCCCTCCAGCCCCTCAGGAGTAATTCTTTCCAGGGACGAGGATAGGGACTGGGCCTGTGATTTCATCAGTGTAGGGAACTCCCAGATAAAGAAACACCATCTACCCATGCAAATTGGCCCCTTCTCTTCAATTTAAAATCTTAGAGAGTTCCCTAGAGCAGAGATACCAAACTCACAGTGACTCCTGAGTGTGGCCTGAACCAGATTAAGATGTAATTGGGAAATATCTAGCAAAATAAATAAAAATACAATGCAACATAGATAATGTTAATTTGTGGTTTTCTGAGTTTGACATCTCTGCTCTAGAGAACAGAGAAGTTAAGTGACTTACTCAGGGCCACACAGCCAGTTTATGTCAGGGGTGAGACTTGAACTCAGGCATGGATAAATATATGCAAGCAATGGCCCCTTATTATAGCCGCTACCTGACTTTCTCGTGTCTCTTAAGTTTTCCACAAACCCCTTGGTTGGCCTTATTCCCAAAGGACTCTGGAGGTTTGGGAGAAGGCCATTGAGGGACCCCATCAAACAAATGTCAACCAGGGACCAGGGGGTCACATTTCACTTTTTGCTGCCTCCAGTAGGAGTTACTGGATGCATACTAGAGAATAATAACAGAACAACAGCACCTAGCATTTATATAATGCTTTAAGATTTGCAAAGAGCTTTTATATATGTTTTTTAATGAGGAGAGTGACCCTGTGAGGTAGGTGCTGTTATTATCCCTATTGTGCAGAGGAAGACACTGAGGCAGAGAGAAGTTAAATAACTTGCTCAAGGTCACATAGCTAGTAACCATATGAGGCAGGTCCAAACCCAGGTCTTCCTGGCTCTAAGTTCAATGTTCTATTACACCAAGCTTCCATTCAAAGGCATTCTGGCCTAGGTCTTGACCAAGCAAGGAGCCACCTTACAGAGTAGCAGAGGATGCAGGAACAGGTGGGAGATGGCAGGAGCAGAGGGTACTAGAGAAGCCTTGAAGATGAAACACTATATTAATTGAAAGTAAATGTATGAATCCAGAGGGAAAGTGTTCCTGAATTAAAATGCAGAGTGTCTCAATAGCACTGATCGTGGAGCTCTCTCCCTAATGGTCAAAACTTTTCCCTTCCCAAAGGAACAAATTTGTGGAGTTTGACATGAAGCCTGTCTGCAAGAAATGCTATGAAAAATTTCCTCTCGAGCTGAAGAAAAGGCTGAAGAAGTTGTCTGAATTGGCCTCCCGGAAAGCTCACCCCAAGTCTGTGGACTCAAATTCTTTCTGAAAAGCCTCTGCTGGGATTGTGTCCTCACCATTGCCACGCTGACCTCTTCTTCCCTGTCTGCTCCTCTTCTCTGCTCTTCCTTTCATCTTCCTTTTCTCCTCTTTCTACTTCTCTGCTTCCTCCTTTCTTCCCCCTTTTCCTCCACGTTTGTCGTCCTCTTTCTGATATCTCTTGAATCTCCTGATTGGGGCTCTGAAATCCTAAGAGCACTCACTGCAGTAAAACCTGTTGAGAGTTGAGGAAATAGAGGAAGAGAGGGGATCTAGGAGGTAGATGAGACCTGTACAACCCATTCCAATAGCCCACAGCTGGTTTGCTGCTCTCACCACCATAATAAGTCTCTGGCATTCCCCAACTCTAGTTTCTGGGACCCTCTGAGAGTTTTCCAGTAACATCTAGTTTGAGATTAAACAACTCAGCAAGTGGGAATACAACTGAATCCCAACCCCCTCTGCTGTTTGGAAGTGCACCAGACACAATTGAAGCCCTCATTTATGGACCCAACCAAGAATCCTTTGGAAGTCATGGTTCCTTTTTCCTTTATTCCTTGGGAGATCCTGTAGCTCAGTGGGCAATGGCCTTCCCATTTCTTTTCTACAAGCTCTGTCTCCCTGGTGACTCATATTTCATTACCATCTGTCTGAGAAATTCCTTTCTTTTAGGGTAAGGATTTTTGACCTGGAATCCACAGACCCCTAGTGGTTCCATGGATAGATTTCAGGAGGTTGGTGGACTTGAATGGGGGAAAAATATATGTATATATATATAATTGATTTCTTTTGTAATTATACACATTTCATGCATTTAAAAACAATTCTGCTAAGAGGTCCATAGGCTTCACCAGACTCCCAAAAGGGTCCGGGACATCAAAAATGTTGAGATCCCCTGCTTTAGGGCCACGTCAGACCCTGTTCAGATGCCTTAACCCAATGATGAGGTGGCTTTCTCACTTCCAGAGTCTTGGCCACCTTGCAGCTGGTGTGACCCAGTTAGATTCAGTTTAATTAAACAAGTATTCATTGAACATTCACAGTCCTATTCTAGGACTATGGAGGAGCCAAGAGAAGGCAAAATAAATGTCTCCCATTTATAGAGTGCTGTCAATTTTATATAGCGCTTTTCTTGCAACAACCTTGTGAGAAGACATATTCCTTTCCCTTAAAGAGATCATAGTCCAGCTGGGGAGACAAGACTCAAACACCTAAAACGTTTAGAAAACCATACCTCCTAACAACAGATAATGAAATGAAATTTGTGGGCTGCAAATCATAAGTGCTCTAGAAAGACAGCAAAGACAGACAGATAGAGAGACAGACAGACCAGCACATAGTGGGGTACTGAGAAAGGAGGAAGCAGGACCTGGTTGGGCCTGGAAGGATGGACAAGCCTTGGATAGGTGAAGAAGCAAAGAGTAGATGTTGAAAGTGAAAGAAACAGGAGTGAACACAGCCTTCAAATATACCATAGTGAAAGGCTAGATCATGCAAAGTCTGTATGCCTACAGTCATAGAACCCCTGGGCCAGAAAAATCAGCCTAGGCCCAAAGGATGGCTTTCTTCTATAAGACCATACTTAAGAGGGGAAATTATTCTCAGGTTATTACTACCATGCCCATCTGCCTATTGACTTTCTTCAGGGTCCTAGGGAGGGGTTAGATATTTTATTCTCCCCTGGAATTTCAGTGGCTTTAGCCAGATCCTACAGTGTAGTGTGGAGCTGGTGTACTTGGTGGGGGCAAAAGCAAGAGAAAAGAAGGAAACATCTGTAGGATTGACAGAAACCTGCAATCCATCTATTGCCAAGTACTTATTGAGCACCTTTTTGTCTATCTTTATCCCCAAAGACTACTTGCCTGAGCAGGGTGGGTGGGTGAAATAAATGAATAGTCCATGGGTAGATTCATCTGGTCCCAAATAGGAACCCCCTGTATTGGGGACAGGGGCCCACCCCTTTCCTCTCCCACATTGCTCAGCACCACAACATCACAAAGTATCATTACAGAAAAATAGAGCTGAGAGGGACCTTAGAGGTCATCATGTCCAACCCCTTTGTTTGACAGATGAGACAGAGAGAGAGAAAGGGATTTGCTTAAGGTTACAAGGATAGGAAGTGACGGACTTAGGGCTTGAACATAGGTCTTCTTACTCCCAACCCTGCACTGTGCTGCCTCACTGTAATGAAACCTGCTATCTGATCCCTCTACCTTTCGCATTTTGGGGTCCCTATTTATTATTATTATTATTTGCATATGGACATCACATAGAATATAAAGCATTCACATGCACTAATTTGCAAAGCCTGGACTAGTAATTCCTACATATCTCTGTACTTACAGACAAAAAACATTAAATGGTTTCTTTTCTTTTCTTTTCCCCTCCAGCCAATTATATCAGGACAGCTTTCAGTTGGATTAGATTGAGGATAATTTCCTTATAATGGACGGCCTTCTCTGGCCGGAGAGAAGATTCACAGACTCCTAGAATGCTAGGTTTAAAGAAGCCTTATGCATCATCTTATCCATCCTCATTCTACAAATGAGGAAACTGAGACCTAGAGTGGGTTGTCACTCATTCAAGATCACATGTCTATTTATTACTGGAAACAGGTCTAGAACCCAGGGCTCCTGATTCCCAGTCCAAGGTTCTTTCCATTATACCGTACTGTTACATGTCTGGACTGGAGTAAGAGCTGTTGTTTCACACTGAGAAAGGCAAGGGCTGAGCTTCACAGATGCTCCTGTGTTGAGGCTGACCTTGGATGAGTGCATGGTCACAAGGAAGGAAGAAAGAACATTCCCATTGAGTCCTGGGTGATGGACCCCTTTGTAAATGTTGTTTTGAGGCTACTGGACCCATGCATTGTAATCCTGTATGTACCAGTGTTACCTATCAATTACAACACATGAGATTTATTGTAATTCATTTTCATTGCTTTGCACAATAAAGATTTGCAAGAGTAAAGATGGTTGTGAACTCATGAAATAACATGATATGGGGCTCCAACAGAATGTACTTAATAATCCTCATCCCCAACAAACACAGTGAGTGAAGTAGCTTCTAAGGACTTGTGCTTAAGAGCCCAACTGTGGTGTTACCCGACTGGTCCTTCTGTAGCAATGATTCATCCTACAAGAGGTGTCAGCCACTGATTCTGCCCAGTTCTCCCAGAAGAACAAGACAGATTAGAAACTTGAATGTCATACTGTAGGGGGTAATAAAAACAAATAAACAAACAACAACTGCCTAGAACTTTTGAATATGGACAATGAAACACTGATTCACTGAGACTATAGATTGCTGTCAGAGAAAAACCCCATGCTTGAAACACTGAGGCAGGTTGTGGTAAAATTTAACATTTTCAAAAGCAAACAACATATTTTGCTAGTAGCCAAGAGAAAGACTTTCAAATATGGACTGTCAGTCTGAGTAACCCAGCATTATGTTTCAAGGGTGAGAAATCAAAGAACAAAATGGGATAGTATATTTTAAAACAACCACAACCACAACAACAAAGGAGCTCAAACTGGAGCCCAAAATAACATCTCAAATAAAAAAAAGATGTACTTTCAACAGTAGAGGCATTTTAGTCATTTCTGCAGAAAAATCATCAAGGCAATGAGAATATTTGATTTACAAAAATTCCCCAAACAAACATGGGTAAATAATAAAAGTTGCTATTCAGTTGTGTCTGACTCTTTTTGACCCTGTTTGGGGTTTTCTTGACAGAGAAAGATGTCCTTTGCTTCTCCAGCTCATTTTACAGATGAAGAAACTGAAGCAAACAGGGTTAAGTGACCTGCCCAGAGTCACATAGCTAGTAAATATCTGAGGCTACATTTGAACTCAGGAAGATAAGTCTTCCTGACTCTAGGCTTGGTGCTCGATCCACTGCACCACCTAGCTACCTTCAAAATAGTAAGAGTAGCTAACAATTTCATAGTGTTTTAAGGTTTGCAGCACACTTTACATATATAATCTCACTTGATCCTCAGAACTACTCTGTGAGGGAAGTGCTATTATTATTCCCATTTCACAGCTGAGACTGGTTTCACAGCTGAGACTGGAAGAGGATAAGTGAATTGCCTACTGTCATATGGCTAGTAAGTTCCCAAGGCAAATACAAACTCAGGTCTTCCTTTACTTGATGCACTAGAACACTCAACTGCCTCTATAAGCACAATCATCAAGAGAGGACTAAGTAATGAAACCAAGTCTTTCATGTTTATGTTATTTAAATAAAAAGTAATTGAACTAAGAAGTAAAAGAAAAAAGGGTCAAAAAACCCTAAAAGGGTTAAAGATTTAAGACAAAAGAAAGGAGGAAGAGCTGTACTAAGTCCTGTGATTCCCTCTAAATCACTATCTTCTGCCAGAAGAATAGCACAGTGGGAAGCTGCATAGAAGGGGAGAAGGGAGATAAGAGACAGGAAAGTTGGAGATTCATCCTCACCAAGTACATAGATAAACAGAGGAAGGATGATCATTTGCCTAATTTATTAACAAGAATGGAGGCTGTTGGGAATAGCTTATAAGCCATGGAAGGAAAAGATTGGGATGGGGCAGTAGAAAGAGGGATCTCAGTTTAGCAGGGGAAATGAAAGGGTGTTACTAAAGACATTCCCATGGGGAGGGATGGATGTGTCTGCAGTAAGAATCAGCAAGGGGTAAGAGTCATCTAGGGAATATTTGCACATTAGGAGACCACCTTCTTTGAGAAAGGGTTTTTTTTTTAATTTTTTAGAAAGTGTTGTACCTCCTAGGATGGCATATTGTCTCAGGAGAGTGGATATATGAGTCCTTAAGGTCAGCCAGCACACAGGGTCTTGGGGATGACATTAGAATTAGAGTTAGGATAACCTGGTCTTAGAAGTGACGTGTGATCAAGTTGTTGGTTGTTGTCTTTTGTTCTTGAAGAGGACCAAAATGCCATCACTATGTTGGAGTCAAGGTACCTTGTGTCTGACTATGGCTGATCAGACCAATACAAGCTCAGAAGGCTCTATGATAGGTCGGGTACAAATAGTCCACATGAACGTTTGGAGTGGAGGTGTCTCTACATTTCCTCATCTCATGTTTCTTTTGAGCTACTGCAATTCTGCTTTGCTTATAGAGCACAGTACCGTCTTTGATGCAGGCACCCATGATGGATGGTCCTTTGCCGGTGTCTCTCATGAGAGGCAAACAATTTCGAAGATCTTTAGGGAGACATTGACAATGTCCTTGTATCACTTTTTCTGACCTCCATGTGAGTGCTTGCCTTGTAAATTCTCCATAAAATAGTCTTTTAGGTAAGTGTGCATTTGGCATTTGAACAATGTGGCTTTCCCATTGGAGTTATGCTCTCTGCAGTAGAGTTGGAATGCTTGGTAGTTTAGCTGGAGAAAGGACCTCAGCGTCCAGTAACTTATCTTGCCAGGTGATCTTCAGAATCTTCCTAAGACAATTCAAATGGTAGCGATTTCGTTTCCTGGCATGTCACTGGTATACTATCCAGGTTTCGTAGGTATACAGCAATGGGTTCAGCACAATGGCTCTGTAGACCTTCAGTTTGGTAGTCAGTCTAATACTTCTCTCCCACACTTCCCTTTGGAGCCTACCTAACACTGAACTAGCTCTGGCAATGTGTGCATCAGCCTCATCATCTATGTGGACATCCCTGGAAAGCACACTGCCAAAGTAAATGGACACAGCATTCAACATTTCTTCATTTTCTATAACCACGTATGGTTGGTGTGGTGCTGGCTGGTGGAGAATCTTTGTTTTCTTGGTGGTAATTATTAAACCAAAATTGGCACAAGCAGCAGAGAATCAGTCTATACTTTGTTGCATCTTGGCTTCAGAGGCTGCATTGAGTGCATAACCACTTGAAAACAAAAAATCATGCACCAGTTCTCCTTTCACTTTAGTCTTGGCTTGTAGCTTTTTCAAGTTAAATAATTTAGCATCAGTGTGGCAGCTGACCTTGATGCCATTTTTACCCTCATTGAAGGTGTCTGACAACATTGCTGAAAACATCATGTTAAAAAGCATGGGAGCAAGCACGCAGCCCTACTTCACTCTACTGGTGACCAGGAAAGCATGAGAACATCTTCCATTATCCAGAACCTGGGCAAGCATGCCATCACAAAACTGATTTATGACACTGATGACCTTCTCCAGGCACCCAAATTTTGCCATAATTTCCCTCAAGCTCTTATGACTGACAATATCTAAGGCCTTGGTCAGATTGACAAATGTTGTATACAGATCTCTGTTCTGCTCCTGGCATTTCTCCTGGAGTTGTCCAGCAGCAAACACCATGTCAACTATTCCTTGGCCCTTTCTGAAGCCATACTGGCTCTCAGGTAGATGACCATCTTCCAGGTGAAGGATCATGGTAAGGGCAAAGGAAGGACCAGACCTTATAACTCAAAACACAGATTGACTCACATCATATCCCACTGCTTCCATTTAATGTTATTCCCCTCATCAATTGATATTTTAAGAATGAGGCATAGTAGAAAAGAGAGAAGATGCAGTAAGACCTCTAAATGCAATAACAAAAATGGGGTAGAGGAGGGAATTCAATTGGTTACTTCAGAAGCTATATCCTCATGACAGAGATAGAAAGCTTAAAGAAAGAACAAGTAAGAGTAAACCCATATATTGGAAAGTAAAGTTCATAATAGGCTAGAAAGAGAAATAAGGAGGACAAAAAAAGGGAAAACTTCTTGGAAAATGGTGCCACAAGAAAATTGGAACACTAGTGCATTGTTGCTGGAGTTGTGAACTGATCCAACCATTTTGGAGAGCAATTTGGAACTATGCCCAAAGGACTATAAAATTGTGCATACCCTTTGACCCAGCAATACCACTTCTAGGTCTGTATCCCAAAGAGATCATAAAAATGGGAAAAGGACCCACGTCTACAAAAATATTTATAGCAGCTCTTATTGTAGTGGCAAAGAATTGGAAATTGAAGGGATGCCCATCAATTGGGGAATGGCTGAATAAGTTGTGGTATATGAATGTAATGGAATACTATTGTGCAGTAAGAAATGATAAGCAGGCAGACTTCAGAAAAACCTGGAAAGACTTATATGAACTGATGCTGAGTGAAATGAAAACCAGGAGAATATTGTACACAGTAACAGCCACATTCTGTGACGACTGACTTTGATAGACTTGGCTCTTCTCAGCAATGCAAGGATCTAAGACAACTCCAAAAGACTCATGATGGAAAATGCTATCCACATCCAGAGAAAAAACTATGGAGTCTGAATGCAGATGGAAGCATACTTTTGCTCACCTTTTCCTTTGTTGTTTTGTTTTATTGCTTCATTCTCATGGTTCCTCTCATTAGTCCTAATTGTTCTTTACATCATGACTAACGGGAAAATATGCTTAATATGAATGTATAAGTAGAGCCTATATCAGATTGCATGCTGTCTTGGGAGGGTGAGGGTGGGAGAAAATTTAAAACTCAAAATCTTATGCAAGTGAATGTTGAAAACTGAAAATAAATAAATTATTAAAAAAATAAAAAAGAAAATGCTGCCACAAAAAGAATGTTATTTGAAGCTAGAGGCTGGATGAAAGAAGAGAAGGAAGATTTTGAATCACACATTTAGCTTAGCAGGGAAAAAGAAAGAAAAGGAGTAGAAAAAGATAAATAAAAAGAAAGAAAAATTAACAATTTAAGTAAAACCAAGGAACTTGAGGTAAGGTAAGTAAATGGGACTGGGGTAGGGGTGTGGACTAGACTAGCATCAAAATAACACAGGAAAATAATCATTGAAGCCAAATGCTAACCTAAAAGAAAAAGATGATTAAATTAATGCAAAAGAAATAAATGTAGGGAAAGACAAGCCTAAGAATATTAGCCTCAAATGTAAATAATTTTACAATACAATAAAATGAAAGAGAGAATCAGAATGGATAAGAAAATAAATTTGTTACAGAAAACAGTTTGTTATATAACATTTGTTTATCTAAAACAAATTGTTAAATAAAAGAAGCACAACTAAAAATAAAGGCACATAGAAAATGAATAAAAAAGGCTGGAACAAAATTTACTATGCATTCAACTATGCATCAAAAAAGCAAAGATTGAAATCATGCTCAATGAAAAAAACAAAAATGCATGAAGTCAAGAGAGATAAACATAGAAATTATATTATACATAAAGTGACATAATAGACAATGAAACAATATTAATACTAAACATATATCACTGAATGGGAAAGCATCTAGATTCATAAAGCATTAACTGAAATAAAAAAAATGACATCAACATAATAATTATAGGAGATTTTAATGTTAATTCTCAGAGCTGGATAAATCTTAACAGAAAGATAATAAAAAGGAAAATACAGAATTAAGCAAACCATTGAAGAAGTTAGATTGGAAATACTCATGGCATCTTGTGAATGGGAGCATTAAACAATATATATATATATATATATATATATTTCTCGGTTTCACATGATACCTTTACAAAACGACCATGCACTAAAGTGCAATGAAACTAAAAACTACAACAAAACCATATTATGCTGTCAGGAATTTGGGTGTGAAGAAATTACAAAGGCATGATTATCATTAATTTAAATTAAATTTAATTCACTTAGGCACCAAGTGCCTACAGCATGAATGCACTTTATTAGGTCTTGGAGACACAAAAACAAAATGAAAAACAGTCTCACCCTCAAGGAGATTACATTTTACTGGGTGATTTAATATTTATATAGTAAAGATGAGATCACTTTTGAAGGGATAGAACACATTATCTACTGATGGAGGGTATCAGGAAATACCACCATTAGGAATGTTTCTATATTGAAGCCTGAAGAATGATAAGGATTCTAGGAGGGGCATGTAAGGAAAAAGTAAATTCCAGGAGATGGGGACAGCCCCGGCAAAGACAGGCCTGGAAGTGGCTGATGGAATTCTAAGCTACGGGAGCATATTGGCTGGAACGTAGAGTACGTAGAAAGGGACTAATGTGAAATAAGTCTGGAAAGGTAGGCTGGAACTAGACTGTGAAAGGCTTTAAATATTAATGTGGGGAGTTTGTTATTTTATCCTAGAGGCCATAGGGAGCCACTGAAGATTTCTAATCAAGGGAATGAAGAAGTTAGATCTGTTCTTCAGGAAAATTATTTTGGTAGCAGTGCAGAAGATGGATTGGAGGGGAGACACTAGAAACAGTACCTTAAGGAAACCATTTCAATAGTTCAGGTGAGAGGTTATAAGGGCCTGAACTAGGTTGGTGGTTACTTGAGGAGGATAAATGAGAGACACATTGTGGAGGCAGAATCAAAAAGTCACGGTGACTGATTGGATATGGGGGAAAATGAGAAGGAAGAAATGAAGAAGATTCTGAGGGTGTAAATTGGGGAAACTAGAAAGATGGTTATGTCTTTAAGAGAAACAGGTAAATTTGGAGGACAGTTGGGTGTTGTGGGGGGGGAGATAATGAATTCTATTTGAACACTAGGACGCTACCAGATGGTGGGTAGTGACTCCCCAGCAGCAACCTGACTCCACTGGATACCCAAGTGGGCACTGGATGTCTTTCCATCATCCATGAGGTAGTCTCCTGACATTCCTCCTTCCACCTCCACCCTCAATCCCAAACTAAGGACATGCTTCACTTTCGTGTTGCTTGCCCTGGTGCAGAAATTCCTAGCTAATGCTCTGGATGAGGTCAGTCCATTCCAGGATGAGGAAACTGGAGAAGGGAGAGGCGAAACAGGTGGCAGCCTTGGCTTTCTCTGTGGAGATGAGAGTTCCTGTCCATTCGGCAGGTGGATGGGTAGTTGTGACCTCAGCCGATGTCCCACCTCAGTCTAAGGTTTGGAGGCTCTTCTGTTTGTTCACTGTGCTTAGGAGCAGCTGCACATAGGATGTCAGTAGGTCATCCATCTTATAGCCCTGGGTTGGGAGACACAGAAGGGGCACAGAACGGTCAGGGTGGGCCATCGGGGAGGGGGGAGAGTGCGCTACAGAGCCCCAGGAGCTGTGAAGGGGGAGGAAAAGGAATAAGTATACAGCACCTACTATGTGCCAGGCATTGTGCTAAGCGCTTTGCAAATATTATCTCATTTGACCTTCACAACAACCCTGGGAAGTGGGTGCTATTATTATCCTCATTTTTACAGTGGAGGAAACTGAAGCAAACAGCAGTTAAGTGACTTGCCCAGGGCCACACAACTTGTTAAGTGTCTGAGGCCAGATTTGAGCTCAGAGTTTCCTGACTCCAGACCTAGCTCTCTATCCACTGTGCCACCTAGTGGTCAAGGGGAAGAGCTTTCATGCAATAAACATTTAGTAGGCGTTTGATAAGTATAACTGTATTAAGTATATTAGGCATATAGTCCTTGTTCTAATGGGGCTTTCAGACTAGCATAGGAATAAGACATGGACACGCAGCAGCTAGGTGATACAGTGGATAAAACACTGGACTTGTATCCAGGAAGACCTGGGTTCAAATCCTGCCTCAGACACTTACTAGCTTTGTGACCTGGGCAAGTCATTTAACTTCTCTCAACCTTAGTTTTCTCATCTGTAAAATGGGGATAATAACAGCATCTACCTACCTCACAGCATTGCTGTGGGGATCAGATGAGATGACATGCGTAAGTGCTTCGTAAACCTTAAAGTGCTGTATCAATACCAGCTATTATTATACGAAAGGGTCTCGAGGAGCTACACTTTGAGAACCATCGCCGGCACCATCCTGCAAGTCCAGAACCTAACATCGTTCTTTGTACACAGCAAGAGCTTGATAAGGGTTGGCTGAGCAAATGAATGAGAAAGCAAAAATGACTGGGGCCACCTGAGAAGTCATGGATCTTTGATGTTTCACAACAAAACATTTTTGCCCATGGTTATTTCTCCTTTCCAAGCCATATCTCCAAGTTAATGATCTCATAGTAGAACAAGGTAGATTCGAATTTTCTCTCTTTTCCCTGCTCCTATTCCTCTTCTACTGGAAACAAAACCCAATGACTCCTCATCCCATGCCCTCCCTTGCCCTCCCCACACCTCCAGAGCCCCTGGTATTCAGAGGGGTCCCTTGCATGCCTAGCCCCAGGGTGGGCTCACCAGGGACGTCTCACACAGCAGCCGATTCCCCCTCACGAGGTTCCCAAGCACCAGGTGGAAGTAGGTGCTACCACTGCTCCAGCTGGAGATTTTTGTAAAGGGGTAGGTTTTTAGGAGCTCCTGCAGGGAGAGGTAAGGAAGAGAGGACAGAAATTCAAGGAGCCGAGGTTAAGGAAGGGGTTTGGGGCCAAGGTGGAGGGATGCCTAAGAAATCTAAGTAAAAATTCAGGGCTGGCCGTCCGGAGAGCCGGCTCACGGTGTGTCCTTGGTCTAGTGTTTAATCTGTCTCAATCCCAGTCCATCAAACGGAGCCAGTTCTATCTATTCTAACTCTTTTGCAGAGAGCTAATGAAATAAGGTGCCCTCTGCATCTTTCCCGAGTCCAGAGCCTTGACCAGGATCCCCTCCACTATCCTCTCGTCCACCCTCCATTTTCTCTTCCTTCCCACTGCCAACACTGGGGCATCGCTGTGCCTTGATGGGGAAGGACAGTGTTCTGTATCCAGTCTGGGCCCTGGAGAGCAATGCTATCCTGCCACCGCCCCTCCCCAGACCCAGTAGTTGTTGTTGTCATTGTTAGGCCTTTGTCATCCTGTAGTCTTATTGGAGGACCTAGCTAGGTTAATAATCTCTCTGACCTTGGTCTTGGGGTGAATGAGCTGCAGTCCATGCTTGTTGATGGCAATGAGGATGATCTCTGGGTAAGTGGGCTCTGAGCTTTGCTGGAATGGAGAGATGGAGAAGGAAAAGAGGAAGTTACTGATGTTCCTCACTTCATCCCCTAACCCATTTTTTCCCCAAACCAATTAAAACTGGCAACTTGGGATGGAGTTGAGAATAGCACTGTCCTGCTTTGTAGCTCCTGGCCTGGCTCACTTGGGCAGGGACTAGCTCTTAGTCTCTTGAGAACTTACAATCCAGTAGTTACCAGAGAAAAGAATGTCAAATCATATTTCCCTTTTCATCTCCCCTGCCCCGTACCCCCACCTGCACTTACATAGAGGAACAGAATGGTCACAGCCATGTTCTCAGGCACACAGAAAAAGCTTAGATAAGCACACACATTCTCATTCTCTCTCTCTCTCTCTCTCTCTCACACACACACACACACACACACACACACACACACACACACACAGCACAGAACTTCCTCAAGACCTGATGTGTATTTGCAGGACAAAGAGGCTTCCTGGATAGGATTAAAAGAAGTCATAGACTAAACTCACTGAGGACTAGGTAGCTCCATAGAAAGAATTCTTTATTTAGAGTAAAGACCTGGTGTTTAGATTCCAGCTCTGATATTGCCTGTTCAACTTTAGGCAAGTTACTTAACCTCTTAGGGCCTCAGTTTCCTCATCTGTAAAATTAGGGGATTAGATTATTGTTAAGCCATTTCAGTTGTGTCCAACTCCATGACCTCATTTGGGGTTTTCTTGAGTGGTTTACCATTTCCTTTTCCAGATCATTTTACAAATGAGGAAACTGAGGAAAAAAAGAGTTAAGTGACTTGCCCAGGGTCACTCAGCTAGTGTCTGAGACTGGTTATATCATTTCTCAGTGATATATTCTATATATTCTAGCTCTAAACGGATTAGCAGTATAGTAGTATGTGACTCTGGGCAATTGACTTAACTTCCCTGAGTACCAGTTTAAGCATCAGCAAATTGGGCTTAATAATTCTTGAACTATCTACCTCACTGTTGTGGGGGGAAAGTCCTATACAAACGAATCACCATCATTATTACTATCCTCTTAATATCCCCACTACTTAGCATAGTTCCCTGCACATAGGGGTCAATCAACAGTCAATCAACAAGCATTGATTGAGCACTTACTATGTACCAGACACAGTATTAAGTTTGGGGAATACAAAAAAGGCAAAAACACTGGCTGCTCTCAAGGAGCTTGCTTTCTAATGGGAGAGACATTATGCAAATAACTGGGGACCTACAAGATGTCTAAAGAGAAGAAGGTTTTCTGAAAAGGAAAAGGCTTTAGCAGGTGGGGGAGATGCTTAATCCACCAGTTCTTTTCTAAATGAAGGGGATTCTGCACTGGGAGAGTTGGGATTGGTGGGGTCTGAAATAGAACCTACCTTCACCTCGAAGAAGGCTGAGCCAAAGGTGGGCCACCGGTAAATCAGCTTCAGGAAGGCCACCTTGGCTTCATCCACTGTCTTCTCTTCATACCTACTGTAAGCAGCAGAGATGTTCTGGGAAGAAGGGGAGTGCAGGGATATAAGCATGGGTGAGTGGGAGCCACTTATGCAGGGACTAGAAAGGATGCTCTATCATGTTGGGGCACTAGCACTGACTTCATGGACTCCAGGAGACTGGAGAGACTGACCACATCTAACCTTTGTTAGTAAATCTGACCAGAAAATCCAGGCTCTCAATCCAAATAGTCTTCACTTTTCAGGCATCAATATCTACTCTTTTTCATTCCATCTGTAAGTTTCTTTAAAAAGTGAATTCTCCTTGGAGTTTTTGTCTATAATCCTCTTTTTCTGTTCTACTTAGTACATGGAAATGAATTTTATTTTGTCTTTTTTTTGGGGGGGTGTTATATTCAGAATAAAAAAGTTAAAAAGTGACTCCTTTCTCTATCAGTATGGATAATGTTCACTACCCACATGCTTTAAGTGTTTATAGCAGTTCTCAAAAGAAGAATTGCAAACTATTAACCATATGAAAGATTGTTCCAAATTACTAATAATAAGAGAAATTCAAATCAAAACAACTCTGGGGTTTCATTTCAAACCCAGCAAATTGACAAAGATGTCCAAAAAAATGGGAATAGTAAATGGTGGTGTGTCTATGGAAAGAAAGGCACTCTTGGTGTGGTTTGATTTGATCTGACCATTTTGGAAAGTGATCTGGAATTACGGTTAAAAAAAGTGACTATGTTCATACCCTTTCACCCAGAGATTTGACCATTCAGGAGAACAAAGATAGAGAGAAGGGCCTTCTATACATCAGTATATTCATTGCAGTACTTTTTGAAATAACAAAGAACTAGAAACAAAGTAGATGTCTCTTAATTAGAGAATGGCACAAAAATGTAATGGAATATTATTACACTATTACAGAAAGATGAAAAAAGAATTCAGAGAAGTATAAATTGATGCAAGGGAGTAAAACCAGGAAAATAATATACACAGTACCTACAACAATGTAAGTGGAAACTATAATAATAATAACAAAATCATGAATGCTGATTAATTATAATAATCAAATTTGACTGAATTAAGAGATGAGAAAATGTACCTCTTTTCCCTTCTTTGCAGAGGAGGGGGACTATGGATATAAAGCACTGCAAATACTGGTAGACTTGGTTGATGTGTTGATTAGTCTTACTGAACAGATTTCCATCCTTCTTTCTTATTTCTCCCTCTCTTCCTTCCTTTCTCCTTTTCTTCCTTTCTCCCTTCACTTCCTTTGTTTCTTCCTCCCTCCCTTCCTTCCTTCTTTTCTATTCTTTCTTACTAAGAGGGGATCTCTGGGTAGGGAATGGGGGAGGTGTATATTTACAAATAGAGTGACATAAAAAATCTTATTCATTTTTAAAATTACATTTGTCTATAGACTAGTAGCTACATGGTACAGTTGGAAGAATACTGGACTGGGAGACAGGAAGTTTGATGTCCTGTGTTCAAATCCCAGGCTTCATGTATTAGTGGCAAGTCATTTAACCTCACCTCTTTGAGCTTCCATGTTCTCATCCATAAAATAGGAATAATAATAATACTTGCACTAGCTGCTGTTTCATAGACTTTTAAAGGGCTGTATCAATCTGAGTGAATATTACTTGATTGAGTAATGTGTGTGTGTGTGTGTGTGTGTGTGTGTCTAAAGGGGTTGTATAGGGAAGCTTAAAGCTAAGGTGTGAGTATCCATCGCTTCTTGATGATGTTAGACATGAAGAAAAACCCTCTCGGACTGGTAATTCAATGGGAATTTAATCAATGGGAAAATAAGATTCAACTTAGAAAAACATCAGTTTGTGGATAGTTTTTCAGAAATTTGTCTATTGCATAAAGCAAGGGATACCTGTACCTGGGAGGGACTTAAAGGATGGAACTGGGGAAATAAGGGCAAATATATTCTAATAAAAGTACCCCAAGAAAGAGGCCTGGAGTCCCCCCTCCCTTTATTTTTCCTATAGTCCCCCAGGTGAGTAGATTACTCAGTACATGGTCACCCTAGGGAAGGGATGGAGACTGCTAGGGGCAGACTGATGACCTTTTTCCATTCCTCTGAAGACATCAGTTGGATCATGTTCTCAGGTACCAATTCCTTCAGGATCCTGGAGACAGTGGCTGTCTGGGACCTGTCATTGTCAAACTGGACCTTGTAAATGAGGCCTGCAAGCTGGATGGCATCCTCCCTGGTGCACTTGTGGAATCCACGCAGGTATTTGGGCAGTTCCTGGCATAGAAAGATAGACAGACAGTAAAATTGAACATTTCCTCCTAATGCACTGATGTCTGAAGATTGCCTGGCCCCTTAGCAAAACTGGTAAATAGAAATTTGCATGTGGCAACTCTTCATGTCCCCACTATGCTGCTACTCCAGAACTCTCCTGTCTCTCTTCCCTCTTCCAACTGCTCCTTCTTCCCTCGCCCTGAAAAATGGCTGAGAAATTCATCTACGTCCAGGTGTTAGGACTTCATATGTCTTTTCTCCCAGGGGACTTGTTCCTTAAAAATGGATCCTGGAGAAGAATGAATGAATTACTGAGTGTAGAATTTTAGCACAGTGTCTGGCATAGTGCTCCCTTCTGGCATGGGGAATGAGACTGAATTGTCCCCATCCCTAAATGAATTGGCCCCAGGCACAGTTTCAGCTAATCATAGCTCAACTGTGAACATTTCTATGACTGCATGTATGTGTGTGTGTGTGTGTGTGTGTGTGTGTGTGTGTGTGTGTGTGAATGTGGGCTTCTCTGCCTCTTTTATTGCAAGATATGGCTAAATTGCTTGGCTTAGAAGTCAGTTCTTTGTGGCTTACAACTCACATGCCATTCAAATCTCAGTGTATCATAGGGATGGAGGCCCTGGAAGAGGACAACTCTTGGGCTCCAGTCCTAGCTTTGTCATTAATTAGCTACGTGTAGTTGGGAAGTTCCTTCACCTCCCTTGCCCTTAGTTTCTCCATATGTAAAATATTATGGAATAAGACTAGATGATCCATAAGTCTAATATTGCATGATCTAGTTTCCTGCTTCCTGTCCCCTCCCTCCAATCTACTGAGCTGACCAACATCATTCTATGATCCCATAACACGAAACACACCCTGCTTAATTGATCGTAGTGGAGTATCCAAGAAGTCTTCTTTGCCTACCCCATCAAATTCCAATTCCTCTTCAAATGCAAGAACCTCCACAATCCGGCCCCTACCTACCCAACCCTATCTTCCACTGCTATCTACCATGGGCTCCCCACTTCACCCATGCTCACTCCCACCTCAGCTTACACTATAACCTCCCAACTAGAATCCCTACCCCCACCCTAGCCTTCTTTCTACTTGTCCAAATCTTACCCATCCTTTAAAGCCTAGCTGAATAGTTTCATTTCTTCCTTCTTTTCTTGAGTCTAAGATAGTGTCTGTGTTTAGTAAAGGTTTGTTAAATGAATGAATCAATGATGTCTAGGCTTCTCCTTGAAGTGTCCCCTGATCACCCTAGCCCATAATTCTTTCTCCCTCCCCTGGAGTCCTATATGGGCCAGAGGTCCATATATCATATCTGTGTGTGTGTGTGTGTATAATATGGGTCAGTGGTCCATCCCTTAGTGAAGTTGACAGGCAGCCCTTTTACCTGATGATAGTGAAGGATGGTGTCAGCATTCAAGTCTTTCCCAGGGGAGACATTCAACCAGAGTTTTCTCATGAAGTACACATGGTAATACAGGGTTACTGCTGCCCCTGAGTGAATAAGGTCATGGCCATCAGCCACAGGGTTAAGGTCTTCCTGAAGCAGACAGCCTCCTCAGGTCAAGCGATTTAAGTCAGGCTCAGCTCAGATGATACTCCACCTGCCACCTCTCCCTCCCGGACTACATCCTCTTAGACTTGGTTTCATTTCAAGCCTCCTCTCCCTCTACCCCCACCCATGGTCCCTTTCAAATCCCTTTGATATCAATTTCTCCTTCCTCCCTGCCCCCAAAGGGCCATACAGTTTATGTTTATTATTTTTAATCAAAGCATGTGAATCAGTTTGGGTTTGAAAATTGAAGTTGCACTTTGAGATCATTCAAATTCTACCTGCTCTGTCATGCCTTCATAGAATCATAGATATAGAGATGGAAAGGATCTATGAGGTCATCTAACCCAATATCCCTCTCCCCATTTTTTTTTTTACTTTCTTTTTTTTTTTTGGCTAGGCAATGGGGTTAAGTGACTTGCCCAGGGTCACACAGCTAGTAAGTATTATGTGTCTGAGGCCGAGTTTCAATTCAGGTCCTCTGAATCCAGGGCCGGTACTCCATCTACTGCACCACCTAGCTGCCCCCCCTCCCCATTTTACAGCTGAAGAAACTAAGGTCCCAGGAGATTCAGTAATTTAGTCAAGATCACATAAGTAGAAAGTAGCAGAGCCATGATTTGAATCGAGGTCTTTGAACTTCAAAATCCCATCACTCCAGCTTTGCATTTCCTTCCCTGACTATCCTGGCTCACAGTGATTTCTCCCTACCCTGAACTCCCAAAGCACTGCCTGTCTGTATCATTCATATAGTACTTAGTATATACTGCCCTAGTTAGGTGGTGCAGTGGATAGAGTTCAGGGCCCGGAGTCAGGAAGACTTATCTCCCTGAGTTCAAATCCAGCCTCAGACACTCAGACACTAGCTGTGTGACCCTGGGTAAATCACTTAACCCTGTTTGCCTCAGTTTCCTCATCTATAAAATGAACTGGAGAAGGAAATGGCAAAACACTGTAGTATCTTTGCCAAGAAAACCCCAAATGGGGTCATGGAGAGCAGATGCTACTGAACAACAAGAACTGCCCTGTGTTGTTAGATAAGTGTGTATGCGTGTATGTATGCTTGCAGGTATATCTTGTCTCCATCGCCAAGCTGTTAACTCCTTTAAGACAGGGATCAAGCCTTCCACATCATGTGTCCCCCCACATCACTTAGCACATGTTGAGTATTTAGTGAGTGGGCAGTAAATCTTCACAGAATCACAGAGCTGGGAGGGACCTTAGAGGTTAATTAGTTCAGTCCCTACTTGAACCATGCTGACTGATCACTGAAGATGCTCCCTGTGTGTCTTGTCTCTTAAGCAGGCTATAGGGGACTCCCTAGAGAATGTTGTTCCTATCCTGTCCACTCACCTCCATCAAAGCCTCCAAAGGCTTAGTCAGAGCAATTTAAGAGGTGGAAAGAGGGGTTAAACACTCTTATTTTCAGCAATTGGAGTCCTGTATACCTTTTCAGCTACTCTAACCAAGCCTTCAGAGGAACTCCTACAATCAAAGGGGAAAAAGGTGTTTTCTCCCTCCTCTCAGAAGATATTCACATATACCACTGATTAGATCACTTCACAACCACACACTCCAATAGTATAAACTTATTCTACCTGGGCCACTTCCACCCTTGAATCTGCAACTAGGGAACTCCTGTATGAAGGCCAAAGTCATGTTGTGAGAGACAGGTTTCCCAGCTGTCCTCTGGATGTTGGGCCAGAAAACCCCTGTGGTCCTAAATGGTCATGGTACATTGGTCTGGGAGACAGGAACTAGGCTCTGATAGTGACTAGCTGTGTCACCTTGAGAAAGTCACTTGTGCTCTAGAGACCTTTATTTTTTTAAACAATAAAATTAGAGGATCAAACTAGATGATCTCAAAGGTCCTTTGAAAGTCTAAATTTTTTGATTCAAGGATTCTATTTAACATCTCTTATCTTGTGGTTTCCACTTTCCACCTCTCCTAGGATAGGTGGCACCTCCTCCCTTTACCTTCTCTTGTGGGCTTGGTCTTTCTTATCCAGTCAGACACCTGCCTTAAGGAATCAAAGAAGAAGTCTTTTTCATTTTGGCTGATGACCTGGTGGGGAAGAGCAAATGTGAGATTAGACGGCAGCTAAGAACAATGCAAAGCTCTGCCCCACAAGCGGCTCCTTGCTAAGGAATGAGCAGAAAGGCTGGGCCTGGCCCTGGGGGCTAAGAGAGTTTTCCAGGGGAACCGAGAATATTCATAGGCAGAAGAGACAGTTGCCCACAATGGATTATTTGAATCTTACTCTTCTATAGTGAAATCACATCTAGGGTATCGGGTTTAGTTCTGGAAGTCACATTTTCTCCAGCCTACCCAACCAGATTTATTCCATATTTTGCCGCTTTGTCCACACTGTGGTCCAGCCAAATTGGCCTAGTGGCCGCTGCTCACACAAAGCACTCAATCCCCCGTGCCTTTGTATAGGCTGTGTGTCTCATGCCTATGATTCACCCTTTCCTCATCTCTACTTCTTAAAATCTCAGACTTCCCTCAAAGCTCAGTTCAGGCACTTCCGACATGAGGCCTTCCCCAACGTTATTTTATTTTTGAGTTCCAAATTTTCTCCCTCCCTCCGGCCCCTTTCCCACCCACTGAGAAAGCAAGCAATATGATACCCATTATACATGTGAAGTGATGCAAAATAAATGTCCAGATTAGCCATGTTGCCAAAAACAGCTAGAAAAACAAAGTTAAAAAAAAAAAAGAAGTTTTGATCTGCACTCAGAGTGAGGCTTTTCCTAATTCACCCCACTGTTAGCACTTTCTCTTCCATCCAGGAAGCAGGTAGGTAGTGCAGCCGATAGAGTTCAGGGCCTGGAGTCAGAGAGACTTGAGTTCAAATCCAGCCTCAGACATTTACTAGCTAGACACTTACTAGCTTTGTAATTCTGGGCAAGTCACTTAACCTCTGACTTCCTCAGTTTCCTCAACTGTAAAATGGGGATGATAATAGCACTTACCTCACAGGGTTGCTGTGAGGAAAAAATGAGATAAGATGTGTGAAGTACTTAGCACAGTGCCTGGCACATGGTATGCACTTAATAAATGTTTTCTTCCTTCCTTCCTTCCTTCTTTCCTTCCTTCCTTCCTTCCTTCCTTCCCTCTTCCTTCCCTTTCCTCTCCCCTCAATCACTTGGTATTTACTACACATGTAGTAAATTTACTACACATATACATGTATATATACATACATATATGCATATGTGTGCATGTATACACACATATACATATACAATATAGAACTATAATACCATATTAAATATAATATAAATATAACACTGTATCATATAGTTAATGCTATGATAATATTGTAGTATTAACTTACATTATATATGTGGTTTTCCTCCATAGAATATAAGCTATTTGAGGGCAGGAGCTGTTTTTGGTTTTGTCTTTGCATAGTCATGACTTAGCATGGTGCCTAGCACATGGTAGGTGCTTAGTAAATCCTTATTCAGTGATTGACTAGGTGGTGCATGTCCAGAGGAAGTTAAGCAGAATGGTGAGAAGACTAAAAACTATGTCATTCAAGGATTTGTTGAAGAAACTTATCCTGAAGAAAACAAAATTTGGGGGCACTTATGATAGATCTATCTTAAAGTATTTAATGAGCTGTCATGTAGAAGAAGGATTGCTAATTAAACTTTCTATGGTTAGCCCTAAAGGACAAAACTAGTAGCAATGAGTGCAAGTCACAGAAAGGGAGATTTCAGCTGAATATAATTTTTAAAAATAGTAATAATACTTTGAGGTATCTATGAACTCTCAGACATGGGTATTTCCTTCAGTGGTGCAGATAGCAACCTCTCTGTGCCTTCCTGTTCTGTGCAACTATGGTACATGGTTCTTTCCATGAATCTCCCATGAGGACCAACCCAACGTACTGAGGATCTTTCTATTTCTTGACATTTCATGGATACCAATGGAGGACACTGGATGCACATGACCTGTCCACTTCCTTTTCTGGTCACCTATCTCTTTGATAATATCTTTTCACTGCTTTTCTTTCACACTTTGTTCTAGGTAACATGCTACCATTCACCTCTCCATTGCCTCTTGTGGGACTCTCAGCTTTAATCCTTTGCAGACTGTGGCACTGAGTTACTTACAAACAACATCACTAGAAGAACATTAATGTTAAAAAGATGGACTTTTCCATAGGCAATTCCTCCTATTAAATTATGGACCCATATAATTGCTCATTTGAGGTGTGTTTCCAATATATATGTACTAAACATACAACTGGACAATAGACATTTTTCATCCATTTGGTTTTTCACGTATAGATAGGCCAAACTCTTGAGTGATTATGGATTTCTTTAGGAGGCTCTCCAATATTTCAGGATTTGATGTGATCAGCACAATGTCATCACCGCCAGAAGCATCAGGAAATTCCTCTTTCATTTTGACAATATATCTGGAACTCCCCCATTACTGGCAAATACCTTTGGCCATTGTATGTTCTTTTTCAAGTCTTTTTTTTTTTTTTTTGGTCATTCATTAGCTGGACTGGTCACCTTCTCCATTATAGGCTCAGCTAGGGTAAGTTGGTGTCCCCCTCTCCCAAACTCTAAGTTTTTCATCCCTCCTGAGCACCAAGCCCTCCCACCGCTGCCCGCTGCCATTGTTACTGTCATACCTTGTCTGAAATCTTGACAAACAGGCTACAGCCCTCCCAGGAGTTCAGCTGCAGGTGAGTGCTGATGTTCTGACACAGGTCCTGAACCTTCGTGTTGGCCCCAACTTCAAAGATCTGAAAGAAGCAGAGCCATCAGTTTCGGGGGAGAAGGCTGATCTTATATGTGGGCAGGACTGGAATGGAGGACAGGAAAACATGAGGAAGTCCAACCACCGGCTAAGAGGTAGAGTGGCCAAGCAGAAGAACCAGGAGAGTCTCTCTACTGAGGGAATGGTTGTCAACATGTGAGCTTTCCCTCTGCTCTTCCCATGGGAACTCAAGAGAGGCTGGGGTATTTTCTCTGCAGTGAGGATGTGAAGAAAACAAGTCAGGGTTATAATTCATGATCTTTTGTATTCTTTAGCACTGGAGGGGACACCATAGGTCATCTAGTCCAATTCCCCTCAAATTACATGTGAAGAAACTAAGTAGAGGGAGAGACTTGCCCAAGGTCACACAGTCGGTGAGTATTAGAGCTAGGATTAGAACTCATGTTTTCTGATGATTAGTCTCGAGTTCTTTTCACTATGTTGCTCTTCCAGAGCACTAGATTTGGCATTGGAGGTCTTTGGTTGGAATCCTAGTCCTACTACTTACTACTTGTCATTGGAGCTTCTGGGGCTTCAGAGCCTAGATTAGGTGACTTTTAAAGTGGCACAGTGGATAGAGCACCGGTCCTGAAATCAGGAAGACTAACCTTCTTGAGTTTGAATCTGGCCTCAGACACATACTAACTGTGTGACCCTGGGAAAGTCACTTAACCCTTTTTGCCAATGGCAAACCACTCTAGTATCTTTGCTAAGAAAACTCTAAGTGAGGTCAAGAACAGTTGAACATGACTAAAACTACTGAACAATAACAAAAGGTTAGTTCCAGCTCTGATCTATGACCTTATCTTTTGAAGACTCAAAGACTAGAACAGGTAAAAAATACCTGAAATACAGCTTCTCTCATCCATGGCCTTTTCTCTTTCTCTTTCTTCCACTTGTCTCTTTGTCTTGGGCCCTTTCATTTTCTACTAGGACCTCTCCCCCAAAATAGGACAGGGCTAGAGACAGGAGGTGATCCACCCCCAATCTTATTTATTTCAACAAATTATAAAGTAGAGGAAAAGTCTGAATCTTATGGTATTCCATGTGGTATTAGGCACACAGCAAGAGATTAATCAATACTCCTTGAGCTAAAGAAAATTATTGGACTAAGAGTTAGGTCTGGGTTCCAGTGATGGCTCTTTTGTCAATTTTCTGTTTGATTCAAGGCAGGGTATCTTTGTGCCTCAACTTCCTCAACTGTAAAATGAGGATATCACTTTCCATCCTACTTATATCATAAGGTGGGGTTATGAGGATTAAATGAAATTAATTGAGAACATTCTTAGAAGTTTAAAGAGCTAGTCCTTGAAGATAAAGCTAGAAACTTTGGTTCCAGAGAGGAGCTGAGAAAATATACTTCCTTCCCACCTTTACACACAGGGACACACAGGATGTGAAGCTCTTCATACACTGTCAGGCTTGTGCTCCTAAGTTTGCCTTTCTCTGCCCACCTCCCCTCTCTTGTATTCTTTGTTACAAAAAATGGCTCCCTGGGTAGGGACAAAAAAAAGATATATTTGGAAATGAAGGTGATATAAAAGCAAAAGGCATCTGTGAAAAAAATTTTTAAAACCAGTGGTCAAAAAGTGAATTTAAGAATTTCTCTCTTCTTTACCATTTCTGGTTTCTCTTAGTTCAGAGAAGGTCAGCTAGGATATTATCCTTCAAAAACTCAGGTACACATCTCTTCAGGAGTTAGACTAGTAATAGCCATGGGTGTGATAGCCCCAGATCATACCTGGCTTAGAGCTGATTGTTAAATTTTCATTATGAGCATTTATACCTCAGAAATCAGCAAATGCTACAAATCAGACCTTGACTTATTGTTTTGTTGATTGTCTATATGTAAGAAAGTGATAGAGAAAGTGTTAATAATGCTGATTAAACTTAAAAGTACATCATAGGTACATTTTTTTTCTCCCTGAGAGCCAGTTGTTAAATATGTACTAGCATACCACTAGTAACACCCAACCTTTGGCAGTCCCAAGGTCAGGGACCCATGCCCAGACAGAGGCTGGAGGAGAAGCCCACACTTGGAGAAAATGCCCGGGCCTCTCACCTCATCTGTGTCATTGGGGAAGTAAACCTTGTGGCAGATCTTGGTGATGTTTTGTTGAATGGCCTCCACTTCTACGTGGTGAGGAGGATACTTCCGGGGGCCAGTCCTAGAAAAGAACAGCACAAAAAGTGTGGCCAAGCTCAGGGTCGAAAGTACCTGTGCTTGTGAGTTCAGTAGGTTAGGTTACAGTGTTAACAAAGCTGAGATTCCAGATTCAATCCCTGACTGGGCCAAATTGTTTTGCTCAGTGACCCTGGACTATCCCCCCAATCCTAGCTAACCAACAGTGAGTCTGTGTGTGCTATTGGTCATAGAAAGAAGACAGTGAGAGTGAACCAACCCTACTAACAAAAACACAGTTCTGTACCCATTACTCTTTTGTGTGTACTCTAAGATTCACAGAAATTGCTGCTCCCGTTTATAATATTCCATCTAGGCAGCCAGGAGTCATAGATCCTGCCTCAAGACACTTACTAGCTATGAGAACCTGGCAAGTCACTTAACCTTTGTTTGCCTCAGTTTCCTAATTTGTAAAATGGGGAAAATAATAGCATCTACCCCCTGAAGATGTCATGAGGATAAAATGATTTTATTTGTAAAGCCCTTTGCAAACCTTAAAATGTTATATGAATATAAATTATTATTATCAATTTTCTGACTCCATGCTTCTGTACTACCTATCTCTTATTCCTGGAATGTAGTCCGTCTCTCTCATCAAATATATTGAAAAATACTTTGATGCTCAGCTCAAGGGCCACCTCTCCTGACTCCCCCAATTGCTAATGTCCTTCTACCCAGTGGAATTTACTTTGCATCTATTTTGTATGTATCTGTGTTTATGTTGTTTCCCTCCAATAGAATGCTCCATGAGGCCAGGGGCTGTTTCACTTTTGTCTGCATCCTCAATTGTTGTTGAATTACTTCAGCTGTGTTTGACTCTTTGTGACCCCATTTGGGGTTTTCTTGGCATAGATACTGGAATGGTTTGCCATTTTCTTCTCCAGCTCGTTTTACAGATGAGGAACCGGGGCAAAGAGAGTTAAGTGACTCGCCCAGGGTGGTTCTTTCTTCGTTGTTTGTCTTTCATTCTCGAAGAGGACCATGACATCAGAAAGGTGATGCCATGATTTGCAAGTGAATTGGATTTAAGTGAGAGAGGGCTGGGCACTCTCTCCTCTAGAGTCATCTGGGTCGAGTGGCAAAATATAGATCAGGATGACTGGAGATGGCAAAATGCAGTGGGAGGGTCACACAGATAGTAAGTGCCTGAGGCAGGATTTGAATTCACTAGATGAGTTTTCCTAACTCCAGGCCTGGTGGTGTATCCACTGCGCCACCTAGCTGCCCTAGTTACACATAACAGATGCTGAATAAACACTGGTGGAATAAAGGGTATTCCTAAGGACTAGTTCTCACTAACCAGGCCTCTATCACAGAATGAATGAGTGAATGCTTGTCTGCAGGTAGTACTGCTCTTATTTATTGACTGACCGACGGACTGACTGCTGGAAGGTTTGGTTCCAAAGGTAGCAAATATATGTGGAAATCAAACAGATTTCAATCCAAACCTTTTGGAGCTCATTTTTGGTAGAGGGCAGGCTTTGGCTCAGACTGTGAAGGTGTCAAAGTTTGTTGTTAGTGTTCCATGCTGCCTTTTTTTGCCTCAGATTTTACAGAAGAGTGGGCTGAACTTGATGGCTTCCTAGGATCTTTCTGGATCTAAATCTCTGATCCAACGATCCTTTCTGCATTATATGATGGAAAGCACATCAGACTGAGAACCAGGAGTCAAGTCAAAGTCCCAGCTCACTAGCAACAGGACCCTCGATAAGTCACTTTATTCTTCTGGGCCTGAGTTTCCTCCACTGTGAATTGAGGGAGTTGGAGTTGTGATCTCTGAGGTCCTTTCTGATGCTAGCATTCTAGCATCTGTGTTGTTTTTCCCACAAAAGAAGATTAAAAACTAGAATGTGCTGTTTGGGGTTACTGTCTGGCTGGAGCTATCCTTGGCCCTCCCCATCCCGGGGCTTCTGGGGAAGGCCTCCCAGCTCAATCCCTGAATAAAGGATTCATTCAACCACAGGACAGTGAATTTCATTGCAGGGCAGCTGGGCTGGGTTTTCCTCCAGCTGTAGATTTAAGGGGCACCACTGAAGGCCTGGGAGCTCTTATGGAATCTGTCTCAAGGTCAGGTCTGTTGGGCCCAGATGTCACCACCTTCTTGCTCTCAGTTTAGAAGGGAACAAACAACTGTGACCCAGTGGTCACAGGGCTACAAGTCAGGACTAGGGAATGGCAAGGTAGGCAGCTCCTTAGGATACTCAGAGGGGTGTCGTGAAGGATATTTTTTTAATATCAATGTTTAGAAATGCTTATTTTCAATGCCAAGAAATTCTGTTCTCTGTGGCACGGAGGATTTATTTTGGGAAGAGTTAAGCTGCATGTGTTACAGGGAAGACTCAAAGCCTTTGGCGGACAGTCACACATAGGGCCAGGGCATCAATGCCATTTTCTGTCCTTGCCTAGAATGCATAAATACCCTGTACTGGCCTAGCTCTTTTTAGGGGGGATCTGGAAGCCATCTCATTCCCTTTGCATCACGGCTGAAAATCTTCAGCATGGTCTAGTGAAGAGAGCCCTTGATTTTAGAGTCAGATCTGTCTTTTTACTACCTGTGTGACTTTAACCAAGTCAATTAGCCCTCTAGGTCTCAGTTTCTTTTTCTATAAAACAAAGGGAACTGTCCAACTTTAAGGTCCCTTCCAGTTCTAAATCCTATCATCTTAAGTTGCTTTGTTCATTTTCCTGTCTCTGAGCAAGCTTCTCCTAAATCCTTCCAGATGACAGAGACAAGTGGGGTATCTGTGTGTATTTTTTCCTACCAAAATTTCCAGGATCAGAGAGTTTACACTTTTCTTTAGAGTTTGATAACCCTTTTCTTTAGGGTAGTTCTCTTTCTGTTCAGTCTCCATCCCTCCAGCTACAATTTCTACGCGTCCCCTCCTGGCTATCTATCCACTAACCTGTCATTTTTAGAGACCTCATCCTGCTGTCTACAGTACCAGATGCCCTCAGGCAGCCTTAGCTCAGTGCTATTGTTTCTCTTTCTCAGAGTTCAAACTAAAGAGATGGGGAGGATTGGAAGAGGAAGCTGTACCCAACTTGGCCACTATACTGTTTCCAGCAGAGCCAGGTCAGTGACTGGGGAAGGGGATGCTTTGAGAACTATTTGGAGTAAAGCCCTCATGGCTATGTGCCACACGTACATCTGGCTAGAGCCTGATGCCAAATAGTTTGAAATGAAGGAGGTCTATACAATATCATCTCTGGCTAGAGGAGGAAGGATGTCAATTTCCTGAATTAGGAAAGGATGAGGAGACCTCCGTGGGGCCCAACTTTCTCTGGATCAGCACCAGAAAACTCTGGAGGCCTATAGTTTAACTTCACTCTCAGGTCTCAGGCCTTCTCCCTCCCAATTCACTCATAGGGATTCTCCCAGGGGAGATAGCCCTGGCTGGTGCCCAGGAACTCCTCTATCCTCAGTGAGGTCTCTCTGGGTTGCTGCTGCTCAGATCTAGATGGAGTAGAGACATCCTCTACTCTCTAAACCCCACTTTCATGACCACAGAAGGTTGTAAGAGAGGGGAAGACAAGGAAATGGGGAGGAAAAAACAAATAGCAGAGTTGGAGAAAGTCAACAAGCATTTATTAAGCATCTACTATGAGCCAGGCATTGTGCTAAGCACTGGGAATACTGAGAAAGGCAAAAAACATCTCTGCTCATAACTTACAGTCTAATGAGAGAGACAACATGCAAAACAACTGTGTACAAACAAGTATAGACACAGAATAAATTGGAGATAATCCCAGAGGGAAGGTATGAGAATTAAGGGGGATCAGAAAAGCTTGCTGTTGAAGATGGGATTAGCTGGGCCTTGAAGGAAGCCAGATCACTCAGGAAGCTGAGATACTGCAGAAGAGCATTCCAGGCATGGGGACAGCCAGGAAAAATGCCTTGAGTTTGGACATAGAGTGTCTTGTGTGAGGAATGGCAAGGAAGCCAGGTTCTAGATTGAAGAGTCATTGGAGAAGAGTTAGGTACTGGAAGACTGGAGAGGTATGAAGGGGCCAGGTTATGAAGAACTTTAAAGGACAAATAGAAAAGTTTGGATTTGATCCTGCAGATGATAGAAAGCTACTGGAGTTTATTGAATAGTTGGGGGCACAGTCAGACTTTTAGGAAAATAATTTTGTCAGTTGAGTGGAGGATGGACTGGAGGAGGGGAAGAAAATTGAATCAGAGAGACCAATTAGAAGACTCATATGATAGTCCAGGTATGAGGTGATGAGGGTCAGTGTCAGGAGAGATAAGTGAGTCTATATGAAAGACATTACATATCATAGAATCAACAGGACCTGGCAACTGATTGGATGTGGGGGATGAGAGAGTGTGAGCAGTCAAGGTTGTGAGCCTGGATGACTGGGTGGATGATGGTGCCCTCGACAGTAATAGGAAATTAGGAAGAAAGGAGGGCTTGAGGGAAAAGGTAACAATTTCAGAGAAACACAAAGTCGAGATGAGGGGAGGAGAAACAGGCAACAGAAAAAGAGGGAGGAGAGGGGGAGAAAGGGGAAGTCAGAGGAAGAGAGAGAAAGGGGTAGAGAGAGAAAGACAGAAATTGTGCTATAGAGAAAACACACACATGGTGGGGAAAGAGACATAAAGGTTGTATCAGAGAGGGGTGGGAAGAGAAGAGAGGCAGAGTGTGGCTGAGAGTGAGACAAAGACAGAAAATGAGACACTGACAGAGATGGAGATGGGTAAGAGATGAAGAGAAGGAGACCCAGACAGAAATATCTATCTAAAAAAGACAGAAACAGTTACTTGAGCTTCCACAGACTACTTCTGGTTTTCTGGAACCACAGGGGACTAGAAGGGGATAGATATTTGATGCCCACAGATAATCCACAGAATTATGATCTCTTAATTATATGAGATCTCATTTCAAACCCCAACAAGCATTTCCTTTCCCATCCAACCTTTTACCAGAGCTGGGGGAAGCCTTTAACAAGAGTGAGTTAGAATGCTATACCACCTTTCTCCTGAGCCTGCCTTTGGAGGGAAGACTTCCCAGGCAGGGAAGATGTCAGCAATTAGGGGAGTAAGGCCAAAAAGGAGGGAAAGGAACCAAGAGATGGGTTTGACCCACGTCCCAGTCTAGTTCTTTGAGAACAGCCTCAACTTCTAAAGCAGCAGGTGCAAGCAGGTAATTCAGACCTTCAGTCTGGTCTCCTCATTGCTCGTATGTGCCAGACTTTTCTCTCCCATCCTCTCTCTGCCCCTTCCGCATTTTCTCTGTTTATCCAAATCCTACCATCCTTGAGGGCCCAGGTCAAGTTTCACTTCCTCTAGAAGGCCCCCCTACACTACTATGACCTTCTCTGATCTCTTCTAACTTAAATGATAATCTGATTGTATTCCCTCCTGTATTGTTCTCTCACTGTCCAATGTGAGTGAATCTTGGTTTCCCCAATTAGAATGGGAGTCTCTTGACGGCAAGAATTTCTCCTTTTCTCCTCTCTTTGACAGTATCTAATATCGACTCAGTAGAAACCTGTTGACTGACAGGAGGAGCAATTACCTCATCACCTTTTGAATCCTTCTGCTGCAATCAGGTGCAATGTGCTGCTTCTTCCTCCTTGACTCGATGAACTTCTGGGTGTGTGGCAGCAGTGTTTTACTGGGCGGGAAGAGGCCAGTGCAGAGCCAGAGAAGTTGCCAGCCGCGCTCTAAGCTGTAGCTGAAGAAACAACCAGCCATCACTTGCCACTCATCGTAGCCAATAAGGAGTGAGCTGGTGGAGGGGGGCCTTTGGGCATCCCACTAAATGCTGAATCCTGGGGAGCCCCAGGGGACAAGAACTATATATTTCCCACACAATCAACCTTAGATAACAATATGGAGAAAGTTATCTAAATACTAGGAGAGCCTTAGACCTAACCTGATCTTCTACCCTTTAAGGGAGAAGTGAGATATGTGTGTGTGTGTATGTATGTATGTATGTATGCACACATACATATACTATATATACATGTGTATATGTATACATCTATGTATATATATGCATACACACGGAAAGAGATATATATGTATATATAGATATACACGAATATGTGTATGTGTATATATATATATATATATATATGTAAAGATCTATTTTTGCCTCCCACTTTCCTTCCCTATTGAAAAAAGAAAAAAAATTCTTGTAACAAATATGCATAGTCATGCAAAATGATTCCCAGACTGGTCAGTAAGACAGAATTTTTTTTTAACTTGGGCTCTGTGATCTTTTTAAAAAAATTTTTCTTAGCTAATTTTTTGTTAACCTACCTGTTAGTGTTGTTCGTCAGTTGCTTCATGATCTGGCAGTATACTTCATCTCTCAATATGGCCTCCTGGATGGCAGCTGCAAAGATCTGATCAGTGAGCTCCATGGGATCCCTGGCCTGCTTGGATGGGTAGTCTCCCATGTACTTCAGGATGGGTGGGAGGCAGTGAAGGAAAAGGGGAATTTGTAGACTTTGGTGGAGTAGGAAAGTGGAAGTGGAGGCTCTGGAAGGTGTACATGAAGTTTAATATGCAAACCATCGCTCCCAATTAGTACAGTGGGCTGGAGACAGCTAGGTGGCACAGTGGGTAGAGCACTGGCCTTGGAATCAAGAAGATCTGAGCTCCAAAGAGGGAATAACATATCTACTCAGTTGGGGAAAGAAAAATCTATCTCAACTTATAGGAAGTAGGAGTGGAAAGGGGAAAGAAAAGGAAGGGGGGCTGATACAGGGAGGACAGATTGAGGGAGGTGGTGGTCAGAAGCAAAACATTAGTGAGAAGGAAAAGGGAGAAAGGAGAGAGAAAAGCTTAAGGAGGGGAGGGAATAGGTTGGAGAGAAAGACACGATTAGTAACCATAACTGTGAATGTGAATGGGATAAACTCTCCCATAAAACGGAAGCAGCAGAGTGGATTAAAAACCATAATCCTAAAATATATTGTTTCCAAGAAACACATTTGAAGCAGAGAGATACACACGGAATAAAGGTAAAAGGCTGGAGCAGAATATATTATGCTTCAATTGAAGTAAAAAAAGCAGGGGTAGCAATCCTGATCTCAGACAAAGCAAAAGCAAAAAATAGATCTAATTAAAGGAGATAAGGAAGGAAACTACATCCTGCTAAAAGGTGCCACAGACCAGGTTTTCTTAAACTTTTTCCACTCATGACCCTATTTTCCCTTCAGCAGTGTTAGTTAGCATTGCATGGCCTGAAGGTAAGTACAGTGCAAAGTGCAGATGCTTTGTATTCAGAACCAAGGCTGCAGTTAAGTTGTGCCATGCAACACTGCAAAGCCAGCAAATGCTGCCAGAAACACCTCAGATTCATTATTCATTTGATTTTTTAATTAATTTTTGGTCAATAAACATTCAGAAACCTTTTACTGTCGCCAAGTCACAGTTTAAGAAATGCTGCCATAGACAATGAAGTAATCTCAATCATAAACATATATACACCAAGTGGTATAGCATCCAAATTCTTAGAGAAGAAGTTAAGCAAGTTATAGGAAGAAATAGCAAAACTATATTAGTGGGGGACCTCAACCTCCCCCTCTCAGAACTAGATAAATCTAACCACAAAATAAACTAGAAAGAAGTTAAGGAGGTGAATAGAATTTTAGAAAAGTTAGGCATGTAGACCTCTGTAGAAAATTGAATGGGAATAGAAAGGAATATACCTTTTTCTCAGTGGTACATGGCACCTACACAAAAATTGACCATATACTAGGGCATAAAAACTTCAAAATCCATTGCAGAAAGGCAGAAATATTAAATGCATCCTTTTGAGATCATGATGCAATAAAAATTACATGTAATAAAGGGCCATGAAAAGATAGACTAAAAATTAATTGGAAACTAAATAATCTAATCCTAAAGAATGAGTGGGTCAAACAACAAATCATAGAAATAGTCAACAACTTCATCCAAGAGAATGACAATAATGCGACAACATACCAAAACTTAAGGGATGCAGCCAAAGCAGTTCTTAGGGGAAATTTTATATCTCTAAATGCTTACATGAATAAAATAGAGAAAGAAGAAATCAATGAATTGGGCATGCAACAAAAAAAGCTAGGAAAAGAAGACCTGAGCTCAAATCTTTCCTCAGATATAGCTACTCAGCTGGTGATGCTAAGCAAGTTACAAAACTTCTTTTAGCCTCAGTTTCCTTACCTGTAAAATGGAAATAATAATAGCCCCTACCTCACAGTGTTGTTGAAGATCAAATGAGATAATCTGTATCAAATGCTTTACAAATTTTGAAGTGCTATATAAATGTTATTATTAATAACAACAATGATAATAAGTTATAGGTTTGAGTTCCATAAGAACTTAAGTTGTTCTATGGCCACATAATGACCTCTAACCTTGGCCACAGACTGACCCATGACCAGTCATCTCCTAAATATCATTGGATCTGAGTGAAAGAGAGAGTATTGATGGCTAAATGCAGTTCATCTGCATTAATGGAGACATGATTTAGGATACACATCTTACTGTTGGGAGATGGAAGTGGGGAGAGCTTTGAATACAAAGGGTGGTCTGGCTTATACTGGCAGATAGATATTCATCTTTCTAGGCAGGGTCCAATTGCTACAGTGTCTAACTACCATGGTACCCTGACATGGCCTTGAATAGAGACTGTCAGCTGGGAGCAGGAGACATTTAGAAGCACCATCACATAGTAGACAGAATGCTAGCCTGAGTGTTAAGGAGACCTCAGTTCAAATCCCGCCCATTTCTGTGTGACCCTGAGATAAGCACATCTCTCCGTGCTTCACTTTCTTCATCTATAAAATAATGGGATTGGATTTAATAGCATCTAAGGTTCCTTCTATATAGCTCTAAATCTATAATCTATAACTCATATCTTCATAGGCCAATCACATAAACTTTCTGAGCCCAAGTTCCTTTACGTATGAAACGGAAACAATACTTACAGTACCTCCTTCATAGAGTTGTTGGGAGGCTTGAATGATATAATATTGGTATTCCAAACAATCAAGTGTGGTTTTAAGCTTTGATACCTTTGGGGACACCCTACATATGTAAAGTGTCAGCTAAATAAATAAATAAATGTCAACTGTTAGAATGGTTTATTGAATTCTGGGGGTAATGAAAAGTGAACTTGAAACTTCTTTCTGGTTTAACCCTGTTGCTGAAAATGATCTGAGTCTCCTTTCCCACTTCAGACAGTCCAGTCTAATGACCAGGACTGATTTTGTCTTCTTTGCTGACTGAGGATCTTCCTGGGCTCACCTGCATTGTCCTGAATAGCCATTATCTCTGTACCAGCCCTAGGCAGAGAGGTTCAATGAGCGCTGAGCACTCCAAGGAAGTTACTTTCTTTTTCTTTTTACTAAATTCCAAATATCAGCTTGTTGTTCTGTTACTTGTCACTTTTTTCCTTAAAGCTGAGGGTGGTAAAAGAATTTCAGTTAACTTATTACTAATTAAGATTTTATATTTGCATAATTTAAATTTATGCAGCAATGACCTCTCAGGAGTTTAAACTTTCTTGAGGTTTTTTTTTTTAAGGTTGATGAAATTCTACAAAACAGGTAGGAACAGCCATTATTTCAGAGCTTTAACTAGGATGGAGCCATGGGACTTTGTCCCAGGGTATGGTGTTTATAGGGCAATGTTGGCTGGCAACACTGTCTAGGGAGGAGCTTCTTATCCTGACAGCCCAGGCCCCATCCCCAGGGAGAATAGTAGTGAGTTCCTTCCATGGTTCATCTCCTCCTCCAACAACATGGAAACCTCCCTGTGTCCTGGGGTGGACCTCCTTCTTCAGGATTACATGCCTGCCTCAGGTGCAAACATTGCTGGGTATATCTCTGCATTATTGTTCCCATTTTATAGTCAGAGGAGCATAATGGGCCCAGATTGGGTAAATGATTCACCCACAGTCACAGCAAATCCTAGGCGGAGGGACCCTCCTGAACATTCAGTCTGTTTGGTACTTGTTATTCTGTGACTTTGGACTGAGTAGTTGTTTCTTCTTCTTTGTCTCAGTGAATTTCTGAACTTTGGGCAGCAGTGACTTATTGATGGTCATGAAGAGGCCAGGGTAGAGTCTGCTCTTGGCTCTCATCCTGAGGGACACAAAACATGAATTGTACAGGGGAGTCCACATGGAAGAGATTCTACTCCCTGCCCCCCCCACCTCAGCTTGGGGTCATATTGATAAGAGATCCCTGGCAAAGCATAGTGCTCATTCTCTGCCCCCACCCCATGGAATTGGGGAAGGAGGCCTGGCCCATCACAGAAAGGATATCAGCAAAGGTCTGGCAGGCGATGTCTCGAAGGTCCACATTGGCATGGACTCTCTTCAGTAGTGGTTGTTTGAGGGGCTCCCAGGAATGCTCCCACAGCTGGCTCTTACCCCGTGTATTGGGGAACATGACTTTGTTGACAGTCTCCTTTTCAGGGGGCCTAGATAAGGAGAGAAGCTTGGTTGTGGCCTAAGGACTCTGGTCAGGGAGACCTCTCCATGGTGGGACAGCAGGGTCAAGGCTAGGACTATAGGGAAGGAATCCTAAGGCTTAAACACATCTGAACAGCCAAGTTAGTTCAGTATGTCTTTACTGAGTGCCTCCTCTTTGTCAGCCCCATAAGAAAGACTTGGAAAAGGGGAAGGTCACCAATTTATGTGGGCTAAAGGCATTTAGTTTTGTCTTATTCATTACGCATTTCTTTTTTTTTCTCCCTCTTTCCCTTTTTCTTCCTCTCCACCATTTACTCTTCAATTCTCCCAGACATTTCCTTTTCCCAGACGTTAGCCAGCTAATGGTTCTCTCTCGTTCTACTCTGCCACTTACCTCCAGCCCAACCCCTATTGTTAAGTCCACAGGAGAGCCCTTGGACCTAATAAGGTATCCACAAATTGGCCCCACCTGCTTCATTTTACAGCCTTATATCTCACAACTCCCTAACCAACTGCACTATGTATCCAGTGAAAAGAGAGTGGCTAGCCAAATGGTGCTATATGAAAGTATTGGAATATCATTGAGGTGTAGGAAGAACTCAGAATCACATAGGAAGACTTCTATAGAATGATGTATACAGAAGAAAGCAGAGAGAGCCAAAGAATGATGACTACAATAATGTAAATTGGGGGGTCTTGACCTGGGGCACATGAGTAAATTTAGGGGAATGGTTTTGAATCTAGATGAAAAACAATTATATCTTTGTTTTCACTAACCTCTAACTGAAATTTAGCATTTCTTCTACTATGAAACGAGCATCGTTCTGAGAAGGATTGTTTTTCTTTGATGCATTTCTTTCATGCATTTAAAAACAATAATCTGAGAAGGGGTCCATAGGCATGTCCACTTGGCAGACTGCCAAAGGGGTCCATGACACACATGAAAAGGTAAAGAACCCTTGAAGTAAATGAAGACAACATTAAAAAGCAACAAAACTCAGGTCAAAGGCAATGGACCACACTGACACCAAAGCATTGAAGTGAAAGTTCACGTTCTACTTTGTTGGTAATAAAATGATGGGTACTATCAGTTGTAATCCTTCTTTTGAGCAATTTTTCTTTCTTTTTTTTCTCCTTAATAGAATTTTATTTTTTTCAATTACATGTAAAGATAGTTTTCAACATTCATTTTGTAAAATTTTGAGTTCCAAATTTTTCTCCCTCTTTCTTCTCCCCTCCCCAAGACTAACAAGCAATCTGATATAGGTTATACATGTACAATCATATCAAACACATTTCGACATTAGTCATGTTGTGAAAGAAGAATCAGAACAAAAGGGTAAAACTATGAAAAAGAAAAAACAAAAACCAAAAAAAAGTGAAAATAGTATGCTTCGATCTGCATTCAGACTGCATAGTTCTTTCTCTGGATGTGGATAGCGTTTTCCATCATGAGTCTTTTAGAATTGTTCTAGATCATTGTATTGCTGAGAAGAGCTAAGTTTATCATAGTTAATCATTGCACAATGTTGCTGTTGCTGTGTACAATGTTCTCCTGGTTCCTTGAGGAATTTTTCTTAACTGTTCTTGGGGAATATACTTTGTATATTAGTTACATGTTTGTTGGGATGTGTCTGCTACGTCAAAGCAAAATTATCCATAAAAGAAAAAGATGCTGATGGAAGCTGAACTAAGGAGCCTCTCTCTTTGGGTGTTTGTAACTCCAGAGCTGGGTCTCACTTGTTTGTGAGGGTAGAGGGTAGTGTTACCTAGGAGTATTACCTGAAGTATTCATAGGAATATTCCTCTAGTGTGAATGGCTTTTCCTTAGAGTCTTCTTCTTCATGTTCTTGTGGCTGTGCGTTCTGGGTGGCCAGCTTCCGATCCTCAGGGGACATTGCCAACAGACTCTAGAAATACAGATACTCAAAGTGCAGCAACATTCTGTCTTCATGCAGCAAGCCTGAGCCCCAGCGAGGTTCTGTCCCACAATTATACACTGAATGCTTGAGGCCAAGTCTGGAGCAAGGGCTCTCCAAAGAGGAAACACTTATCCATAGCTCCAAGCTCCTCATCTTTCTCACCTGATGACGTGGCCATGAACTCAGCACAAAGTACCAAGGACACATTAGAGAAGAGACAGAGTGACCTTTAGCAAAGAAGCCACTATCTCACTTAAGCATTTTCCTCTTACTCAGGCTCTCACCCTCAGACTCCTTACCCACTCACCCCACATAGCCAAATTCTTGCTAGGTCCTGCCTTTTTACATTAAAAACATCATTCACATACACATACCCTTCTCTCTACTCACATAAGCACACTCTGGTGGAGACCCTCATCATGTCCCACTAGCAATAGCCCTCTAGTTGATTTGCTTTCTCATCTCCATCTCTCTCCTTCTCTCTCTCCTTCTCTCTCTCTCTCTCTCTCTCTCTCTCTCTCTGCTCCGCTCCATGCTCCACTCAGCTGATTGTCCTTAAAGCACAGCTCTGACCATATCACCCCAGTACTCAATAAACATCTGTGACTGTCTATTACCACCCCCTCCCCACCAAATATAAAATTCTCTGGCTTTTAAAGCCCTTCACAATCTAGCCCCTTCCTATCTTTCCAGTCTTCTTCCTGGCTGGGCTCCATGCCTGCAGTGCTTTCTCTTGCCTCTGCCTCCTGGATTCCTCCAAGACAGCTCAAATCCCACCTCCTGTTGAGGCCTTTTCCAATCCTCCCAGCTGCTAGTGCCCTCCCTCTGAGATTACCTCCCGTCTATCCTGTATATACCTTGTATCTATTTAACTGTTTGCATGTTGTCTCCTCTTTAAACCGGGAGCTCTTTGAGGTCAGAGACCATATTTTTGCCTTTCTTTTAATCCCTGGTGTCTGGCACACAGTAAATACTTAATAAATGCTTTTTGAATGACTTATGGGTTGGTGAAGGGCTTCTTTCTTTAATCTAATTGACCTCAGACATCAAGCTCATTACTAAAAGGGCCAGGGTCTCACACACATAGCTGACACAAAGTCAAATAAATGCACATTCCATGTGCAGGGTCATCTTCTGAGTGACCCTCATTCCCTGCCCTCTTGGGATGAAGTCCCAGAATTGGCACTGCATGTGAATTCTGTCCTGTTCTTGGAGACCGGATCTCTGGGTATTTCTTGACTTAGAATTAAAATCTGTATCACTTTCACATGAGTTCTTTTGTGTTTGTAAGATTAACAGCTCCACTGCTAACTCCAGTTACCATCTATCTCAGTGCTTTTGCACTGACTGATCCCTCCCCACTATCCACCATCCCTAGAATGTACTCCCTCCTCACCCCCATCTCTTGAAATCTTTGGTTTCCTTCAAGGCTCAGCTCAAATGCCACCTTTTATATGAGCCTGTTCCTCTCCCACCCTTATCCCAGCCTGCTAGTGTCTTTCTCCCAAATTACCTACTATCTATTTTATATCTACCCATATGTATATGTTGTCTTCCCCAGCTAGATTGTAAACTCCCTGAAGGCAGGGAAATTTTCAGTTGTGTCTTTGCAGCCTCTGGGTCTAGAACAGTGCCTGTCACACAGTAGATTTTAATAAATGCTTGTTGATGTATTGATTAACCACCCTACTCTGGAAGGTGGGGACCCTAATGAATTCTACTTTTCTATGCTATAGCTAGAAAATTTATGTCTTTCTTCTCCCCATCTGCATATGATACCAGTTGCCAAACATTGTCCATTCCAACCCCATAATCTCTTTTCCATTTGCCCCCTTTTTCCACTTCCTACTAAACTCCCCACTCCTTTTGCTTGTGGGCAAGATAGGTGGCAAATACTTTAGTACAGGCCCTTATTATTTCTCCTTGGGACTGGAACAATACCTCCAATAACTTCCCAGTTCCCAGTATGTCCCCTCTTTAGAGCATCTTCTTCATAGCTGCTAAATCAATATCCATAAAACACAGACCTAACAATGTTACTCCCCTACTCAGAAATTTTCAATGGCTTCCTTGCCTCAAGGATAAGATTTAAAATCCTCATCCTGATACTTAAAGCCCTCCATAACCTCGCTCCATAAACTCCCTTATTTGTCAGTTAATGCCACATTCAAACTGCTTCCAGTTTGGCTTATCATATTCTACTGTCCTTCATACCCCCTAAGGTCCAGACAAAGAGGCCTTCTTCCTGTGTCTCACTTATGACATTGTGCTTCCTCCCCACCTGCTATGCTCTCTTTCCTCCCACTCATCCTAGAACCCCTTTCAAAGTTAAGGCACCACCTTCTATGGAATGCTTTTCCCAATTCCCCATTGATGCTACTACCTCCCCTCCCCACCAAAAGACTTTTTTTTGTGAGGCAATTGGGGTTAAGTGACTTACCCAGAGTCACATAGCTAGTAAGTGTCAAGTGTCTCAGGTTGGATTTGAACTCAAGGCCAGAGCTCTATCCACTGCACCACCTAGCTGCCCCAGACAAGGAGTTGGATTTTTTTTTGTGGGGGGGAGGGATGAGGCAGTTGGGGTTAAGTGACTTGCCCCAGAGCTAGTGTCAAGTGTCTGGGGCTGGATTTGAACTCAGGTCCTCCTGACTTCGGGGCCTGTGCTCTATCCACTGCACCACACAGCTGCCCCTTTGTTTTTATTTTGTTTGTGTACCTGTTTCCTCCACTAATAGAATATAAAGTCCATAATGGAAGGATCATTCCATTTTTGTCTTTGTGTTCTTATTGCTTAAACCCCAAACTCATAGCAGGTGCTTAATAAATGCTATTGATTGAGGGATTAACACAGTCTCCATTAACAACAGTTCCTAGTCCTGCTGATGTGCCGGCATGATAAGGGGAATCACTGGGGAATCTCTCCGAAGGGTTACAAATGTTATGTGATTACATTGCTCTTTGGCAGTGGGATAGAGGCACCAGATTTAAATCAGGAGCATCTGCTTTAATTCTCCTCCATTTGCTAGCTGTGTGATAATAGGAAAGTCACTAACCTCTCTGAACTATCTAACTCACTATCCTAATTTGTAAAATGGGGATAACAACATACAGGGTTCTCTGTATTGTTATCTTTATGATGCTCTATTTTTAGGGCTGGGGCTGGGGGTGGTGAGCACTGTAGAGGAGGGGGGAGCTCCTTCAGGGGGAGAGAACAATTCAGCTGTGGTCTCCAAATCCCTAGCCATCGCTGTCCAGCTCTGCCCTTCCCCCAAGAGGGGGTTTAACCCGAGGTAAGTGGAGCCTCAGAGGAGAGGCCTCTTTTTCCATCTCCACCATGAGGAATGGTGGAGCCATTGCTCTAGCCGTTGCTGAGAATACCTCCTTTGGCTCAGAATTCCAGATAAGGAAGAGACCTCTAGAGGTCATCCAACCCAGTCTCTTGTGTTCAGACCAGTGAACAAGAGGAGTGGAAAGAGCTGGACCTTGAGAGACATAAGTTTTAGTGCTTTAGTTTCCCTAGCTGCTGCATTGATTATGGACAATCACTTTCCTTCTCTGCATTTACCTTGCTTTCCTTATCTGTAAGAGAAAGGAGAGTTAAACTAAATGACCTTGAAAGTCCCTTCCAGCCCTGATATTCTATGACCTATGAATAATTAAGATATTTAGGACAGTCGAATGTCCTTTTTGGTTTTTTAAACCAGTCACTTTTGTATTCTTTCACAGTTCTAGGGCTAGTGAGCTCAGGGTTTTTGATCACGGCATCATCGAGGCAGAACAAGAAAGACATTGACCCGCACACAAGTCAGAAAGGAGTGTGGAGGCTTTCCCTGACACAGAACCACTCTCTCCTCCTATCTTGTGGCAGATAATGTTAGAGGTAGGGACAGAAACATCTAACAGGGGTGATAGGAAAGGTGATGGGGAGAAGTACAAAACTGGGGACTTAGGGAAGGGCCATAAATCTATGACAAAAAGGGATATAGCTCGGAGATCTTGCCCACAGGTAAAAAATAGCAGGTAGCTGAGCTGAGAGCTGTGTTTAAGTCCTGACTTCGCCACTAATTTGTTTTATGACTGTGGGTGAGTCACTTCAATGCTCTGACCCTAATTTCATCTGTAAAACAGGGATAAGTCCTGTTGAACATTCAGGGTTATAAGAGTGTTTTGAGAAGCACAAAATGATAGAAATGTAAGAAAGCATCATTACCATCATCTTGGGGGTAGGCTTCACCACGGTGGGGATGATATAGATGCTTTCAATGGATACTGCTCCCACCTTGCCCGTCCTATCATTCTGGGCCAAGATCCAGTTGTCATTGGGCACTAGCCCTTCACCTTCGGTCAGGATCAACAAGTCTCCTCTTTTATACATCAGGATGGTTGGGTCATCTGGAAGCCCAAAGATAAACACAGGGTACTGTCTACCTGGAAAGTTGTGCTATGCCAATGGGACAGGAAGCATGAGTTAGAGGAGAGTGGGATAGTGCTAACACATTATCCCTTGGCCCTGAAAATCAGGTATTTTTAGGAGGATCAAGGAGAAGAAAGACTCAGAGAAGAGGAGACAATAGTGACAATAGTTTCCAGCAGTTTCTTTAAGACCTCTCTTTAGAAGGAATGAAATTATCCTGGTTCTCATTTTACTTCTTTCCTACAGTATTAGGAGTCTAGAGACAGTGTCCGAGAGACTTTCCAGAGATTCCATCTCTAAATCATCACCATTACTTTCTTCAAAATTCACCTCTCCTAAGCAATGTTTCTTCACTGTCCCTATTCTGATCCCTTCCTTTCTTTGCAGTCCATGGTACTTCACCAACTACTTCGGCCAGTTCTAGGGTCTCCTGTTTGGACCTCATCATTCTTATGTGTAACTAGGTGTCATAGCAGAGAGAAGCTTGGAGTCAGGAAGACCTACCTAAGTTCAAACCTGACCTCAAATACTTACTAGTTGTGTGGCCCAGGGCAAGTCACTTTACTGCTTCCTGCCTCAGTTTCTTCAACTTCAAAATGGGGATAATAATAGCCGAAAGGGTTGTTGTGAGGATCAAATGAGACAATATTTGTAAAGTGCCTCGTCGACCTTAAATTGCTACATGAATGCTAACTGTTGATCACCTATGTGTACAAGTGTCTTGTTTCCCCAGTTAGACAATCGACTCTGGAAGGGACAACATACACTTCTCTTTTATTGGATATTGGAACAAGAGTTGGTGACTGTTTGACTGGGGAGGAGAGGGTATTGGTGAGAGGGAGAGAGAGTTAAGAGTCAAAGATGACTCTAAAATTGTGAACCTTGGTTGCCGGATGGAGGGTGGTAGCCTTGACAGAAAGAAGGAAGTCAGGAAGAGGGGTAAGTTTTGAGGGGTGGGAAGATAATGAATTCTGTTTGGAGCATGTTGAATTTGAGATGCATAGGAAACATACAGTTGAAAATGTCCAAGAGGCAGTTAGTGATGGGGGTTGGTGGGGCAGAGGCTGTAGTTCAGATGAAGAACCAAGTCTAGAGAGGGTCAGTCACTTGATCATACATACATTATGACCAAGATCATAGAGCTACTGAATTAGTGGACTGGAATCTGAAACTAGGCCTCCTGACTCCCAGGTCAGTGTTCTTTTTGCTTTATACTTGATGTGGGCTGTTTCTTACCCTAAGCATCTCCTATATGCTCTGCCCTGATGCTGTCTGATATTGCTTGAAGATGACTTTTGCCACAGAGAGCCAGGAGGAAAGCTCAGGTGAATTCAGAGAAAACTGAAAGGTATAGCTGGTTCCAAGAGATGCATAGGCCCTCAGAACACTGAATGTGACAAGTCCAGAGTACTTTTTGCCAAACTCAACCCCCTTGTCAAGTAGAATGTAGGCTCTTTGAGGAAAAAGACTATGTTGTCTTTGCATCCCCAGTGCCTTTCACATAGTAGGGATTTAATAAATGTTCCTTGAATTGAATAGTTAAATTGACCTCAGAACTGAATCTCTACAGCCCAACCCCAGAGACTGGCCTTTTTCTAGATCCCTTCAGACTTCATCATGCTAGTTATAACCTTATTCCTAATGAAAAAAGGGGTTTTTAACCTCTGGCCCTCAGCTCCATGAACCTTATTTGATTCCTGACATGCTGCTGGCTCTTGTCTGGTCAGGAACTTTATGACTGTGGATTCTTCCCCAGTTCCCTTGCTGCCCCCCCCATCAGTCCCTCTCCTACCCCCCAACCATCCACCAGACTCAGAAGGCTTCAATCAGCATCATGGAATCATTGGCCCATTATAGGGCCTGCCCCTGCCCAGCACCTCACGCCCCTGCCCAGCACCTCACACCCCTGCCTGGTATCTCACCCCACTCCCTTATTCCCTGGGACCAGGGTACCTGTGGATTTCTTATCTCTTAAGGCCATGGCATACATCGATCTCTTCTTCAGACCCTCCAGGAACATGGCCACTAGCTCAGCAATAGCCACGCTCTCGCTGGAGGTAAACACATACTCCTCTGTATTCAGGGTGGACAGGGTGAAATTCTGCTTAAATACCAGGGGTGTCCTGTGGATAAGAATGATGGTTATCACTAAGGCCAAGGACTAACCCTGGCCTCAGAGTTAGACAACAATTCACCATTATCCAGTCTGAAGGTATGAATCAATCTACGGATTTTCCTGATAGTAGACTATTTTATTTGCAGATTGACCAGACTATGAATTATTTAGGCCCAGTTGTTTCTACTTCTTTTTATAGTGTTTAAGTTATTTCCTGTTTTCTGTGGCAAAGGAGAGGAGAAAAATAAAAGAGGAGAAATTTTCATTCATCAAATTTGGGAGCATCACTCGAAAAAATTCTGGCCAGAGATATGGTAGAAATATTCAGCTAAAATGGTGTCAGAATAGAAGTTAAAAGGGAAAGGCAAAAGACAAAGCTTATAAAAGTAGGAGAGAAGAAAGGTGTAGGCAAAAGAACAGTGGGTTTGAATCCTGGCCCTGGCATTTATGATGTGACCTTTGTGTGAATCTTTTCATCTCATTGAGCCCCAATTTTCTCATCTGTAAAATGGGGATAACTTTATCAACTACATGTGATCCCTTGACTCCTGGGATGCTGCCTGAAAAAGGTTGCCATAGAGATGTCAGACTCCAGAAATGGCCAAATAGACTCTGTCCCAAACTTCACCCATTTGGTGACACTTTTGATCTAATGGGAAAGGGAAGTTGGAAGAGTTAGTCAACATTCAACACACATTTATTAAGTGCTTACTATATGCCAAGCACTGTACTAAGTGCTGTTCCATCTTGTGCACCATGCAGAATGAAGAGCTGCAGACAGGACTAACTCTGTGTGTGTGTGTGTGTGTGTGTGTGTGTGTGTGTGTGTGTGTGTATGTGTGTGTGTGTGAGATCTAATAGCTAGCATCCCTATTTTATGGATGAACAAACTAAGACTGAGTGAGGTTAAATGATTTGCCTAGGGTCACACAGTTAGTAAATGTCTGAGGCTGGATTAAAACTCAGGTCTTCCTGACTCTAGGTCTAGCCCTCTATCTACTGTACCACCTAGTTGCTTAGTGATCCTTTTTCCAAGCCTTTGGAGAGCTGCTGCTGCAGAATTACGGGATGCTTGTTAGTGGTGCCCACCCTGTTCAGCCAGGGAGGAACAGACAGGAGGAGATTGAGATGTGATCCTCTTGGTTGCTGCCCACAGCATCTGATGTTTCATATATTATTTATCTCCTGGTCAGATCTCCTCTTATTTTCATATGTCTGGTTATAAGCAAAATATCTTGGTTGTATGATTACCAGTACAAATGGGGATTTGGAGAGAAGTTTTTCATGTCTTTAAAATGACAGGAAACATCATCCATCTTTCAGTACAAGTGGAGGTATGTTTTAGGGAGGTAGATGATGATAGGTATGTATTTTGTTTGGATTTGTCGCAAGGAAGAGAGCTATTTTATAATAGTATCCCCTCTTCAGTGCCTCCATTCAGAAACAAACCACAGAGCAGGAGCATCTGTGGGACTAGCCTTGGGGAGTGAACAGGATGAATTTTTGATGAGAAATGGAGACTAATACTCTGGTTAATACAATGATCTGAGACAATTCTGAAAGACTCATGATGAAAACTCAGAGAAAGAACTGATGAACTCAGTGGAGATTGAAGCATACTTTTTCCACTTTATTTTTCTTGCTTTTTTTGCAACATGGCAGAAATGGAAATATGTTTTGCATGTTTAATTGACATCATTTTGATTGCCTTCTCAATGGGTGGGGAGGGCTTGGAGGGAGGAACAGAATTTGGAACTCAAAATTTGAAAAATAATGTTAAAAAATAAGTAATAATTTTTTCTAAGGGAAAAAAGAAAACATGAAGGCTTATTGAGGTGGCTTGAAATTGATGGGATCGGAGGCAGCTAGGTGGGGCAGGGGATAAAGCGTTGGCCCTGAAGTTGGGAGGACCTGAGTTCAAATGCGGCCTTAGACCAAACACTTGATACTTACCAGCTGTGTGACCCTGGGCAAGTCTCTTAATCTCAATTGCCAAAAAAAAAAAAAAAAAATTGATGGGATCAGCCCTTGTTAAGGGCCTGCCCTTTGGTTTAGTAACGTGTGTGTTCCTCACCTACCAGTCCCTATTTTAGCATCCTCTGCTTTCCAGGCTCTCAGCACCCAATACTTTTATATTGCTACAACTGTCCTGAACAGGAAGATCTGATCAACTTATTTACATTGAAGTGTTAGAGACTTGATGTTTTACCACCTCTTTGGAGGGCATCTGTGTTTTAATACAAGCCTGGAAAGAATAGTGGTTAAGTGAAAGAAATGAAGCTCCGGGTAGATGGATAATTATTTTGGGGTTATAATTGGTAGGGGGGATTCTGAATACTCCTCTGTGAGGGAAAACCCCAGACAGAAAAGGTTCAGTAATCACAACTGACCAACAGGTCTCCCTATTCAGAGTTTCCACCTCTAGCAATTCTGATTTATCCAAGGAATTGGGCAAGTCAGTGCTACTACCACCCCTGACCATTAGACCCATTCTAATCATAGGAGGATAGGATTTTAGAGTTGGAAAGTATCTTAGAGTTCATTTAGTCTGGGCTCCTGTGTGCCCCTTCTTTGGTGAGTTCTTTCCATAACCTCCACTTTGGGAAACAGCCCCAGAATCATCCATGATTTTCTAGACTTAGCTATCATCATGCCCCAATTCAGGTGCCGCCTTCTCTCCCCTCCCCACCTTTTAGCTTCCCTTTTATGTGTTGCCTTCCTCCATCAGAATGCAAACTCTTTGAGGGCACGGACCATCTTTGTTTTTGCTTGTCTTCGTATCTTCAGCTTTTAACAGGCTGCCTAGCATACAGTAAGGGTTTAATAAATGCTTGTTGATTGACTAATCTAGTTCAATCCTTTTATTTTACAGCCAAGGGAACTGAGGCCCAGAGAGGTTAAATGTTTGGCCCAAGGATACACAGGTAGTCATGCCACTCCAGAAGGCACATGGCAGGTAAAGACATCTTTTCAACTCAGGGCACAAACCTGTTGGTGACTATGCCAGTAACCTCAGGGAAAGTCAGCTCCAAAAGTTTATTCTCTGATTTGTCGAGGAAGCAGATGCCTTTCCAGTTGATGGCCAAAATCAGTTGAGTCTTGTGCAGGTTGGGCCCTGGAAATTGGATGACATATTCTTTATGAACACTGTGGGATGGTGCCCTGATTCAGTCCTTCGCCATTCCCCCTACTGTTTTCCCCTTCCCAATTTGCTGCCATTACCTGAAATTTTGGTAACTTCAAAAAACTTGGAGAATAGCAGAGGCCACTGAAAACAAACCACAGTCAAAATTTGTTCCTTTACTAATAGTGGAGAGGAGCGATTTTGGATGTAGGGAGCCTGAAATGGAGAAAACATCTTCTGTGATACCCAACAGAGTATCTTATCTGTGTTTTCATTCATCCACTCAGTTCATTTGTTCAAACATTCATTCATTCAGCAAGTATTTATGGAATGACTTTTATGTACCAGACACTCTTGAGAGGCACAGGCATTTATTAAGCATCCATTATGACCTTGTAGATTACAAGTAGGTGTCAACGTATTTGGAGACACTGTTTCCCAGACCTAAGGCCCAGAAAGCAGGCTGTGCTCTGAGCATGGCATAACAACAAACCTTTGCATTCTGGATGATCTCATCCTCTGGCAAAGTGTATGGCTTTGACCAGCACCAGGTGTTCACTGAGGGATTTATGACTTTCATATTAATCAACAACTGTTTAGATTTTTGGAGTTCCCTCTATTTCCCAGGGACCTGAGAGCCAACGTGCTGCAGCCTAAAGCCATCCATCAAAATCTCCTGACATGCTAACAATTCCTGAATTCCTGTGCTAGTGTAAATGAACTAGCTACTGCATGCTTGTTCCTGCCACACTAACTCTGATTCTGTACTCTACTGACCCTTAAGACTTAAGACAGTCAACTTAAGAAGTATTCCCACATAGGGGCAGCTAGGTGGTGCAGTGGATAGAGCACCAGCACTGGAGTCAGGAGGATCTGAGTTCAAATCTAGTCTCAGACACATGACACTAGCTGTGGGACCCCGGGCAAGTCACTTAACCCCAATTGCCTCACCAAAAAACAAAAAGAAAAAATAAAGTGTTCCCATAGGACCCAGGGACACCTACATTGTCCACACATGAGCCTACCATGGAACTGTTAAGAATGATTGTCGTGGGGGCAGCGAGGTGGCACAGTGAATAGAGCACCGGCCCTGGATTCAGGAGGACCTGAGTTCAAATCCGGCCTCAGACACATAACACTTAACTAGCTGTGTGACCCAGGGCAAGTCACTTAACCCCATTGCCTAGCCCCGCCCCCCCACAAAAAAAAGAATGATTGTGTTGTGGTCCAGCCCACTTGTGGTTTTTTATGTATTTAAGACCTACCTTTGCCCCAGCATGTTAAGCCCTCAGGGGGTGGGGCTTCTGCTTGCAAGCGTTTTCCTCATTCTGAAATTAATTAAACTTCTGTTTAATCCCTGATACACCCACCTCTGGCCTGCTCTGTTCATCTCCAGCCATTCCCACATTAGAGGCCAGTTCCAGTCTGGTTGACATAGGAAAACTCCATCATGGAGGCCATATAAAACCCTTTATGGAGTTTCCCTACCCATAATGTACAAAGTCATAATGGATGCTTAATAAATGCCTGTATCTCTCAGAGTGTTTGATACATGAGTCATTTCATAAATATTTGTTGAATGAATGAATGACTGAATAAACGTATGAATTTCATCTAGCCTGTGGAACAGGTATCAAAAAGGACATCAGGTCTTTTATGTACAAAACTATAACACAGATTTAAAACCCTTTTGTGCCAGCCTCTGAGAAGGCCACAAGATGAAGATCTTAGTCCATGAAATTCTTTGTGTACACACTTCATCTCTGCATATACCTCCCTTTGTGTTTTGCCCTGTCTGCTTTGTTCCTAGGGTTTTATTTTTTTCTGTTTCCCTCTTCTTGGATGTTGCTCTGTGCCTGATTTCTGTGTATGTGTCTAATTGTCCCAATTTGTATGTTTCTTTTCCCTGTATTTCTTCCTCTCTCTCACTTGACTTTTTTCCATCCCTGTCTCCTCCCTTTCATTTCCTTCCCTCAAATTCTATCTTCCTTAGATAATAGAACATAGAACTGTTCTATATTATATATTATACATTATACTTATTAAACAAAATCTCATGTTTTCTATTCTTAATTTTAAAAGTACACAAATGGAACATATTGCCCTCATGTTAACCTTAAATTATGTTTCCCTTGTATACTAGTGCCTTTGAAAAAAATTTCTGCATTACCTCTTTAGGAGAGCTAAGAATGGTGTGATCCTTGCCCTCAATGTACTTCCTATCTATTACTATACAGTTTTTTCTCATGTGCAAAATACCAGTGGCATTTCAGAGTTGTCCAGAGTTCAAGTTCATTCAAGAGAAAAAGGAGGAAATTTTATCGTTCACTTGTTTCAGTCATGTCTGACTCTTCATGATCCCATTTGGGGTTTTCTTTTCTTTTTTTTTTTAGGCAATTGGGATTAAATGACTTGCCCAGGGTCACATAGCTAGTAAGTGTCTGAGGCTGGATTTGAATTCAGGTCCTACTGACTGCAGGCCTGGTGCTCTATTCACTATGCCACCTAGTTGCCCCTAAGGACAGGGTTAACCCCAAATTAAGGATCTAAAAGATTAGAACTTGCTCACTTGATGAAGAGAGTCAAATTAGAAACAGCTATTTGTTCAAGCTTAAATCTATTTGGATACTTGATCTCTTGAACTTTTACCTGACTTTAGACCACATTTTCCTGTTTTGTCTATAAGGTCCTGACTTGGTAAGACTGATGACTTGTACTTTCAGATCTTGGGCACCCCCCCGCTCCCCGCCCGCCTCTAGGTTACCTCACGTTAGCTGCCTTGCTAATGGACTCTATTCTCATGAATGAAATAGGATTACCTCTTGCTTACTAAATGAGTTATTAGCACTGTGGACCATGCTGCCCAGACTAAGCTGGCCTTTCAGTGTTGGGGCTCGTACCATGGAGAGCTCTCGGCCATAGTCCCTGAGTAGGCCCCACTGAGCAACAAAACTACCTCCTTTTTCTCTTGAATGAATGTGAACACTGAACAGCTCTGAAATTCCACTAGTATTTTGCACATGAGGAAAAAAAAAACTATAGTAGTAGATAGGAAGCACTTTGAGGTCAGGGATCACACCATTTTTAGCTCTCCTAGAGAAGGAACTTTTTTCAAAGGTACTAGAATAGAAGGGAAACATAATTCAAGGTTAACACGAGGGTAAAATGTTCCATTTGTGAAATTTTCAATTTAAGAATAGAAAACATGAGACCCAGGTGAGTCTGAAGGACACAGTATGCTTCTCTAGCAGACAAAATGATACCAGAGATGTTCATACGGTTTATATTTTCCTTCCCCTTCTTTATTACTACTATTAGTAATTCATGTATTTCTCTAGCCCACAGGGATCTCTCCCTGATTCTGAACACATATATGCTTGTTACATCATCTGTTATTTAACTGCCAACCTTCACTGAGACAGCCTATGTCACATCATCCCTGTATTCTCTAGAGTGCCCAGAACATAGCAGGTGTTAAAGTTGGAATCGAATGGAGAGGAATTGGTTGCCATCTGGAAGTTCTGACCTTTGCACAGGCTGCAGTCACGAGGTTGACCCACTGTTCCTGTGACTTTGTCTTGAGCACCTTCGCAGGGATGCAGATAGGAAGGGTCTTCTGGATATCACTACTCTGGATGAAGCTCCCAAACTCAATGTAGCAGTGCTTGGCTACCACCTCCACCAGGTCCTCCTCCTGTAAAAGTTCAATTGGTCATAGGTAGCCTGATGGGGATTGGGGAGAAAGGGTTCTTTCCCCTTTAAGCCTTACTCTCCTCTCCTTTCCTTTTGGGGCCCATGCTCAGTTCAACCCAATTAACTGCTCTCCACTACTTCCTATAATCAGTACTGAATTCACTTAATCCCTAGGGAGGTAGAGAATGAAAATAGGTAGGGCAGGAAGAAAGCCCAGGAAAACACATGACTTAGAGAGGCCATTTGATCCATTCCCCTGCCTCCTAGTAGAACATCCCCTTTTCCAAACAATCTCAGACAGAAAAAGACAATATGTTAAGTAGGACCTCGAGTTCAGATAGCAGTTGCTTCTTACAGAAGCAGGATCCTGATTCAAACTTAATGATGACCTGATATTAGCCCTGGCCCTACTGCTAGTGAAATAAAATATACTGGTGCTTGTATTAGTTCTGAGGATCTTTCAGGCACCAGAGATATCCATTTGGCCAGCTTCTTTCCCTATCTAGGAAGACCGGATAACTTAACATAGCCTCTACTTGGCTCTCAAGGCCCTCTAAAATCTAGTTATGGAATCATAGAGTGTTAGAACCCAAAGAATCTTTGTCATTATCTAGTCTAAATTCCTGTGAAGAGAGAGGGAATGACTATCCCAAAATCAGGTAGCATGTTAAAAATAGAATAAAGATTAGAACTGAGACCATCCAACTCAATTTCCCATCCTTGTCCAAATTCCTGCTCTAGCCAGGCCAAATTTCTTACCATGTTCATGTACCATGCTTTGTTCTCATCTTCTGTGTCCTAGCTTATGTAATTTTTTCCTATCTTCTTCTACTCCTTATTAGCCTAAATTTTACCCAGCCTTAAGACCCATATCAAGTGCTACCTTCTCCATGAAGCATTCTTGACTATTCCAGCTGACACTGATTATGAAATCCTATTGTACTTTTAATTGGAATCACATGATCTAACACTGCTTTATAGTGTTCTCCAAAGTTTCTCGCATGTAAACCTTGTCCAGCTTCACCCAGCAGCAAATTGGCCCGTCTAACAGTGGCAATGTTCCCCGAGAGGAATCAGTATAATTGGGCCTCCTGTTCAGCTGAGATATCAGAGTTTGTGGGATGCCAGCTCAGACTAGCTGTAGAGTCCCTCATCTACCACTGACCCCATGCCTTGAAGTGAACTTTGGAAAGATTGTTCAGAAAAAGTAAGCGCATAGAGGTCCTGCTGTTTTGGGGTTGCGAATTCCTTTGACCAAATGTATTCTCTACATATGTGTCTTCTTAGGGCTGTGTCCACTCTTCACTCCCTGCTTCTGACTCTATATGTCTTTGTGGGAGAGTTCACCTCAAATTTTTTAGGGGAAATGCTTTGTTACTACTGTTGTTGTTCATGTGGTCTCCTGACCTGGCCTGCCTACTGGAGGGGGAGAGAAGTACCATTCCTTTGAACTCTCTGCTGCCTAAAGCCTTGAGAAGACTCAACCCTGAGACCAAACCCTTAAGGATAATAATAACCTACCCCATCTCATTCCTCAGTCACTAACATATTCCCAGCCTCTTGTACCCTCCCCATCCCAGTGATTCTGAATCTCTAGCTGTTGTTATTCAAACCTCTTCTCTGCTCCCCACCATCCAATCCTTTCTTCCCTTCTCCCTCAACTCAATCCTGCCAAGATGCCACTCTAAAGCGAACATTCCTTCTAGTTTGCTCTCTGGAATGTCTCCTCCATTGGTAACAAACTTGCTTTCATCTTAAATCTTTTCCTTTCTCACTGCTTTTATCTTCAGGCTCTCATTGAGTCCTGGCTCCCTCCTGATCACCTTCCCAGGATTGCCTTTCCAGCACTAGTTGCACTGGTTGCTCAAATATTCCATTTACTGGTTGAGGTGAGGGAGATGGAATATTCTTTGCTTTGACACTGCCACGCTCTCCCTCTGCCATTATCACTTAATAACCTCTCCTCTTTTGATGTTCACTTAATCCAAATTTACTACTCAATCTAAAATTCTGTTAGTTGTTATCAACCATCATCCAGGACACTACCTTTCTTTCCCTAATGCGTTTAGTACCTGGCTCACAGTCTTTCCACTTCAACTGTTGTCCTCATAGTAGAGAACTTCAACATACATATTCAATATACATATGTTCTCTCAAACACACTAATCTCCCAGTTCCTCAACTTACTCATCATCATCATCATCATCACCATCATCATCATCATCATTAATAGCTAGCATTTATATAGTACTTTCTATGTGCCAAGCACTATTCTAAGTGATTTACAATTCTTATCTCATTTGATTCTCACAACAGCCTTGGGAAATAGGTACTATTATTAATTCCCATTTTAAAGTTGAGGAAACTGAGGCAGGCTGAGGTTAAGTGACTTGCCGAGGGTCACAGAAAGTAAGTGTCTAAAGCTGGATTTGAACTTAGGTGTTCCTGACTCCATTGCATCATTTTCCACGACCTATTTCCTCCCCTAAACTTCAGCTACACATAGAGATGGTCATACCTTTGACTATCACCCACAAATGCACTACCTCCATCTTCATGAACTCTACAATTCCTTTATCTGATCACAATCTGTTGTCATTCTACTTCTCCTTCTGCTTGCACCCCCAGATTCTGTTCTTGAAGCTCTCCATTCCTCAGTTCTTTCCCAGGCCATCACCCCTACACTGGCTACATTCCCCTTACTTCTCCATCTTGACCCCTTAATGAACAAGTTCTGCTGTACACTGTCCTCTTCTCTCGAGTCCCTTGCATCCTTATCCCATTACTGATCCTACCCTGCCAAAGCCAAGCTTAGGATTACTCCCACCACCCATTGCCTTTGCTACTACTCACATGTCGCTGAAATAAGAAAAAAGACACAAAACTGTGATGACTGGGTCCATAAAAATTTAATCACAGCTGGGTTCTCTCTGTGGCAAGGCAATCCTTTTACCCCGCCTTCCCCAACTGACTCATCCCATTCACCACAGGGGCTTTTCCAAAACTTTTTGTCCTGCCTCAAACCTTTCATAGTTCCCCTTCTCCCCATCCTCTCAGCTGAGAAGCTTGCTCCATATTTCACTGGAAAAATTGAGGCCATTCTCCTAGAGCTCTGTCTTCCTCATCTCACATCACTCAGATGCTTTCTGCTACTATTTCCTCTTTTACCCATCTCATATGAATAGATGGACCTTCTAATTATATTTTTTTGTTGGGGGAAGCAATTGGGATTTTTGATTCCCCTTTAATGCTAGTGTTTTCTTTATGTTGATTATCTCCAACTTATCCTGTCTATATCTTATTTGTACATAGTTGTTTGCATTTCCAGGGCCTGCACATAGTAGGTCATTAATAAATGTTTGTTGACTAATTGACTCTAAGAACTAATTGAGTCTACTGGAGGATTGTTAATGAAAAGCACTCTGGTGAGAAATTGTGAGAAGTAGTCATCCATAGGGTTAGTCCTAAATTTCAAGGTAATAATCACCAGGACTCAACCTGCCAGTGTGAGTGCAAATTCAGAGAGTAGTTCAGAGGGGATGCTACATGTGTATCTATGTCTACCTACACACAAAAACACACACACACACATATACATATATTTACACTTGTACATGTTGTCTGCATCATATAGAATGCAAACTCCTTGAGGTCAGGACCTGCTTTAATTTTTACTTTGAATCACCAGCCTCTAGCATGGTACTTAGCACATAGTAGGTGCTTAATAAATACTTATTGAATATTGTTGTTGTTGTTTGTCCTTTATTCTCAAAGAGGACCAACGAGGTCAGGAGGGTGATGTCTTGACTTGGCAAGTGAACTGGATTTAAGTGAGACAGAGCTGTGCAAAGTCATCAGCCTCACTCTCTCCTCCATAGTCATAGGACTCCAGTGACAAGACACAGGTCAAGATGACTGGTGATGGCCCCTGATGCAGTGGGGGATTTTGACCTTTTTAAGCTAAGGTCTTTCCCAGGTCTCAGTTTATCTGAGGCAAAGCCCATTCAGTAATTAAGGGCTAGGTAAGAATTGAGGCAAAAGATGGCCCAGTTTGCCTTCATAAAAAGGAGGTGAAGACCCTCAGAGTTTCTGGCCAGAACAGAAATAATTATTATTTTCACTCACTCTGAACTATCAAAACCCAAATAATGAGCAAGTGAGGCAAGGGCCAGGACTTATTATTGGCCAATCAGTGAAAGCCAGAGTGATTTGGGTTTAAAGATAGGCATACTCGAGTAATTCCATTTGAATCACATTGGGCTCTAACAAAGCCTGGTTTTCCAGAACTATATTTCAAGAAATCATAAATGAAAAATCACATGAGACAAAAGAATTGATTGATCGACTGTTTCAAAGAATCCCCTCACCTTCTCCAAGCGGTACTCTCCAAACCGGAATCCTCGGATAATCTGGTGATAAATGAGTTCTGTGCTGACAGGATCCTGCTTGAAATCATGCCATGGAGTGAAGATTTCTTTTCTGAAGAAGAAGCGCCAAGGGGACTGGCGTTCATTCTCACCCTTCTCCTTGGTCAGTTGCTCACACTGGCAGATGGCATCCATCAAATGGTCACGCCCTCCACCTAATGACCAGACCTGAGTAACAGAGAGTCTCATATGTGGGAGGGGCCTGAGATCCAGAAGTCAGCTTTCCACCAGCAGAAAGAAAAAAGAGCAAAGATCTCTTGCATTCTCAGTTCTCTCTCTGTGTCTCTCTCTTTCTGTCTCTCTGTCTTTGCTCTCTCTGTCTCTCTGCCTTCGCTTTCTCTGTCTCTCTCTCTGTCTCTGTCTGTCTCTGTCTCTCTCTCTCTGTCTCTCTTTCCCTGTCTTCTCTCTCTCTCTCTGTCTCCTCTTTTTCTCTCTCTTCCGCCCTCCTTCTGTGTGTATAAACACACACACTCCTTCCCAACTCTACTCTCCCATGTGCTTTCAAACTCTTGCCACTTTTTCTCTGTCAAAGATTGCTTCCTGAAAGGATTTGAAAAATTGGTTGATATTAATGTCTGAACAACTTAATGTGCCTCTCTCCTGGGGCTGTTTTCATAGGTGGAGAGGCCTTCACTCAAAAGAATAACTATCATATGGTAAAATTTATTTTTTTTAAAAATTGGCAGGTTTTAGTTTCTTTTCTTTTTTCTTTAACATTTAATAGCATTTTATTTTTTCCAATTACACATAAAGATAGTTTTTAATATTCATTTTTATAAGATTTTGAGTTCCAAATTTTTCTCCCTCCCTCCCTTCCTTTCCCCCTCCCCAAGACAGCAAGCAATCTGATATAGGTTATACATGTACAATCATGTTAAACATATTTCTACATTAGTCATGTTGTGAAAGAAGAATCAGAACAAAAGGGAAAAACCACAAAAAAGAAAAAACAAAAAAAGTGAAAATAGTATGCTTCAATCTGCATTCAGACTTCATAGTTTTTTTCTCTGGATATGGATAGCATTTTCCATCATGAGTCTTTTGGAATTGTCTTGGATCACTGTATTGCTGAGAAGAGCTAAGTCTATCATTGTTGATCATCCCACAATGTTACTGTTACTGTGTACAATGTTCGCCTGGTTCTGCTCAGTTCACTATGTATCAGTTCGTGTAAGCCTTTCTAGGTTTTTCTGAAATCCTCCTGCTTATCATTTCTTATAGAACAATAGTTTTCTATTACATTCATATATCAGGCTCATGGTAAAATTTAAGACAATGGGAGAAATATTTTTGCAGGAGACGGCTTCCAAATCACAAGATGAAGGCAGTGAAGTACTTTCCCCTACATAAGTCTAACTCTTCTTAAATAGATGTAACAGCACAGGTCTATTCAAAACCAAATGTCATAAGAGTTATAGAACTGCAGTGTCAGAGATCATCTAGTTAAGGCCCTCACTTTATCGATATGAAAGCTAAGGTTCAGAGAGGGGACATGTCAATACCTTTAAAAGGGTATTGTTATCTGAGTAAATGTGAAATTGATAGTATTATAATAAGCTCAAAAAAGAAACAAAAAAAATGAATCCATTAGGATGCACTGTGAAACATTCAGGTTTTGAAAATTTAACTTTGACCAGTTCTAAATGCTAGGACTAACTTTCTTTCATCAGGATTTTGCATGGTCTGATCTTTCAAAGTTGAATTAAATAATGCTATTGGTTTTGAATGGCCAGAGATGTCTCTCCCCACTTTGCCAGAGTCTGACCCCCTAATCAGAGGGAGGATAGCCTGTCTGCAAATAGGTCAGTTTGCACATTAGCATCATGACACACAAGCATACTGCCTAAAGATAAATTTGGCCTAATATCTTTGATGTAAAGGTACAAAGGTGATTTGGTATGTGGTTATATGGATATATGTATGTGCTCTGTGTGTGTGTGGCAACTGAATGTGTGGAAATCTGAGTGTGAGGGTATGTGGGGCATAGGGGTATATGATAATGTGAGGGTAGGTCTTTGGGTACCTCTGTATGTTTGTGCATGTGTAAGAATAGGAATCTGTTTTAGAGAATATGAGCATCGATATATAGACATAGGTGTCTGGATAGGAGGGTGCTTGAGTGTGACAGTGTCTGGCTGGGAATCATCTGTTTGTGGGATCTGTGGGTACCTAGGTATGTGGTGACTGGGTTTGTGATATCTGAGTTTGGGTTATGGGGGTTGGGCATAGAATATCTGGTAGTCAGATGTAAGGGTGTGTAGGAGGAAATCTAGGTAACCTCTAAGTTCTTAGATTTTGTGGGTCTGTACTCAGAGTAAAAGTATGCTTGTTTGTGTGCATGTGTGTGTGTGTGTGTGTATAAATAAATGGGTTACCTTGTCATATATGGCAATATAGATGGAAAACCCAAAGAGATCCTTCAGCTGTAGTTTATCAGCTATATGCTGGCAGACTTCCCTGGAGGAAGAGGCAGAGTCGGCTGTAATCGTCAGGCTTTCCCCAGTCATCAGGGTGACGTTGAAAGGAATACGAGTCTTGGACTTGACTGCCTGTAAGAAAGTCCCCAGACAAGACTAGGATTCAGGGCCCCTTTCTATGTTCTTGAGTGGGGCTCAGGCCAAAGCCCCACAGAGTCCTTCCAGCATTTACACACTTGTGTGCATTGTGACTAGTTTTGCAAATCCCTCAGCATGAAGAGACTGTAGTTTGCTCATGGGTGTACACTATCCTATCAAGTGACCTGAGCTGGCCTTCTCCACTCACTATTGACTTCTCCTGTCCTATCTTCCTGTAGCCTGTGAATATTCCACTCTAAACTCTCTGAGGACGTACACACCTCTACATCCTCCATAGCCTCCCACAGAGCAGGCACTCAGTGAATATTTGTTGAAAGAAGGAAAATGAATATAAAATTAATATCGCCTTCCATCTGAAGAGCATATTATACTAATAAAGACTGCTTTCACATTATGTCTTCACAAATTCCTTAATGGGCATAAACAAAGGAAAAAATCCTCAGGATTTGATTCCCCAAGACATTTGGGGGTCCCAGAATACATCATGTATTGAGAGATATTTTCTGGCTTACACAACCCCAAAATAATGATTATTTTTATAGCTAGCCTTTATATGGAGCTTTAAGGGACAATCAAAAGCAGATAGGTGGTGCAGTAGACAGAGTACTGGACTTAGAGTCAGGAAGACCTGAGTTCAAATCCTTCTTCAGACCCTTACTATGTGATCCTGGGCAAGTCATTTGACCTTTTTCTACCTCAGTTTCCTCATCTCTAAAATGGGAACAATAATAGCACCTACCTCCCAGGGTTTTTCTGAGAACAAAATGAGAATATTTGCAAACCTTAGAGTGCTATAGAAACACTAGCTATCATAATTTAAGGTCTGCAAAGTGCATTGCATGTATTAGCTCATTTGGCCCCTACAACAACACTGTGAAAGTAGGTGCTATTATTTTTGGCATTTTACAAATGAGAAAAATTAAAGCTTAGGTAAGTAAAATAAGTTTGTCCAGGATCACACAGCCAATTAAGTGATAGGAGCAGTATCTGAATTCTGGTGCTTGGTTCCTTCCTATTATTTAGGCAATTTTCATGTTCTAATTAAATGATTTCTTGAACCTTTCTTAATTTTTCAATTAATAAGCCATTATTTTCTTTCCCTCCCAAATTAAAAAAAAGAAAAAAACCCATGTAACAAATACGCACAGTCAAAACAAATTCCCACTTTTGCTATGTCCAAAAATGGATTTGACATTTTGCACACCTCTCTGCTTGCTTGTTCTTTGGTACTCTTAATTAAATGATTTTGCCAATGGTGACTTTTTATGGTGTGGTGATAGAGAGTGCTTCATTGATGGGCCTCCAAATGATTGTAATCTGACTAATTGATTATTCAGAACAGTCACACTGAAAAATAACAAGGGCTCTAGTGTCCAGGCTCCCATCCAGTTGTCACTGTTCATACATAAACAGGGATAGTTTTATTCATTGTACGTGTATCCTAGCATGGTGCTGGCCATATAGCAGACACCGAATAGATATGTGATTGATAATCAGGGGGACTACCTACCCTAGGGAAACACTTTGGCCTTTTGCCATCCTCCCCATCTGCAGAAAGCACATGGAAAGCTACTATGGCTTTTCTGTGGGGTTTTGAGTAGGGGACATACTGCTGGGAGAATGATGAATGTTGAGGAAACACTATGAAGGACCCAGAACTAGAAGAAATCATGTGAATAGATTCTTCCCTCTCCTCCTTACCCTTGTCTTCACTTCCTACTGATGGTTAGAAGGAGGTCTCTCTGGAATGATATGTAATGGGGGTCTTCTGGGATAGGTGCAAAAATGCCTCTCATGGTGCCTCCACATGAAGAGACTCCATCTTTTCCCTCATGTCTTCCACCTGGAAATCCCATCTGTGGCATTCTGCGCATGTGCCAGACCCCAATTACCAATCTATTCTTCCCTCCCAGTCCCTAGAACCTGTCCCAGATGATGGCTCCTACCTGGAGCTCTAGCGAGTTGGGAGGCTCAGTCCTCACTCCATTGGCATAGGTACGCCTCAGTCTCTCTGAACAGAAGGATCTGTAGCCTGGTGGGCCTTTGTTGATGAAGTTTAGCAGGTACTGAAGGGATGAAGAAGAGAGGACAGTGAAGGTGAGAAATAGCTAATATGAAGCCAGTGGCTCCCCAAAGCAGCATCTAATGCCTCCTAGCCCAAGTCAGAAACATCACTGTGAGATTCTCAATTCCATTCAGTTCTCAGTTTTCTTCCTGAGGGGATGAGTGAGATGGGCAACTAATACAAAAATAAAAATAGCTAACATTTATATAATGTTTACTATGTGTCAGGCACTGTGCTAAGTGCTTTACAATTATTATCTTGTTTGATCCTCACAATAATCTTGGGAGATAAGTGCCATTATTATTGCAATTTTACAGATGAGGAAACTAAGGCAAACAGAGTTTAATGATTTGCCCGGGGTCACACAACTAGTAAATGTCTGAGGGTAGATTTGAACTCAGGTCTTCTTGACTCCAAGCCTTTCTCCACCATGCCACCTAGCCGGCCAAAATTAGACAACCTCCAAGTAACTTATATTGGACATTTGTAGAGTACTTAGAGGCAGCTAGATGGCTCAGTGGATAGAGTACTGGGCTTGGAGTCAGGAAGACCTGAGTTCAAATCTGGCCTCAGATACTTACTAGCTCTGTGACCCTGGGTAAGTCACCTAACCTCTTTTTACCTTAATCCACTGGAGAAGAAATTGGCAAACCACTCCAGTATCTTTCCCAAGAAAATCCCATGGATAGTATTGTTGTGTTATGGTCCACAGGGTTAAAAAGAGCTGGACACAACTGAATCACTGAAGAACAACAAAAGATCTTTCACATTTGTTATGTTGTTTTATCCTCACAACAATGCCATGAGGTAGTTAGCCCTGGTACTATCTTATTTAGTTGAGGAGGAAACTGAGGCCCAGAGAGTTTGAATAATTTGTCCAGTGTCACAGAACACGGCCCTGATAGGTCTAGGACTATAAGTAATGTCTCCTGATCCCTGGTCCAACAAGTATTTTGACACATCACACTGATTCTCATTGTTAGATTGTGATACTTTTGGGGGGGAAAGAAGAGAGGAAAAGTAGGAGAATTAACTTCTTAATTATATCCTACAATATTAAAATGAATTTTCACTGCTTTCATCCTTTTCCTCCTCTCAAAGCTAACTAAATGGCAACATTCCAAGTTATTCCCATCTGGGTCCGAGGCTTCCCCACGGGGTTTATGGAGTCCTGTCAGTCATAGGAACACAGGATTTAAAACTGGATGTCATTCTAGAAAGCATCCAGTCCACGCCTCTCAAATTGTAAATGAGAGAACTGAGGCCCAAAGGGGAGACGTGATTTATACAGGGTTGCACAGGTATTATGGAACAGAACTAAGATTTGAACCCAGGTTCTCTGATTTCAAAACCAGTTTTCATCTCCACTATACTATGGTTCCAAGTAACCCCAGAGTCTTGGGCTCCCCAGAGACCAAAGCCCTCTTCCCTGCCTCCCCAGAGGCTGGGAAATTGTACCTTCATAAACTTCTCTGAAGGGGGGAAGCAGCCGAGGCAAAGACACAGTAGAATCCACCCTCTTGCAAAACTGTTCTTGTTGTAGTTCTCAGACAGCTGCTTGCAGATTTGGCAGTAAATCTCATCTCTGTAAGAGGCACAGAAGCAGTGGGCACGGGGCTGGTGAAATGTTGGGTGAGGACGTTGTATCGTAGAAGTTAAAGATCGCCTAGTCCAGGTTCATTTACAGCAGAAGACATGGAAGCTCAAGGGACTTGCCCAAAGAAATAGAAACACTTATTTTGGTTAAGGTAGAGACCCAAGAGGTCAGAATGGGCCGGTCTACTCATTTTATAAATGAGGAAACTGAGTCCCAGATTGGGGTTAGAAGTAACTTGCCCAAGGTCACATAGAAAGTTAGTGGCAGAGATGATGATTCTGAAGATGATAAAGATAAGGAGGATGAGGAGAATGAAAGAAGAATGCTAAGAGGTGAAGGATAAGGATAGAGATGGCCCCCAGCTAAGATTTGGGCCTGAAATCTTTGGCACCTACTACATCTGTCTTCTTTTAACATCCCTTTCCTGGCCCTCAACACACTCATTCTCTGTCTCTGTCTCTCTGTCTCTCTACCTCTCTGTCTCTCTCTGTCTCTCTCTGTCTCTCTGTCTCTCTCGCCCCCCCCACCCAGGCCCCTTCACTATAGGGATCCCTTCAAAACTTATTCTCTTCAAGAAATGCACCATGTTCTGAACTTTGGCTAATCCCTTCTCCCCAACAAAATTTGCTTATCCCAGATCTTAACCCTTCAGAGCATTATGTTCTTCCGGGTGACAGCTAACTAATCTGGGGACGTCACCTATGCTGATTTATTCATGATAGCTTAATTTCCCTAGGACTCAGTTCCCTTAACTGTAAAATAAGGGGATTGGAGTTGATGACTCTGACTCTTCTCACACAAATCTATGATATAGCTCCATGAACAAGTGTTCTGGCTCTCCTAAATTCACAGCATCATAACAGTGTAAAGTCTAAGGAACCTTAGAGTTCATGTGAGCCGTCTTCCTACCTAGTGTGGGACTTTCTGCCAGATGGACAGTCAGCTTTCACAGAACAATCATAGTTAAGTGGGGAGCTCAATGCTTTACAAAGCAGCCTGTTTCATTGAGGCATGCTTCTTAGCTATTAGGAAAGTCTTTCTTATATTGAGCTGAAATCTGCTTCCCTGTACCTTTCACTTAATTCTACTCTCTGGGGCTACAAAAAATGGGTCTAACAAAACATTGTTAGTATTACTGAGTGTTACTTGTACTCTGGAAATATTTTTGGTTAAATAGGAACTCCTCACTCTGAGTTGCAGTTGTACTTCCTGAAAGCTTCGTGCAAATCAAACTTCAGTTAAGTAAAAATTTCCAAGGGAAGTTAGTTATTTTAAGAGACCAAACAGTGACTCCTTCCCTAAAGTGAAGAATCCTTCCGCGATAACCACTCCTTAATTCATCTGTTCCGGAAAACTACAACAACTGTAGCTTGCTTTTATATAGCACTCTAAGGCTTGCAAAGTGCTTTGCATGTGTTATTTAATTTCATCCTCATAACAACCCTATATGGCAGGTGATTTAATTATCTCTATTTGATAGTTGAGGAAACTGAGACTGAAAGAGGATGGAACTTGCTCAAGGCTGCACAATTAGCAAGTGCTTGAGGCAGAGTTGGAATTCAGTTCTTCCTGACTCTTAGTCCAGTGCTCTATCCGCCACATTACCCAGCTGCCTTAAAAAAAGGGATTTTTGGGGGGCAGCTAGGTGGTGCAGCAGATGGAGCACTGGCCCTGGATTCAGGAGGACCTGAGTTCAAGGCTGGCCTCAGACACATAACACTTACTAGCTGTGTGACCCTGGGCAAGTCACTTAGCCCCATGGCCTAGCCCTCACCCCCCCCCAAAAAGGCTTTTTTTGCATACATCAGATTGCTTAAAGCAAATATAGACATTTTTGTTGTAAAAATATTTATTCTAATGAAGGATAACATATTTAAATATCAGGGAACAGGAGAAACTGCTCTGGTCTATGTGTCCCAGCCTTTCAGAGCTTGAGGAAGGTAAACAGGGGTATGTTGGTAAATGTTTAACAACCAACTCTCTGAAAACAGAATGTACCCACAACATAACTCTGAAGCTTAATCTGCATTATTATCATTTTCTCCATCACTTTCTTAAGTTGATTAGACAATCAACAAAACAATAAATAGAACTCTGATTTGTAATTTGCTTATTTCTAAGGTGTAAATGCTCTCTGAAAATTTCACCATCCACTCTCTCAAGCAGTACAAGATGGACCCAGCACAGCTTGGAAGGTTAAGTAGAGTAAGGATGAAGAATTAAAGGATAGTAGCTATAGGGCAGGAAGTGGCTGGAGGGTAGTTCCGGGACTGGCATGGGAGACCAGTATCAGATAGAGCTGAGGAGACAGAACTGAAGGTCACTAACCTGATGTTGGGCTGTTGGATGCCATTTCTGATGATGAAGTGGACCTTTTCCAGATTGGACATAGGTCGTTCTGTGATAGGACTTTCTTCCTCAAAGGCCTCTTCTCCGCTGCTCAGCTTGCCTGCTACCTAAAACCCAGGTTGTGAGTAGGAAATGGGAAAAGGGGGGAGAAGCATGAGAGGAAGCCTCTTTTGGAGAATTCTCTCCCCAGGACAAAGTTGTATCCAGCGAGATGTGGGTATGAGGATTTTTTTAATTGTGAGGGGAAATGCATCTGAGACTAGAGAGAGTAGGGGGAAGGTTGCCCCATTGTGTACATCTGGGGAAAGGAGAGCAAATACACAAAATCTCCAGCTCCAGGGGCAACTAGGCGTTGTTAAAAATCTGAGGGGCCCACGTCTCTATACAGACTCCCCAAACCAACATTATTTTCTCAGTTTCTAAGGTCTAAGCATGGGACTTATCTCTCTAAATGAGGATTCCGGATAGGAGTGGTCCTGCTTTTCCCTGCCTCGACTGGAAATGTTCCTGAGTCAACCTGGTACCCAATCTGGACCCCATCCTCTCTCTCTAATTTTATCTTTCATTCTTCCTAACCTGCACTCATAGCTCCAGCTGTGTTTGATGGTCATTATTCCCTATTATTGGCCCTTACCTTTATGTCATATTCCACCTCAGCTCCACACTCATTCCTTTTCCCTATTTTTTATTGATCCTTTCTTTTTTTCCTTCCCTCCCTCCCTCCCTCTCTCCCTTCCTTCCTTCTCCCCTCTTTCATTCCTTCTTTTTTCTTCTTCCCACCCTCCTTCTTTCCCTCCCACCCTTCCTTCCTCCTTTCCTTTCTTCCTTCCCTCTCTCCCCCCTTCCCTCTAAAAACCTTATGATTAGATCATAGAAATCTTGTAATTTCTGAAAGCTGAGAAACTAGAAGGAAAACCAGAAATCATTTAGTTCAACCCCTTCCTTTTACAGATGAGAAAACTGAGAGTCAGAGAAGGGAAGTGACTTGCCTGAGATCATATAGCTAAAAAGTGATAAGGTTATTTTTTAAATAACATGAGAGCACTTGAGGGAAAAAAATGGAAAAGAAATGAGAGCTATGAAAGAAGGAATTGGAAAGAGAATTAACAGTTTTGCCTAAAAGGTACAAAACTTTGTCCAAACAACAAACTCTGAAAATCAGAATGAACCAAATAAAAGTCAATGACTCTATGAAGTAATAAGACATATTAAATCAAAGTTCAAACACTGAATATATAGAAGAAAATGTAAGGTATTTCAGTAAAAACAGCTGACCTAAAAACAGATCAAGGAGAAAAAAAAGTAAGAGTCATTGGAGTATCTGAATGCAGTGACCAAAAGAAGAGCCTAGATCTCTTATTTCAAGAAATCTTAAAATTCTCAGAAATGTCATGGCTAAAATCCAATTTTCAGTCAAAGAAGAAGTATTGCAAGCAGCGAGGAAGAAAGAATTCAAATACCAAGGAATCAGTCAGGATCACGCACAATTTAGCAGCCACTGCTATATAAGAACAGAGATCTTGGAATACAATATTCCAGAAGGTGAAGGAAATGAACTTATAGCTAAGAATAATTTATCCAGCAAAATTGAGTATAATCCTCTAGAAGAAAAAAATAGAGCTTTAATAAAATTGAGGACATCCAAGCAATCCTGATGAAAATAACAAAGATATAGATAAACTTTGATGTTCAAACACAGAAGAGAAGAAAAACATAAAAACATGAATGAACAATGATAAAGGACTAAACAAGGATAAACCACTTACATTCAAATGTAGGAGATGATACACATGTTCCCTCTGAACCTTATTAGCATTAAGGGTCATAGAGGTAGTGCAATTAGACAAAGCCTGGGAGAGGTTCTATCATGTATTATCTTAAGAAGAGAATGGAAAGAAAGGGGAAAAGGAACACATAGGTGGGGGGGAAGAAGGGGAAGAATATTAGGGAAAATTATTTCACATGATCAGAGTGTGCAAGTAGACATATGTACAAACAAGGAGCATGGGATTGGGAGAGTGGCTGACACTTGAACCTCACTCTCATCTAAATGGTTAAAAGAAGGAAGAATACACACACACAGAGTTGAGTAGAGAAATATATTTCACTCAACAGAGAAGTAGGAAGGAAAGAAGGTAAGGAGAATTAGAGAGAAGGTAGATTAAGGGAAGGATTAGTACCAAGCAAAACAAACTCTAAGAATGCATAAAAATATTTATAGCTCTTTTGAGGTAGTAAAGAACGGAAATCTTAGGCAGTGCCCATAAATTGGGAAATGGATGAACAAAATGCTGTATATAAATATGATGGAATGCTATTGGGCTGAATCAGTGTAATGACTAACCATAGTTCCAGACGACTAATGATGAAATATACAACCCACCTCCTGATAGAGAGGCAAAAGATTCAAAATGCAGAGTTAGGCAATTTTTAGGGGGGTGGGACATGGCCAGTGTAGAAGTTTGTTCCGAGTTTTGATTGACTATACATACACATACATTTTGTTTTAGTTATATCTGACTCTTTGTGACTACATGGTTTTCTTGGCAAAAATACTAAAGTGGTTTACCATTTCCTTCTCTAGCTCATTTTATAGATGAGGAAACTGAGGCAAACCAGATTAAGTGACTTGCCCAGGGTCACACAGCTAGTAAGTGTCTGAGGCCAGATTTTAACTCAGGAAGGTGGATCTTCCTGACTCCAGGGCCAACATCTATCCAATATGCCACCTAGCTGCTCTCCCCCTCCGTGTGTGTGTGTGTGTGTGTGTGTGTGTGTATGTGTGTGTGTATTTTATTTTTCAAGATGGGGAGAGGGTAAGAAGCCAGATTTTGGTTGATTAAAACAAAATATTTTTTTAAAAGTGATGGGACTAGAAGGCAAACCCAGATCCTTGGATTCCAAAGTTCTATTCATTATACCAAGCTACCTCTCATTATTATAAATTATTATTCAAATCCTATCCCTTGTGGGTTATTATTTATCATTTATGAATACTGTTGGATTCTAGGTTTATATGGCTAAAAATTTGTCTAGCCCAAAAAGTTTGCTCTAAAGGTCAGGCTGACCTCAGAGATGCTCCAGGGAGGCTAGATAGTTGTAAAGAATGCTTGGATTCTACCCAGTGCCTATTTTGGGTTCACACAAAGTTTGTGTTTTGGGTTCCCCAAAATAGATTGACTTTACCTGCTGATACATATATATACATACATTATATATATTATATAAAAATCTCCTCTTGGAGACAACCTACTGCCTATACGAGGCCAATCAGGCAAATGTCCTTATACCTTGTCTAAACTCTTTATAATGTAAACTCACAAAGACTTGAAGAGGGAGCCACCCTTTCTCTCTCTCTCTGTCTCTGTCTGTCTGTCTGTCTGTCTCTCCCAAATGCCCTCTTATTAGCTGTGTGACCCTGGGCAAGTCACTTAACCCCATTGCCTGGCAAAAAAAAAAATGCCCTAATAAATTTCTATCTAAAACCATTTCAGATTTTGGGGTTGTTCTCGTGAACAACACATCCTCCGAGCCCAGCTCAAATCTAATACTTCCATGAAGCCTCCCTTGAACACAAGCAGACAATGCATCCAAAACAAATTTGTATCCAGGAAGCACTACAACATATGAGTTTTTGTTATTACCCCAGACCATAGTAGTCTCTTTTCTTTGAGCTCTTTTAACCTTTTCTCCATCTCCCATTAGGCATCTATCATACATTGTCTGACATTGTTCTTCAACTATATACAATAGTCTTGTTTCCTCTGCTAAACTCTAAACACCTGGAGAGTAGGGATTGTGTTCTACATATCTCTGCAGCCCATCCAGTGCCCTGCCCAGATCTGGACACACAGTAAGAATTCAATAACTATTTATTGAATGGAATAAAATATCTCTTCCAAGGCTCCTCATGAATTTTCCTCAAAGTCCAAAATTATCTTCGTGGATCTCAAGTCTTTTCATCTCCTTAATCTATATGACCTATGTCCATGATTTGCCTATTTTTTTCTATTCTGTTTCACATATTTTTATTACCCCATTCTCTTGTCTCTTCTCTGAAAAGTTTGGTGGTGAAGATCTGTTACTCAGAAGATGTAATTAGATTCTTCCTTCTTTTGGGGGTTTGGGGAAAGGGAGTAGATGAGTAGGGAAGGGTAGAGCAACATACAAAATAATGTGAATTTAATTCAAAGCATAGAAATTACTCTACACCCTTCATTAAACAGAATCATCCCTATCTTATAGAAGATAAAACTGAGGCCCAGAGAAATAAAGTGAATTACCCCAAATCATAGAGCAGACCAATGACAGAACCAGAATGCAGGCCTACTCTCATGCTCTTTCCACTACACCCACTCTACCCACTAGTGCATCAGGGAGGACGTCTCTGGATAGCATGGAAGCTACAGAATGGAGGATAGCCACATCTTGCGGCCCCTACCTCTCCTGTCAACCTGGACGAACGCTTCAGCTTCATGGAGGAAATGTCTCTGTTGTTCTTCCTCCAAGTGGAATTCTGAATAAGAGAAAAAAGAAGGAAGCCCAAGGGTGAAAGAAGTACATAGGTTTGGGAGGGGAAAAGATAGTGGGAGAAGGGAAATGAAATCCCTGATTGTGTGAAAGGAACCAGCAAGGCAAGCCTAGAGCTTGTGGAACTTATTGAGCAATATAAAGTTAAAAAAAAAACCACAACATCCCACAACCATTCTCTGGTGTTTGTTCAGTGGTTAGAACATTGTGTCAGTGAAGTCAAAGTCTCAGGTTTGATCAATTTAGCTTTTCTCTCTTTCACCACTAATTATCTTCATCTCCACTTCCACTATTGTATGGACACTCCTTGGATCTTGTCACTACTTGAAACTGCTCCATGTTCAAGATTTTGAACTCAGAGTTCCCTTCACTATGAACACAACTGCCTCACTTCCATTTCTTCCTCTCCCTCCCATCTTCTAGATCTGTTGCACATACCCATCATGACTTCTAATCCCTTGATGGCTCCCTATTCTTTCAGGCCATCAACCATATTCTGGACATAGAAGATGTTCTAAGTGAGGAAATTCAGGATCCCTTAGTTTGGGTCAGTAGGGACTAAGGGCTCCTGAATTTCCTCACCTCTCTCAAATTCCTAAATCAGAGCTGCTTGCTTTGGCTGTCTCTTTGATGGGTTATGACCCAGTTTTTAAGGCCAAAATAAGAACACAATGAGTGCCAGTATCCCGCAAAACTTGCTTTGTGCTGATGGTCATATGACTCAAGCCCAGGAGTCAGGAGTTATTTCTGGCTTTTCTGTCATCTACTCTACAAGAGGATGAGCACTATGAATCAGATCCTCATCAGTGAGAACTAGGGTTGGGTTCTTATCGAGCCATCCACACACTCTTTGTACCCCTAATCATCAAGCATACACCTTTGTGTCACTGCCAGGGTTAGGAAACCAGTCTATGGCCGTTTGGTGGCTGGGATTGGGGATTAGTCATAGGTAGAGTTAAAAGGTCAGTTTGTGGTCAGAGTCTGGGATCAGCTGATGGCTATAGAATCAAGTTTCTCCTTTGTGCAAATTAATTGGAATGCATGGAAATTAGGGACCTATGCAAGAATCTTGGGCTGATAGAGTGCCAGAAATACTTAAGGGGCATAAAAATGTAAGCAATTAGAAGGGAAGACTTCTGGTCAGGACTGAAGCAGGACTCCCCTGATGAGTTAATGCCCTGAAATATAGGGTGTGCCAAAAGCTATTAAAGTTTAAATCTGCACTAAGACTTTTGGGACACTCTGTATATGGTGATAGACCTAATGCGGATCAATCTCAACTTGGCTACATACTTACTACCTGTGTGACTTTAGGTAATTCACTTGGCCTTTATAGGCCTCAGTTTCCTCATCTGTAATAATATTGGCTAACATTTATATAAAGCTAATTATGTACCAGGCACTAAACTAAGCATTTTACAAATATTAGTATCATTTGATAATCACAACTCTGTGAAGTAAGTGCTATTATTATCCCCATTTTGCAGATGAGGAAACAGAGGCAAATAAAAGTTAAGTGACTTGCTTAGGGTCACACAGCTTGTAAGTGTCTAAGGCTGGATCTGAACTCAGGTCTTTCTGACTCCAGGCTCAAGGCTCTATCCACTGTACCACTTAGCTGCCCATCTGTAAAAAGAGGGAATTGTACTCATTGACTTCTGAGGTCCCTTTCATCTCTAAATCTATAATGTTATAATCCATGGCATATGATTTAACCATTGGGCAACCAGCCATGAAATAATTTGACCACTGCTTTCCTTTCAGAAACATAAGAGAGTCAGTGCCGGTCATTCTTAATAATAACCCCTTGCATTCAAATAAATCACTTGCACTTTATTCCTTGGTCATCAAGGATTGAGGTTTGATGGGGTGAGGGTGATCAGAAGTGCCAATTTTCTTTCCTTAGTTAGTATGGGCCCACTTTCCTCCTTACCTTCTCTGGCACACTGACCACCAGAAACCGGGCATTATTCTTCTTACCGAGAATGTCTCGGATTTGTCTTGTTACCGATGTGCCCTGGGGGTTGCTGTTCCTGGCAAATAGCTGTGGCTCAGGGAATTCACCCATGAATCGCAGGATAATCTTCCATATAACTAGCGCAATCTAGGGAAGAGGAGCCACAGAGAAATAGAAACGAGAATGATTCACCTTGGATGTAGGAGCCCCTCTTTGTGAACAGACCCTTTCTACCTGTGGGATGTGTACACATACATGTATAGACTCATGCACAAACATCCATGTAGGCATACATGTAGCCACCTAACACATATAGAGAGACAATCAGTTAAATTCAATAAACATTTATTAAATACCTGCTATGTGCCAGGCACTGTCTCCCTCCTGTGCTGCATTCACACATATAGACACATATTTTGGGGGTAGTTAGAACCCAGAGAACTTTTTTTAACTTTTGCTTCTACCATCTCATTTCTCTGGGGGTTGGTAAGCGACTGGAACTATTAAAGGAATGAGATACCTATTATAATGTTCTTTTCTATGGTTCCAATTTCCTTCCACTTCCCACCAAGGCAGTATCTGGACCTGCTTTGGAGGCCCAAGAAATTAGCATGAAGGAGACTGTACCATCCTGCTCCTTGAGGAGAGTGAGTAGCATCAAAAAGAATAGGAGCCTCAGAGAAAGGCAAAATTTGCTCTGGTTAGCACCCCATCAGAGACTGGATCCAGGGCTGTAGGGACCACAGGGCTGCTTCCCACAACCATTTCTCTCTCCCTGTCCCCATTTCTTTCTTTGACTCCAAGAAGCAGTGCTCCTCCTCTTCTGTATTTGGAAAGGAGAGGGTGTGTCCTTAGCTATTCAGAGGAAGAAGAAGTCTGGGAACAAAGTACCCTGAAGTCTTCATCCTCTTCATGGTAGAGCAATGGGTGGCGGAGGGGCCGGCGAATGTGTGTGTGAGTAGCAGCCTTCTGGAAGTAGGTAGCAGCAAATTTGGGGAAAGTATACTCATCCAGGTCATCCATGTCTTCCTCAGACTCCACTGACATAGGGATGGTGTCCAAGTCTACCTCAGTCAACTTCTGAGTGGTTGTTTCCAAATCCTGGTGGGAACAGTCAGAGAAAGACAGTAAGAGAGATAAGCAATCAGTTAGCTTCAAAGTCAGACTGACAGTTAGACTATCATTCAAGAAGAAGGGACTTAGGAAGTCCTGCATGCATCCCTTGTGGAATTCTTTCTTCTATCTCCATTCTACCTGGAGTGTCTGAGAATTACCCTCCCTCACTTGCCTCAGTCCTCTCTGCAGCCCTTCCTACATCTCATTTGTCTTTGTTGAACAAATGGTTTGGGATAGACAGGAGAGGTCTAAATTTTTCCTATCCTGTCTGCAACATACTCCTCAAATGAATTGTTCACGCATTTCGTTGTTCTCTGGATTCCCCTTCTTCCCTTTTTCTTGCTTCTCCCCTAATCTCCTAATAGCATTTAGTGCCTATAGCTATAATAGTCCTAATAGCACTTCAATAACCTCTCCTTCTTCCCTTTGTACTAGTACTTTGTACTAGTCTTTTGTGTGTGTGTGTGTGTGTGTGTGTGTGTGTGTGTGTGTTAGTCTTGGCTCTTTAACTGGACAGTAAGTTCCTTGAAGGCAGGAATGATGTCTTCCTCTCTTGGATCTTTATTACACCTAGAAGAAGGCTGGGTGGAGAATAGACATTCAATAAAGACTTGTTAGATTGAATGGGCTGAACTTACCTCAAATCCCTGTGGTGCCTGGCCTTTCTGGCCACCTATGATCATTGGGAGGAAGCCAAATACTTCCTCAACCATTTCAGTATCATTGATAGGGTCATAGATTGAGTCACGCTTCTTGGTTGGTTGGGCCATTTGGTTCTTCTCTTTCTCTTCTTTCTCTAGGGCAGCCAGATGTTCCTACTCACATAACAGATGCACAAATGTTACTGATAAGTGGGCAGACCATGGAGCCCTAATGGAACTGAACTATAATCAGAAGGTCAGAAATTTGGGTCAAATTTCATTAATTCAGACTACTTGAGGAGGAGGAAGCTGGAGAATTGTCTGAATTATTGGATTTTTTTTTTCTTAAGAGTAGTACTATAGTACTAAGGGCACTGACCTTGGTGCTGAAAACCATGATCTTGGCCTTGCTGCCCAGGGTGTGAACTTGGACAGACCACTATTTCTCTAAGACTCAGTTTTCTCATCTCTACGATGGGGATGATAATACCTGCCATCTTTCCCTCATAGAGTTGTTATGCCGATCAAGTATGATAATTTCCAAGTATTTGGATTTCCAAGTATTTTGGAAAGTATAAATTACCATTATATAATAAATAATCATTATATAACATATTAATTATTTATATTTGCCATACAACAATATCCATATCTATCATGTTATGCTATATATAATATATGATATGGTATGTATTTATCATATAACAACATATATTAGATATAATAATCATAAATAGTATAATTTTCCAGACAGCACCTCCCACCAAAGGCTAAATGCTGTCAAGTTTTACTTGGTGTCCTTGGTGGGGGGAAGGGCTTCTGCAATCCACACATGAGATCAATTTACAATTTACAATTCCAAACTGATGGAAGTAGCTGGAGGGATTGGAAGTTATTCTCTTTTTCACACTATTCCTTACTTGAGCCAACTCTCCCTTTCACAGGCGCAGCAAAGATAAATGTCATATTGGCCCTTGTCTGTATTATCACAAAGTCTTAATGTTTCGAGTCCAAATTAGTGACAGCTTGAGAACATTTCATACTGAGAGCAAGAAAGGTGAAATGGTTTGTCTGGGGTCCTCCATCTACTGTGGCAGAACCGGGACTAGAACTCAGGCCCCCTGACTCTTATTCCAGTCCTCTTTCTAAGAGAAGACCCTGTTTTGGGCTCCTTCCCCCACCCACACTTGTTGTCACAGATGCTCCCTTACATAAACAAAGGGTAACAGGCTGGAGTCCTCTCTCCTGTCCTCGACTCTGGGCTCCTTCTGGACTGGCAATCAGGGAAAGGGTCATAAGGAGACAGAAGCAGGGAAGGGACAGAGGAAGTGGCCTCTAAATAATAGTGCAAGTTAGAGTTGAGGGGAGTTTCTGATCATCAGATACAGGCCCATGGACGAAGATTTGGCTTCACTATGTTTCCTGAGGCAGGACTGAGGCCAGGGCCTACCACCTGAACTTGTTCCGCACCTCTTGGAGCTTACTGGCATTTTCCTTTGCCTTCTTCGACCTGAGAATCAGCATCAGACGTTCCTTCTCCTCCAGCTGAAGATACTCTGCCTCAGCTCTGTTCTGGTGCTGTGGGAAAGGGACTAAAGGTTAAAGCTACCCAGATATTCCAACTCACCTGGGAACCAACTGATTTGGCTGCCACTCACATAAATCTGTACACTGTCATCAAGGCACCCTTATTACAAATACCGTACAATATCTTAATAACCAGTTTCTTTAGGGGATCCAAATTCTACCCAGCCTTTCAAGGCATTCAGAAAGCCCACATCCTCCATGAACCTTTCCTTGATGTTACAATCTACAATAATCTTTAATATCTCAAAACCGCTAGGATGCTTATTGCCAGTACCATATAATATAGCACGTGGTCATGTATTGTCTCATATTGTTATCAGACTCTTCCACATGTGAATATTTTAACTCTTCAGCCACATTGTAAATCCGTTAAGGATCTAGGTGATGTTCTTTATGCCTTTGTATTCCCTTGGGTATCACTCAACCAATCAATCAACAAGAATTTATTAAGCCCTACTATGTGCCAAGCATGGTGCTAGGTGTTGGGGATACAAGGACATCCCTATACTTGAAGAGCTTACATTCTATTGGTCATTGATCTTTCTATAGCACTTCAACATTTGCAAAGCACTTTACATACAGTATGTCATTTGATCCTCATAACAATCCTGTGAGGTAAGAACTATGGGTATTTGAAGACAGGGACCAAGCCTCTAATTTTATTAGTGTAGGGAACTTCCAGATGAGGAGACTCTCTCTACCAGTGTGGATTGGCATCTTCTCATTAACTTACAGTCTTAGAGAATTGCCTTAAGTCCTGAGAAGTTAAATGACTTACTCAGAGTTGCACGGTCACTAAATGTCATAGTTGGGGCTGGAATTCAATTCTTCCTGGCTTTGAGGTGATTTCTTTCTCCATTACATATTGCTATCTTATTGAATTGAATAGAATTGCTGTAGATTTAGAGAGTATAGAATTTTCTGGGCTTTGTGTTGCTACAGCTTCTTCCCTGCCCTCCCTTTGTCTCTCTATCTGGCCCCAGTCCCACTTCCCATGTCCATCTCTAACTTCAGTTCTCTATCTTTGCTCTGCCTCTGCTCCTGAGCTCAAAAGGACCCACAAAAAAGGAGATCCAAGTAGGTAGAGGTCTGGTATTTGAGCTATCAAAAACTCAATGTGACCTATGGTTAATTGTAATCTAACCCAATGTTTTGTGTTTGTCACACCCACAAGACACCAGAACATATTTTTAATCTGCCAGCATGAGGATAGAAAGATTTAGAAAGGTATGCTTTTTTTGTTGGTTTGGAATTTTTTTTACTATGAATTTAATAACCATCAATAAATATTTCTATATACAAGGAAGACTAAAAAAGAGAATCATGTATGAAACTATACACTTCTGTGTCATATAATTGGTTCAGAAAGTGGTTCCATGGAAATTCTGATGATCCCACCTTATAGCTGCTCCCCTTCTCTTACCTGACTCACCCTCCTCATCACCCTTACCCCCACCTTATTACTCTGGTCTATATCACTGAAATGTAGCATCTCTGGATTTGGACTTCAGGCCCTACCTCTATTCTTCTCCTCTTGAGGTTCTGGCGGGCAATCATTCCCCTTGCATGTGCTTGGATGATCACCACTGCCCGTTTCTTCTCTGCAACCTTCTGGCGAATCAGATAGCCTCGGCAAAGGGCCTGGAACCGGATAACTTTGGCCCGCATGGCATTATATTGTTTTGTCAATTGGCCCCTTCGAATGATAGCCTGTAGCCGCTCAAAGCCCAAAAGGATCTGCAGAGAATAAGAGATACATTAATGGGAAGGTGATATAGGTTGGCTAGGGCAGAGTTGCATGGAAATTCTGAAAGAATATAAGTCGAGTTGAAGGAAAATCGGAAAGAAACCTGTTTTCCAAGTATATCCAACTGATCAAGAATCATAGAATCTTGAAGTTAGACGAAATCTCTGAAACCATCCAGTCCAACTCATGTATGACTAAAAATTCTTTGCTGTTGTTATTTAGTCATGTTCAGTCCTGTCTGACTCTTCATGACCCCTTTTGGGGTTTTCTTGGCAAAGATACTGGAGTGATTTGCCATTTCCTTCTCCAGCTCATTTTACAGATGAGGAAACTGAGGCAAACAGGGTTAAGTGACTTGTCCACGGTCACATGGCTAGTAAGTGTCTAAAGCTGGATCTGAACTCAGGTCTTCCTGATTTCAGACCCAGTGCTCTATCCATTGTACCACCTAGCTACCCCTAAGAATTCTCCGTACGATGTTCCTAATGAGTGGTCACTCAGCCTTTTTGTGAAGCCCTCAAGTAAGGGGAACTATTTCCAAAGGCAGCTCATTCCACTTTTAGATAACTGTAAGTGTTAGGAAGTTTTCCTTACATCAAACCTAAATTTTTGCAACTTGTATTCATTATTCCTAGTTCTGTGGAGGCAGCTAGGTAGCTCAGTGGATACAGCACTAGGCTGGAAGTCAAGAAGACCTGAATTCAAATCTGACCTCAGATACTTAGCTGTGTGACCCTGGGAAAGTCACTTAACCTCTGTTTGCCTTAATCCACTGGAGAAGAAAATGGCAAACCACTCCAGTATCTTTGACAAGAAAATCCCATGGACAGCATTGGTGTACTATGGTTCATAGGGTCATGAAGAGTCAGACAAAACTGAACAACAATGAACAACCACCTAGTTTTGCTCTCTACTGTCTTCCACAGAATGATCCTTCAAATACTTGAAGATAGCTGTCATGTTCCCTCTTTTCCTTTCCTGACTAAGAATCCCTAAGTCCTTCAACCAAATCCTCACGAGATGTGGTTTCCAGTCCCCTCACCATTATTCTCTGGAGTGTCAGTGTCAGAACTTAATACAATATTCTCAATGTTGTCTGACCAGGACAGCACACAGCAGAAGAACACCTCCAGTGCTCTGGATCCTATGCTTCTCTGAAGGCACCCCAAGATTGCACTAGATTTTGTAGCTATTTATGTTACACCATTGATTCATCTTGATATTAAACTTCACTGAAAAGCCCAAGATCTTTTTTTAAGGCTTATTTATCTAGTGATGCCTCCTCCATCTTATTTCTACAAAATTGATTTTTTGAACCCAGGTATAGAACTCCACATTTATCTCTATTATTTGAGTCAGCCCATAATGTTATCTTTTTTGTAGATAAAAAGTGAAAAAATCATGTGTATCAACTAAATTTGGAAGTCTAGATGAACAATGAAAAAATCCATTATTTTATCCTTCTAATTAAACTACAAACAAATAAGGAAACTGCTGTTTTAGCTCATAGGTTATTGCAATCCATTAATGGCCCTTAAATGAACTTGTGTTTGGACTTTATAGGTTATGTTAGAATTTCATAGTTGTGTATTTCACATCTGGGAGACAAGTCCAGTTAAAACTTTGTTATGGAAATATCTATGGCCCAAGCATAAAACCTGACTTGAATTAGTTAAAATTTAATTAAGGGAATTGAAGCATACAAAGGAAGATAAATTTCTTAATTAAAACAGTTGTTTCTTAAGAATCAACTGTGTGCATGGTATTATGCTAGATTCTGGGAATTACAAAGGTGGAAAATGGTGCAGCTCCTGCCCTCAGAGAACATATAGTTTAGTAAGCTGATGATGCTTGTACAGAAACACATATAACACATGTTATATTCAGAATGAGAGAAGTACAAAGGAAAAATCCACATGAGAAGCATAAAAGACCGGAGATGGAGAGAGCTTTTTCATTTGGGGGACTCACGAAAGGCCTTATGGAGAAAGTGGCATCTAGGCTAGACCTTGAAGGGAGGAAACGATTTCAAAAGATGGAGATACTGAGTCCCTTCCAGAGATGGGGGATGGTGTGTGCAAATGCAGAGAAATAAGAGAGGGCTGGACAAGATGAAGAATTGTTAGCAGTGAGATAGGCTGACAGAGAATGTGAAGAGAAGCAGGGCAAAATATGGATGGAAAATGAATGTCAGAGTAAGGATTTTGTGGTTCCTCCTTTAGTTAAAGGGAAGCCACCAAACATTTTTGAGGAGGGAGCTGTGCATTAGCAAGACCATTTTGGCAGTGGTGTGAAGAGTAGAGAATAGAGTGGAGGCAAAGAGATCAATACAACAGCCAAGTGAAGAAGGGTAATGGATGTGAGAGAGATGGTGGAGATGAAATCATTATGACTCAAATGATTGACTGTGCTAATGAAGGGAGAGGAAGGAGGCAAATGTGATTGAGATTTCTGGACTGGGGAGGATCAGAAGATGGTTGTACCATAAATGAAAATAAGGATGTTAGGTGGAGGGGCAGGTTTTGGTGGGGAAGTAGTTCAGAGGGGATGTCTAGCAGGTAGTTAGACATTGGTGCTCCCTAAAGACTTTAGAGGTAGATATTTAGATTTTGGGGTTGTTGTTGTTCAGTCATTTCAGGCATGTCCTATTCTTCATGACCCCATTTGAGGTTTTCTTGGCAAAGATACTGAAGTGGTTTGCCATTTCCTTCTCCAGTTCATTTTACAGGTGAGGAAACAGAGTTGACTTGCCCAGGGTCAGAGCTTGTAAGTGTCTGAGGCCAGAGTTGAACTCAGGAATATGAGTCTTCCTGACTCCATGCCCAGCACCCCATCCATTCCACCACCTAGCTGCTCCATTTAGATATATAGTTAGGGACTCATAAATCAGTCCACAAGTATTTATTAAGTATCTAGGGACACAAAAATACAGTTCCCGCCCTCATGGAGTAACATTCTATTGGGGGAGAGACAACATGTTCATATACAGGTATATCTAAATTAAATTCAAGGTGACTGGGAGTGGAGGAGAGTCCTACTAGTTAGGGAGGAATCAGGAAAAATTTTTTTTGTGACAGGAAGCTTTTGAGCTGAATTTCAAAGCAAACTAGGGATTCTTAGAGGCAGAGGTAAAAAAAGCATGGGGAATGACCATTGGAAAGACATGGAGCCAGGAAATGGAACGCTGTGAATAAGCAACAACAGCAAGAACGGCAGATTGAATAGATGGTAAAGTGCTTGAAGAGGAATTATGTACAGACCATGGCTGGAAAGGGAAGGGGGCAGACTGTGAAGGGCTTTAATTGCCAGAGAAGTTTATATTTTATGGAGCCCTTGGAGATTTTTACATAGGAAAGTGACATAACCAGACCTATGCTTTAGGAAAATCACTTCGGCAGCTATATGGAAGATGGTTTGGAGTGGAATTAGATTTGAGACAAAGAGAACATTTCAAAGGCTACTGCAATAGTCTGGGTGAGATACAACAAGGGATTGAAATAGGGTGGATGAAGAGAAGGGGAGGGATGCATTGGCCGCTGTTGCAGTGCTCGGCTGTTGTCACCGAGGCCTCCAACTTCGGGCTCAGGTAGCTCCCCATCCTAGGGTGCTGTGATGAGCTTTCACCTTAGAAAGCCCATACCTTAGAAGCTGTAGGAGTCTCAGCTCTAGGTCCTGTCATCTCGGGAGCAGGGTATGCGCTCTAAACACTTGTACCCTCTACTCTTCTCAATGATCCTGCTCTGCAGTTGGACACCAGCAGTGGCAGCTACTTTGATAGACTAAATATGCAGAAATAAGACAGAGAGAGAGAAAGAGAGAGACAGATTTATCTCTACGGTAGGTAGGGGCTATATAGATATACTTTTATATAGAGAAATATGATATAGATATCTATAAAGATACAGGTAAGAAAGAAAGATATCTCTAAGCAAAGTAAATTCCTATAATGTGAGTCATAGATATAGATATCTATATATCTCCATCCATCCATCTAGTGAACCATCTATCTATCTACCAATCTATCTATCCTGAATATACACATGTATTTACACGTATACATATTTATACAATCCTTACTACAAGGGTTTTGTTTTCCTTTTGGGGGAGGAGTGGGAAGTAGAGAAAACAAATGCTTGTTAATTAAAAAAAAACAACTTTTTTTTCTGCCTCTCCCATTTGATGTGGAGATGTGTTTGCCAGCCCTTGCTTTTCTTGACCTTTTCATATGCAAATGGGCCATTCAAAATTCCCCCGCCTTTACCAGCTGGGAGTGGGCAACTTAAAATTTCATGTCTTTTACAATCTTTAAATAGGCCCCTCAAGATGGTCCCTAAAAGTCTGAAAAGGGCAAAGTCTGAAAGAAGCTTTATCCATATCCTTTCTCTTGGGGATGGGAGGAGGCCCCTTTGCTGGGGCCAAACAAGGAGTAGTTTGAAAGATAGGGATCCGATAAAGAAGGAGCAATATCATGAAAATCAAGGGTGCCAAGAAGAAAATGTCAGAAAGAAGGGGTAGTCAACAGTGTAAAATGCAGTAGAGATGCTTAGGAAGTTGAGGCATGAGAAAGGCCATAGAATGTGGTGATTACAAGGTCTTTGGTAACCTTTGAGAGAACTAATTTCTCTTTCCTGCATTGATATTAGGCTGGCTACAGTAGAGACATTAGTTCACATATGTATTCTCCTCACTCTTTTTTTTTTAATTGTTAGTTCATTGGTTCATAAGCATAAGGAGCCTCCCAGGGAGGAAATTCTTTCTAACAATGTAGGGTGACACTTTCTCAGCAAATTATAGGAAAGGTACTGATCAGTGACTTGCTCAGTCATACATCCAGGGTCCCACGGCTAATGTTTGTCAGAAATGACGAGCCTTCTTGACTTGGAAACTGGTTTTCTTTCCACCATGTCAGGATGGTTCTCTGAATTCTCTTTTACACGTGGAAGATAAATCCAATCCAATTCATTCTAGGCAACTGATCCCTTTCAGGGTCTCCTGATGGAGTTACCCCTTCTCTGTTCAGTCTTTCCCTGAGAAGTCTCTCAGAGATCTTAGAGCCATTTAAGGCATAACCCATTCCCTCCCACAGATTTCTGGGGATCCTCAGTCAGCTTTCTTACCATCTTGTAATTTCTTCTGCAAGTATAACCTCTCCACGTTGCCTGAAGGGCCACAGCTGCTCGCTTCTGACTCAGAAATTCTTTTCTAGAAACAGAAAATGCCAGTCGGAAATCTAAAAGTTTTGGAAATATTGAAGCAGTGGGTAAAGTTGGTATGAAAAGTAGAGAGGATAACTTTGGAGGTGAAAAAATTGAAAATGGTTTTATAAAAAAATGGAAATGTGACTCTAAGGACCTTCTTTGGTAAGTGTTTGGTAAATAACTGATAAAGAGCTCTGTATTCTTCTCCTCCCATGAGCATGAATAGAATAGAGACTAGACTTGTGATCTATCAGTGTAGGGAATCCTAGGTGAGGAAATTCCCTCTTGCAATCAACTTTGTAATTTCTAATCTTAGGTCAGTATCTTCTTTGCAATTTAAAGTCTTAGAGTATTGCATAAAGCACTAAGCAGTCAAATGACTTGCTCAGGGTCACACAGCCAAGATGCATCAGAGTAGGACTTGAATCCAGGTCTTCCTGCTCTCTATCCATTCCACCACACTGACTTTCAAATATGTTTGTGCACATGAAATCAGATTAAAATGAATGCTAAAAGCAGGATTGAAGGGGGAAATAGGTCATGCAAGGGGAATGTGAGGAGAGTGTATAGGATGAGATTGGGGACAGTTCTTTCTTAGACTTTATTGCAATGATAGAATTTATGAGCTGATAGAAAAGCCTCCTTTACTTAAGCCCTACTTTGATACCTCATCAAGGCATAATGGCAACCCCAGATTTTAGAAAGTGATATCAGTGGATTACAAGCTTGGGCAGATCCTACATCACGCTCCAAAGACTGAATATGTCTCTATCTGGATATCCCCAAAGCCCCTCTCCTGGGCTCTCTTCTCTTCTTCCTCTAACTTATCTCACTTGGTGATCTCATTGGAAATCCTGGGTTCAATTATCATCTCCATGCAAATAATTTCCAGATCTATATATCCAGCCCTAACCTCTCTCCTGAGCTTTAGTCTTTTGATGCCTTCTGAACATCTGGATTGGGGGTGGAGTTGGCGAGAGCAGCAGAGCTCTTCAATTTTCTTTAGACCTTTGAGTTCATAAGTCTCTTCACTTTGGGTACTTCTCATTTCCAGCTTCAAGAGAGAGGATGGACAAGGCCAACCCCACTTCAGGTTACTGAAGGAAAAGACCCTGGGAAGACCCGAGGGGAGCTGGCACTCACCATCATGTGCCTATCCCCAGCTTGTTGCACTAGAGACTTCAGGGAACTTCACCTTGGGTGAAGCCTGGGGCTTTCTCTCTTGGCTGAGCTGCATTGTCTCACTCCCAATGGGAGAGCTCCTTCACTCTGTATTGTCTATTCTATATCCTCCTATATATACCTTCTCTGATTTCTGTTTTGCTATCAGATAGGATAAATGGGTTTCTTGACTAATTGCTATATGGGTGTTCTTGTGGAATTGGTATTTTGGTGGGAAAGCAGTCAAGGCTTGGATATAAAGCTTGGAGTCCTGTTTCTCCCCAACTTAATGAAACAATAATCAGAAGTTAGATTGAACCTGAAAATAACATCCCCTAGACTAGCGATACTTAAAGGAGAAGATAGATATAATTCTAGCCCAGTATCCTCTCTCTTTAGGGAGGGCAGAGTATCCTCCAGGCTCAAGTTCTTACTTATCTTACTGGGAGGAATTAAATTCTCCCTTGGAGAACAGTAGTGGGGAAAGAAGCTAGAGATGCCTATTCTGCCTCCCTTTGAGTCACACTACATGAAGGGCACAGCCCTTGCAGTATGTGGGGCATCACCACAACTGAATACAGGCCAGGAAATAGATTATCATCCAAGGAGCAGCCTAATTATAGATAAGCTCATCCCTAGGTGGTAGGATAGCTGGTCATGAATTTGCGGCTAGGAGTCACAGTGACTCATGAAACTATAGGGCCATCTAGTCCAAAGTCCTCATCTTATAGATGATCAAGCTGAGGTACAAGGACTAAGTCACAAAGGCAGTAAGTATCAGAGATAGGATTTGAACCTAGGTCTTTCAACTCCAGAGACAGTGCTCTTTCTACTACTGCAACGGGTTCTTGACTTTTTGTGTCATGGACCCTTTTAACAGTCTTGTGATGCCTATGACCCCTTCTTAGAACATGTTTGAATATGTATGTATGTGTATATATAAAAAACACAGGATTGCAAAGAAAAACAATTATATTAAAATAAAGATGTATTTCTTCCCCATCCAAGTTCACAGACTCCCTGAAATCTATACTTGGACCCTTTGAAGGTCTGTGGACCCCAAGTTAAGAACCCATGTACTTTAACATCCTGCTTCATACTAAGGCACATACTAAGGCAAAGAGGGGGACTATACTATATGTCTTGCTGGAGACAGTGCCACACCACTGAAATTACAAATGCTGGAAGTGTTGAAGATGAGGTCTTTTTTTTTTTTTTGTTGCCCACCTAAAGGATTCCCCTCCCACATTTTCTCCCTGGCTGGCTTCCTCCCTGAGTCATTACTGAATCGTCAGTCAGAGGAGTGTCTTAGTGCCCACCAAACCATAGGGCAGTGAGCAATCACCCAGACATGCTACACTTTAGGGATGATACTGATGACTACTGATTGCTCCCTGTTTGACAGATTGCTTTTGGCATTAGGGACCTTGGCTTTTACTCAGACTCCAATTAACCCCTCTGAACTGGTGTAGGTGGAAGGCCTGAGTCTCTTATACCACTATCTTTCAGCACCTCCACACTCCTATAATATTGCAAAGCAGCAACTCTGATTTTGAACTTCCTTTGCTGGCCCTCATAGAGGTGCCTGTGACTGGGGGACCGATTATCTTCATTTTCACAGTGATGCTACTTTCGGTTGACCACATAACCACAAAATTATAGAATTTTAGTGGTAGAAAGGGTCTTAGATGTTATTTATCCAGTCTCCCTCTCAATGGAATTCCTTCTACAGTATTCTTGAGAGATGACAATTTGCTTGCTGGCTCAACATTTCAAATGGCACAGAAACTTACCACCTTACAAGTTAGCATGTTCTACTTTGGGATAACTCAAATTCTTATAAGGTTCTGTCTGACTTTAGCTGAAATTGGTCTCTCTGTAACTTCACCTTAATTGGCTTAGTTTTGCTGTCAAGAACAACTCAAAATTAATCTAATCTCTCTCTACAAGGCTGTCCTTCACACATGAGCTAATATTGACCAATTTACACAGTATTGTCTCGGTATACTGCACATTTCTAAAGATAATTGAGATAGCTCTATAAATACCTTACTTAACAGCACTTAATTAGATAGAGGGAGAAATTCTGGCCCCAGGAATAGGACCAAATGTGATAATATTTGCAAATAGTGCTTGGTATAGCAGCTGGCAGATAGTAGGTGCTATATAAATGCTTATTCTCTTCCCCAAGGTATCAATATTGGTCAGTCTCTTAAGGGAGTGGCGTCGGGAGGAATTTCTTTTTTGGAGAGGAACTAAGAAAGCATGAAGAAGGGTATGGGGTATGGATCAGATCAAGGTATACCTGTACTTGTATCCCCGTATGGCTTTCTGTATGGTGACAGCATATTTATGCAATGCCTGGCTCCTCTGCATCTCCAACAGAGTATCTTGGTAATCCTGGAGGGTGGGAAGAGAATCAGATATGAGGCAGATAAGCTAGCCTAGATGAAGCAACAAGGCACTTTGAGGGAGAGGCAAGAGGCAGTACATGCAAGCGATGAACCCACTACTGCTTCCCCTCAGATCCAGGTGGAAATAGCCCAGGACCTAGAACCCAAGAGCCCTGAGAATAGCAATGTCCCCCAGACCACTGACCCTACTTCCAGTCCAGGCCCCACAACAATCATTAAGGGGAGCAATCACTTTGGAGAAAAGGTCTACTTTCTTCAACACCACCAACACCAACTGCCACCAACTGACAGTTAAGTTCAAAAGCCCCAGAAATGGTAGCACCTCCCAGACCATCAATCCTGCTTCCAGTCAAGCCCCCATAGCCATCATCCCAGGAAGAAACCCTTGTGGAGATACAGCCTAGAAACCTCATCTGCATGTGCTGCAGCCACTCAAGACCCAGAAGAGAAAGTTCTTACCACCAAAGTCCCTGGCACTGGTTAAATGGGTCAATACCAGAAACTCATATGATTTTATTAGTGGAAATGGCATTAAAGAAGATGCATTACCACCAACTGTACCCTAAGGACCATGGGACATTTCCTTCTGATTTACAAGTAAAACTTCTTCCATGTATTGTCTCCTCATGTTAGAATGTGAGTTCCTTGAGAGTAAAGACTGTTTTACTTTTCTATTTCTCTCTAAATACAATGAGGTAGCACAATGGGTAGAGCTCTGGGTCTGGAGTCAAGAAGACCTGAGTTCAAATTTGACCTCAAACATTTATTAGCTGTGAGTAACTGGGAAAATCACTTAATCTTTCTCTGCTTCCTTTTCCTCATTTGTAACATGGAGATAATAATAGCACCTGCCTTACAGGGTTATTGTGAGGATCAAAAGAGATAATATTGTAAAGTGCTTGGCATAATATTTGGCACATAGTAAGTTCTTAGTAAGTGCTGTTCCCTTCCCCAGTGCTTTGCACGTAAGCACTTAATACTTGCTTTTTATTTCATTCATATTATTGCTAGATCCTATCACCTGCAGAGGCAAGGTAGAAGGTTTTCTTCAATCCTGCATCTCAATATACATAATTTATTGTGAGCTCTCAGAAGTCAAGAATCAGGGACTATGTAATTCTCTTTGTAAAGTACATGCTTATTTGTCAATAATGCCTACCTGCCTTATTGGGGGGAGGGTTGTGAGGATTCAGTGGGATAAAGGACATGAAGATTATTAGAAGAAGGTGAATTTGGGTTCTTGAATGTCACTCCAGCGGAGTGAAACCTGTAACAAATACTTCCAAGTTGGAAGAGCTTTGAGTTTGACCTCATAAATGGACTATGTGAACTATTTTCTGAAATCAGCCTAGGTAAGGTCAGAGAGACTCATCACCAGAAGGTGACAAATGTCTTCATTCATAGCACCTCAGGAAGGCTTGCTGAGGTCATGATCAACATGGAGTCATGACATTGGCAGAGGGAATACCCTCAGTGAGGAAATCACAGACTTTTGAAAGTTTTAGAACTAGAGAGCAGATACTATACATTCCAAACAATCTGATGGTCCTTGTGTCCTCCTAACCCCTTGGATTTGACATGAGCTCAGACTTTAATCTTTTGGTGCTGCTGATGCAGGGACTAAGTTGTATGTACCAAATAGGGGACGAGTGAAGACTAGAAGACTTTACTCAGTCACCAGACCAATCAAACTTTTCTATGCTGGTGTTGACCATAGTGGAAATTAGGTGGCACAGTGAATAGAGCAGTAGACCTTGAGTTAGGAAGATCAGAGTTCAAATCCCACTTTAGACTATTATCTGGGTGACCATGGGCAAGTCATTTAACCTGTCTCATTTTCCTAATCTATGTTGTTGTTGTTGTTCAATCATTTTCAGTCATGTTCAACTCTTTGTGACCCATTTGGGATTTTCTTGGCAAAGATACTAGAGCAATTTGCCATTTCCTTCTTCAGCTCATTTTATAGACCAGGAAAACTGAGGCAAACAGAGTTAAGTGACTTGCCCAGGGTCACACAGCTAGTCTAGATTTGAACTCAGGAAGATGTTTCTATCCAGCACTCTATCCAATGCACCACCTAGCTGCCCCATCTATAAAATGAGGATAATAATAACACCTATCTCCCAGGTTACTGTGAGGATCGAATAAGATAATGTTTGTAAAGCTCTTTATAAACCTTGAAGTGTGAATAAATGCTAGTTATTGTTGTTATTATTATTATTTCAACCTGGTCTTGTCAGAGGAATCTTATCCAAAGTTTCCTGCCCACTTGCCAATACAGACAGCTTGAGTCAACTGAATGACCAGGAAGGCTGATTCAAATCCATTTACATATTCTGTAAGAGGCAGCTGGTGGCATAGTGGGCTTGGAATCAAAGAGACCTGAGTTTAAATCTGAACTCAGACACATAACTAGCTATGTAACTTTGGGCAAGTCACTTAACCTCTGTCTGCCTCAGTATCCTCAGCTGTACAAAGGGATAATAATTGCATCTGCCTCCCTCACAGGGCTGTGTTGAGGACCAAATGAGATAATATTTGTAAAAGCATTTAGCATAGTGCCTGGCACATAGCAGGTGCTATATAAATCCTTATTCCCTTCCCATTCAATTTCCTCCTTTCCTTTGTCTCCTGAGTGAGGAAGAACAGGCAGGCAGAACCACTGGTGGGTTCTTGGTTTGCAAGGCCAAGTTCCTTAGCCTAAAAGCCTCATCACACTAACTATAAAGAGAATAGACTTTCAGAAAAGGGAGAGATCAATGTAGGCTGGTGTGTGTGTGTGTGTGTGTGTGTGTGTGTGTGTGTGTGTGTGTGTGTATACACGACAGTGAGACTAGCCCGGCTGGAGTAGAGGATCCATATTTGAGGGGAAAGGGTAATTGTAACAGGTAAGGTTGGAAGGATAGGCTGGGATCAGATGGTGGATGGCCTTGAATCCTAGGCTGGTTATACAGGCCCTTTTTTCATCTCTTTGCTTGGTTCCTCACTTTGCATAAACCCATCCCAGAATGGGTCATAGCAAGGAACAGGGTTATCATTTCACTTCTCTCATTCAGGAAAAGATCCTACTAAGGTTGGGTGGGGAAAAGGGTTGAGGGTGGGCATGCAAATGAGAAGCAGGTATTATTCCAGGATTTCAATAATCCAGGTTACATCTATTCCTCTCCTTCTCTCCTCCTTTTCCCTCTACGGACAACTGGGAGTTCATTACACAGTTTATATGAAGTGAATTATATAAAATTGTGCATTTATACTCATTGTAAGGTCTCTTCCAGCTCTAAAATCCTATGATCCTATGGTAGTTCTCTACAATATTAGTCAATGAATAAATATTTGAGTACTCTGTATTACTACAATCCAGATTTGTAGCCCTTTTTTTAAGGGGGAGGAAGGCATTAAACCTGTGACTTCATTGGTGTAGGGAATTCCCAGTGTGGAAATTCTTTTTTTTATACAGATGAATGGTTGCTCCACACCACTTTCCAGAATTGCCTGGGTCCACTGAGAGGCTGAGGGTCTTGCTCAAGATCACATGGTCAGTATATATCACACAAAGGACATGACCACAGGTTGACCTGACGCTGAGGCTGGTTCTCTGTCCCATACTCTGTGCTGCCTATTTTATAATCCTTGGGGAAATGAAAATTTCAATCTATTCTCTGAATTTATAAGAAGTTTGCTGAAGGTATGATTTTGTATCACTTTACAGAAGGGTTCATTGCAAGATTTCTTAAATTAGCAAGTTCCACTATTGTACTTAATGGGAATCAATTTGAAGAAACCTTGTTGACCTAAAATCCTTACACTTTTCAGTGATAAGTGACTGAGTATGCGGGGTTACTGGAAGCTTTACCAGGAGCTCCCTCTACCCCAGCTGGAATCACAAAGGGATGTGATGGACCCAGGGCTAGAGCATCAAGTAGGAAGAAAGGCAGAGAGACTATTTCTCCAAGAAATTGTTTATGGCTTGTTTCCTGAAAGGTAGAGACCAGAGCATGTTCTTCCAGCCTTACCTTTAGGAAGATTTTGGTCTTCCCAATTTTCCAGTTTTCATCTTTCCCTAGCCAGATTTCTAAGATGCGCAGACTGGCCTGACGAGGTTTGTCCTGCAGCTGTCATAAAAAACAAAACAAACGAAATAGGGATGGGTTAGTGCCCCAGCAAGGACGAGGTCCTGATCTCCAGGATTGCCATTACATTGAAACATTGTAGAGGGCAATTCCATAGGTTCCTCCAGAATATTTCAGTGAAGGAGCTCATACCTGTTACTTTGCTAACCACATTTTACAGGTGATATTGGTCAAGTTAACAAGCATTTATGAAGTGCTTACTATATCCTAAGCACTGTGCTAAGTCCTGAAAGGCAAAAATATATTATACATATATATATATGTATATATATATATATATAAAATAGGTGAAAGGCAAAAATATATTATATATATTATATGTATATGTATATATAAAACAGATGAAAGGCAATGCAATCAGCTCCCAAGCCAGCTCTCCCTGTATTATACCATTACATTCAGAGAGGACATGTCTAAACGAGGCCCCTGGAAGCAAATGGCAGCATGAGGGCATTGAACATTTCTGGTAGAATAGAGGGGTGGGTTGTTAGTGGGTAAAAAGGAACCAGGAAAGGGAAGATGGCAGGATTCTGAGAACAAAATCAACAACTTTCCAATTTTGCTGAGGGGCCATCTGCTTTGGCCTGTTACAACCCAGGCCAGGGACAAGCCAACAGCCTGTGAAACCTTTTGCCAAATGGCGGGCACTTGCAGGGTGGACACAAAGAACCTCAAAGTACCCTGGCCAACCTTCCCCAGAGGGATAACACAAACCTCCACTCGAGCAGCCCCAGGCAGGAGCGTCTTGTACCTCTGCAAGAAATCTTCAAAGGTGTAGCGGATGGGATAGCCTGATTTCCTTATCGCCACAGTCTCCATCATGCCAGAGTAACGTAGCTGCTGGATACACAGCTCCCGATCAAAGAGCTGGCAGAGGGGAAACCACAGGTGCAGCACATTAGGGAGTTAGTTCCAGAGCTGGGACTGTAACCAAGGTCTCCATATTGTGAGGGACGTGGGCAGAGGGGTTTGGTAGCATTAAGACCAATAATAACAGCTAGCATTTATATAGCCTGTGCCAGGCACTCTGATAAGCACTTTGTAATTATTATCTTGTTTGATCTTCACAACAGCCCTAGGAGGTAGGTTTTGTAAACTGAGGCAAGTAGACCAGTAGACAACAACCCAGAGTAGCATAATCTCAGTGGAGACACTGAGGAAAGAGCAAGCAATTCAATGATATCACCAGAGGACATGGGAGGTTCTGCAGTATTGAAGGCTGAGTTGACAAAGCCATCATGCTCTCTGGTCATATATGTTCCTTAGGGTTCCCTCCATGTTTTTTCACTTGCCACACATGTTTACCACATATATCCCTCCCACAGTTTGGTAGCAATTGATGGGAATGTATACTATTGGGGGAGGAGGCAGAGGGAGAAATTTTTATTTAATTTTTTTAAAATTCTGAATTTAGTGAAAGGCAAATAAGATAAACATTTCTATATACAAAACAGAACAGAAAAAGAGGATTATATTACACAGCAGATCTGCACCATGCACAGTTTGCTTTTCACAGAGGGTCTTTCATATCACTTACTTGCTATGCTTTTTGGTTAAATGTCTTTTTATTTAAACTAAAATGTCCCTCTAATTGGCCTGGTAAAAGAAAACACATTGGACCCCTCCAAGGAGCTCTGAAATTGTGATTTTCAGTGGATGCTGTCCCAGAGTACTTTAAATCTCAGGTAGCTTTCTGGCCAGCTCAGTGTGTTCTTTCAAAGCAAAAGTAATAGGTGTTGGGGAAGAAGGGAGGAAAGAAAGAATGGAGAGGGCAGATCTCAGATGATGCAAATGACCCGCTGCTTTCTCTTCCTTAAAATGGTGACTAAGACAGGGGGAAGGATGCAAGTTACCAGTGGTTTCTTAAACTCATTGGGTTTGATGCAGCGGATAAAGTAGGGTTGGCAATTGTTCAAGATTTTCATCAGTTGATCCAGGGACTGCTTGAACTGGCTTGCTAGTGTAGAGGGGCGTTTGGTGGCATCAGCATTCTGTAGGACAAAGGCACATCATGAATGCATATGTACAGACACATGAACATACATGAAAGAGAAGTGCAAGCAGACATCAAGGAAAAATTTCACGTTACTCTGAAAACCCCTATGTTGCCTGAGTCTGGGAGAAACCATGGCCATCTAGTCCATGCCATTTTAATATATTCGACTTTATTTCTTTTGCTTCTATGATAGTAGCAAAACACTGTATACAGTCAAACAATGCTTGTGTGGGCAATACTATTAGGCCATGCTCACATAATTGCTAAAATGTAGCACGGAAGGAAAGAGGGCAAAGTCTCCTAGTGAGTGAGGGTTAAGCCAAGACATGAATTAGGTCAATCCCCATGGACCATATCCAAATTAATGAGATGAGCACTGCCATTCAGAGATAGAGCTAGTAGGCAGAGGTATCCAACTTTTTGAGAACCAGAAAATTTGGCATTTATTTTGTGCATTCTCTGCTATTGGGCAAACATATAACCACCAGGAGGAGTATGGGATGACCAGACCCTAGCCTTCATTAAGGAATAGGATTCTTATGCTTAGCCAGTCAGTGACCCCTAGGAGCTAAATATATGTTTGGTAAAATGGATTTTGCACATATGAAGTTTGCTTAGAGTGAAGTCCCCCTATGTTTTCCCAAGGCTCTACCATCAGGCAAATCCAACTTTTGCAGGCATTCCTAGGCTACATTAGAGGGAGAGAAAGAGAGAGAGGAAGGGGGAGAGAGAGAGAGAGAGAGAGAGAGAGAGAGAGAGAGAGAGAGAGAGAGAG